TTACACCCTTAATTCTTTTAGTTTTTTTTACTAGTTGGATACCAGCGCTACGCTGCAAGTAGAAAACCGTTATATACGTAAGGATTAACGATTCGTATGGTGTAATGCGAGTAGAAAGTTTTATTTTTAGTGATTAAAATAAATCGAATCTATATATAGTTAATTTCTAATAAAACTAATGTTCAAACTGTATAGAATAAATAGAAAAATATAATAAAAAAATCACCTAAATTGTAGAAATATATTGAAGTCAATAGATTAAAATAAAAATCACAAAAAATTTGATTCTAATAAATTCTCAATAAGTATATATAAAAAAAAAATAAAACTTGTGAATTTTTTTAACTCATTATTAATTTTTCTTTTTTAGAATTGAGTCAAACTATCTACAACATATTTTTAGCTCTCTCTCTCTCTCTCTTTATGTGTGTGTGTGTTCGCGCGCGCGCGCGTGTGTCTATATATATAAATAAATAAATAAATAAATATATATATATATATAAATATAAAAATAATTTATTGCATAAATTATAATAATATATTTAAAAATTAAAACATTGACGTTCTAAAATTTTATTGCAAAATTCATAAATTAAAAAAAACAAACTTATTAAGAAATAAAATTATATCAAAAAATTAAAAAATTAATTTAATGAGAATTTTAATAAGAAAAAAATAATTGAAGAAATAAATTAATATAGGTTCGGGGACATTGAAGAGACCAATAATATATATATATATATATATATATATATAGATATATATATCCTTTTTTAGTAAATGGACCAATTATATATAATCGCTTAACTTGTACAACACTTGCTGGAGTTCTTGTTATGCTATAGCAATATGTATATTCTTTTAAGGATATTCTTTTACCATAGTAAATAAATAAAACGCTACGAGTACATGAACATGAAAAACCCTAGTTCTTTTAATTTTTTTAGAATAATTATAATATATAAAAAACACTTCCAGCTCTCTTTTTTTCATCGGAATTTATATATGCAATAACACCATTTTTATTGAAAAATCATAAAAATAATCAATCATATAAATTATTATAATATATTTTTTAAAAAAAATAAAACAATCAAGTTCTAAAATTTATTAACAAATAAAATCATATAAAATTTAAAAATTAATTAGATGAGAATTTTAATAAGAGACAAACAATTGAAGAAATAAATTTTAAATAATAAAAATAATATAATCGGATATGTACGTTCAAACTAAAATTTTAAAAAATATCATATATATTCTATTACTTGTCAAACTATACGTAAAATAAAAAAAAATAACAATCTTTTTTTTATATTTTCATACCTAATTTCATGATAAAAAATAATTTATTTATATAGAAGGGGAACAATTGTCATATGATATTTAAATAAATTATTTATTAATAAATATTATATTATTATAACAATCTATTTAAAATAATATTTAACTAATACATTGTAATATTAATTTAATTTTATGGTATTACTATCAAATAAATTATATTACTAAAAACATTTTCAATTTTTAAATATATTCAAATTCGTAAAATAATATATTAATACATTATTTATATCATAATTTAAAATAATAACAAAATATTATATTGTATAATAAATACAATATTCAAAATCAAAATACAAATAACTATTTTATAATAATTATTTGATATTTCATGTAAATTATAATGATAATATATTATAATTATTAACTATAAAGAATTTAATTATTTAAGCAAAATGTATTTCTAATAAATAAGGACTTAAATAATATATTTGATCATATAATAATAGTCATACAAATATAGAAACTGAAAAACAAAGGAGGCTAGATGTTAAAAATAAAAAATAAAAACAAACACTGCATAAATACAATATTCACAATCAAAATATAAATAACTATTTTATAATAATTATTTGATATTTTTTTGTATAATATAATGATAATATATTATAATTATTAACTATAAATAATTTTATTATTTAAAAAAATATATTTCTAATAAATAAGGACCTAAATAATATACTTAATCATACAATAATAGTCCTACAAATATAGAAACTAAAAAAAAAAAGAGGCTAGATGTTAAAAAAAAACAAACAAACAAAAAAGCACTCGCATAAACACATTATTTACAATCAAAATACAAATAACTATTTTATAATAATTATTTGATATTGTTTTTATAAAATATAATGATAATATATCATAATTATTAACGATAATAATTTTATTATTTAAAAAATATATTTCTAATAAATAAGGAACTAAATATTATATTTGATCATATAATAATAGTTCTACAAATATAGAAACAAAACAAAAAGAGGCTAGACGTTAAAAAAAAACCCAAAAAAGCACTCGCATAAATACAATATTCACAATAAAAATAAAAATAACTATTTTATAATAATTATTTGATATTTTTTGTAAAATATAATGATAATGTATCATAACTATTAACTATAAATAATTTTATTATTTTTAGAAAATATATTTCTAATAAATAAGGACCTAAATAATATATTTGATCATATAATAATAGCCTTACAAATATAGAAACTGAAAAAAAGGAGGCTAGACGTTAAAAAAAAAAAACAAAAAAGCACTCGCTATTTTTTGTAAAATATAATAATATATTATAATTATTAACTTTAATAATAGTCCTACAAATATAGAAAGTGGGAAAACAAAAAGAGGAATGGTATAGCGAAGTTCCAGTAGCCTAACCCCAAAAGGAAAAAAAAGAAGGCCAAACCTTAAATTAAAAAAAAAAAAAGAAAATGCTACGATAAACGAAAATGGTTAAAAGGGTAAAAAAATTAGTTTTCAAACCAAAGAGATTAATTAATTTATTTCTCAAAGAATTTTTTTTTGTTTTCTTCTATTTCTTAAAACAAAAAATAAAAATAGTAAAATGATGAAAAGAATAAAAAAATTATTTTTTAAACCAAAGGGACCGATTAATTTATCTTTCAAAGAAAAAGAGACCAAGATGTAACAAAAAAATACATGAATAGGGACAATGAGTCTAGAACTACAGTGAATGAATAGTCCCACATGCACTTCTTTTAGGTTTTTTTTATTAACTAAATAAACTAAAACAAAACGTTAGTTTATTGTTCCAAATATTGTTAATACACTAACATTTCACTATTCATTATTTTTTTTACACTTTGGTCCCCGATCTTTGCCAACGAATCTTTCAATCCACATCTTCATTTGCTCATTCATTTTGGTCCCCGGATGAGAGAGAAGGAAGGTGGGAAGAGAGAGACGAGAGGAGAGAGAGAGAGATCGTTGATCAAGCTTATTTAGGCCATTTTGGACGGCAAAAATCTACTAGATTTTTTTTTATTTTTATATCTTTGATAGATAAGTTTGTCTATGGTTGTTTCAAGTCATTAAACAATTAGAGGAGGTAGATTGGAGCCAAAAAAGAAACAATGTTCCAATTTGATTGTGTAATTTTTTTTATTTTTGCGTACATTAAAATTATTTTTAAGGTTTTAAATATGTTTATTGGCTTTATTCCGGTCATTTACGAGTGCTTTGAGAAAAAAATGATGCCTAAATTCAATTTTTAGGGGTCCGAAACTTGACCATCGATTTTTCGACGAAGATTCCGACGATCTCGATTCGCCGAAAGTTGCAGCCTTTTTTTTTTGGGTCTTGAGCAACAACCCAAGCTCGACACGCGAGCCCGACTCGCCCGGCGCACAAGCCTTTTTTTTTTTCGTGTCGGACCTACTCGTTGTCGCTTACTAAATTGGTTTTTATTTTGGTCTCTTCTTTCTATTTTTTTTATTTTGGTGAGTAAAATTTTCTTATATTTGATTTTTATCCCTATCATTAATATTAAAATTTTATTATATGTGATGTTGATCCTTATAATAAATTTGTTTTTTATCTTTTAGTAGAAATTTTTGTTTTTTTTTTATTTCTATTTTTTAATATGTTTTTATTTTAGTTATTAAATTTTTTTTTATATTTTATTTTTATCCTTACTATACTAAAACTAAATAAAGTTTACTATCCTAAGGATTTTTTTTTCTTTTAGTTAAATTTTCTTTTTATTCTAATTTTTGTTTTGTGATTTTTTCTTTGTTTTCGTCATTAAATTTAATAGAATTTTTTTTAAGTCTTTGTTTTGTAATTATTTTTTATTTTGATCATTAAATTTTTTCTCTACAAGGAACTATTTTTTACTTTTAGTAAAAATTTTTGTGATATTTTGGTTTTTTTTTTTATGATCATTAAACTATTCTAAGTTTTTGTTATTTTGATCATTAAACTTTTATTATATTTGATTATTATTCATTCTACATTAAAATAAATTAATTTTAACTATTCTAAGTTTTTTTTTTGTTTTTAGTGAAAAATTTTTCTATTTTTATTCTTATTTTATTATTTTTTTTATTTTGGTCATTAAAATTCTATAATGTTTACTTTTGTTTTTGCCTTATGCATAATGAATTTTTCTTAGTCTTACTGTTTATAAGTTTTGTTTTGTATGCTTTTAGTGAAAGTTTATTTATTTATTTTTATCCTTTTTATGATCTTTACTTTGTTTTACTGATTTAATTTTTATCGTGTGAAATTTTATCTCTATTTTCTTTATTAAATTCTCGATTTGACAAAGCTTTTTTGTCTTTTTGTTTTGAGAAGTCTCTCTATCTCATTAACAAATTATAGATGAATAATATATGGTAAAAATTAATCATTGAAAATTCAAACAATTATTATATTATTATTTTAATTATCATTTATTAGACATATTTTATTGGCGGAAACGGAAATAAAAGAAGCAAGCATAATTTATTTGGCGGAAATGTTGTTGTTATCCATGATTTTTAGTCAAAATCACATCTCTACCATGAACAGGTTACAAGTTTGGGCACCTAGCGGTCCTCGTATCAACGTCAACCCATCCTATGATTGCTTCTGCCATTCATTTGTTGTCCAGAGAAGCCTAAACAAAGTAGGAAAGTTGAGAGAAAATGGTGACCAGTATAGCCATTTACATGCCTTTTTTGCGTGCCATATTGAGGCTAGCCGGGGTGAGACCCCAATCAGTGGAGATTGAGCCAGGAACAGTGGTGCACATTTGGGCTCCAAGTGAGACCGCAAACAAGACCAACAACCCCAAACAAGCAAAGCACAAACCGAATAAACCTGCCGTGGTGTTTCTGCATGGTTTTGGATTTAATGGCATTCTAACTTGGCAATTTCAGGCGCTAGCTTTGGCTAAAGATTACTCAGTTTACGTACCAGATTTCCTCTTCTTTGGGGGCTCAATCACTGATAAAACTGAGAGGTCAGCAGCTTTTCAAGCAGAATGCATGGCTAAAGGTCTAAGGAAACTTGGTGTAGAGAAGTGTACCTTGGTTGGATTGAACTACGGAGGGATGGTTGGGTTCAAGATGGCTGAGATGTACCCTGACTTGGTTGATTCAATGGTTGTGACTTGCTCTGTTATGGCCTTGACAGAGTCCATTAGTCGTCCTAGCCTTGAGAGAATTGGCTTCTCATCTTGGGTAGAACATTTGGTTCCTGACTCAGTCGCAGCTGTTAAAAAAATTGTAGACGTTTCCACCTACAAGTCGCTGTGGATGCCTCATGTCTTATACAAAGATGTTTTCGAGGTAATCTATCTTCGGTTCTTTCTTAAAATGTTTATATTATGTGTTCACTTTTGATCTATAAACCAGACTTTGTTTTGTTTATTGCTAATTTGATTGTAATCAATTTCGCTCATTAACTTTCTCTCGTTGAATTTGAAAAACGTAAAATATTAACGCTACCTTGTCAACATTTCTATTTCCATTTCCTATCTAAAGTATCTAGATAGGAATAGAGCAAGACCGAAGATAAGTGATTAAAGTAATCTATATTAGAAATTATTTTACATGGAATAAATATAAAAAGAAAAATAATATAAAAGATTAAAAATACAATATCATCTATAAATTTAACTATCAAATTCAATATAATAGAAAACTTTAAAATATAGTTAATTGCCTGGGAAATATACTAAAGTCCAAACGTCTCCATAATTTTTAAAAGATAAATTAAATAAAATGATGGCTAATTAGTTATAAAATATCTAAAAAATTTTATCAACACCAAAAAGTTTTTTTGTTTTTTTTTGTTTTTGTTTTTTTTTTTAAACTTGGGCTTTCAATATGCTTGCAATTTACAATTAAATTTTTTCATCTCATTAGCTAATTTTAAGTCACATAGATGCACAAAATAGAAATGTAGAATAATAAAATAACGGACACATGTTCTAGAAAACCATGTTCTATATTTAAGATTTTCAAAACAAGTATTGTTGTTTTAATGAATTTATAGGTTTTTTATATCATTTGTTATCGATCAACAACATAAAAAAAATTAATTGCAAACGAAAAAAGATTTAAAAATCTCAATTAGAAAAAAATTTATAAACTCTTTTTTTTTTTACCAATAATTTATAATACTTTACAATCAATTGTTATTCTAAAATGATACTCCTCACCAACCAAAATCCTCACCAAACGTATTTTTAACCTATTCTCCGTTTCTATGGGGGGCTCTTTTCCCTCGTCTTTAGTGGCTGAGTTATTAAAGCATAACAAACTTTCAACATGGCAAAGTTGAATATGTTATATGTGGAGCTTTTACCTTCCACAAATGCCATAATCTAGTAGGAAGGTCCTTTTGTGTGTTATGTAAGGAGGGGGAAAAAAACATCGAGAGCTTCACCTTGACAATGGATACACAACAATAAAAATCAAGACCAGGTTTTTATGTCTATGTCCATTTGGTTGGAGATAATAAAATTGTAACGATGGAAGTACTTTTCCTTTTGAGAATTAATCTAATAAAAAATAAAACTAAGGAAAGGTTGTTGGCTCGTGAGGAACAGTATTTATCGATCCGATGGGTGAAAAAGAAAAAAAGGGAGGGAGAAGAAGAAACTAATATATATAAATGGTGCATTAAATCTGTTAAATTCTTCATTTTTATTTCTTGATTTTCGCTATCCAACCTCTCCTTTCATTTTATAGAAATTCAATTATTTACTTTTTGATAATTTTCTATGTCGGCAGGTCGCATATAAGGTCAACAGGAAGGAAAAAGTTGAACTCCTCAATGCACTCATTGTAAAGGACAAAGACTTCAAAATCGGTTCTTACCCACAGGTCATATTGACTAGAATTATTTAATAATAATAATAACATCCTTTGGCCAAAAAAACACATCAATATTAAAGAAAAATGTTACAAAAAAATAATAATTCTGTTTTTTCAATAAATGTAGAGCCGTTTCTTTAAAAACAAAAACAAAATGAAATCTCATGGATTAAAAAGATTGATATGATCGGACACATCCTAGACCATAGAGATTAGTCGTAGGAATCCAAAAAGATCTACAAATACTTTACTACTTTTAAATCTATTGATTAAAATATTCCGACTAACGTTTTGAATTTTTTCCATTCAATAAGATCAGAGATATAACAAGTAGACTAAGAGAAAAGGACAAAAACAAAAATTTGGCTTCCATGGCAGCCACTCTTCATCACCATTATTGTCTATATTCGTTTATTTTAATAGCAGATATTTTTAATTTATGCAGAATACGGCACAGAGGATACATCTCTTGTGGGGAAAGGAAGACATAATTTTCAACATGGAAGTCGCTCGCAATTTGCAAGAGTGAGTATAAATATTGACACCACTTAATTATTTAATTAATTAATTTTAATTGGCATTAATTGGAAAGCAATAAATCCACCTAGCTACACAGAATTAATAGGACAAGGATTTTTTTCTTTAGTCCAAATTAGAGGTGAATATATTTTATCCTTGCATTAATTAGTTAGTTATGCAATGAAAATGCATGGAACTATGCTTGCAGGAAATTACTAGCTGGGAAGGCACCATTGAATTACGTAGATAAGGCAGGCCATGCGGTTCCATTGGAACGCCCATTTGCCTACAACAGGCAACTCAAGAAAATTCTTGCCTCTTTGCATGGAGAATGAAAAGCAGAATTAGCGAGACAGCGTCATCCCCGTCTCGCAATTATTGTTTAAGATATTCAATTTGGAGTTGTGTATGGAGATTTATGGCAATAAAATTATGTAAGTTAATTATGACATGATAAGTTTTAAATAAACGTTGAACATTCATCCTCCCAAAAAAAAAAAAAAAAAAGGAAGAAGTTGAGCTAGAAACACAAAGTTGAATAAGTTGTCGAAGCATGCAATTATAAATCAATTAATATCAAAACCAATTATACTTAAGAATTTGAACCTTAATTGCTTGAGCGTATGCTAAAATTGCACATCGAAGTTCGGATTTTTTAATTATCAAAGTGTAAGAAGAGAAGTTGAAATCGAAAATAAAGGTGAAAAGATTTATATTTTCGTGAAATGAAAAAAAATACAATTTTATTAACATCCGCGATTATGACAATAAATTTATTTGGCATAACTCAGGAGTGAACTACAATTCGTTTTTCAACAGAAGGTCAAATGACTTTGGACCACACAGAGGAAAGTAGTCCCCATGACTGAACTGCAGTTGGCCCATTAAGGTCCCTGCGGGAACCAAAAAAATATATTCTAACATTCTATATATGGTAATAAATTATCAATTAGCCTTTTTAGTTCTATAAAATAAATTAAATAGTCTCTTTTAATTTAAAAACTAATTAATTTGTCCTTTGACAAGTATTGGCAATCGTTAATTTAATATTTTTTTATTCTAAAGAATTTCTCATCAATTTTCATATTATTTACTTATTTTTTTCTATTTCATAAAACAAAAATACAAAATAAATTGGAAAAGAACAAAAAGGACTAAATTACAAATAGATTAAAATTTTAAGGACTAATTAATATAGTTTTTGAAACTATATAGACTATATAATTTATTTTTTAAAACTAGAGGGATTGATTTATAATTAACTCCTATACTATATAAGGTTCTACTTCTACCATTTCTTCTTGATATGGAGAAGCCTAATTCAGCAAACCCCACACACCCTCGAGCAAGGAAAGAGAAAAAATGGGGAAAAGTTTAGCAATTTACATGTTCTTGTTGCGTGTCGCATTAAGGTTAGTCGGTGTGAGATCCCAAGTAGTAGAGATCGAACCAGGAACGGTCGTGCACTTTTGGGCCCCAAGTGAAACCCCAAAAAAGACCAAAAACCACAACCAGGCCAAGAGCAAACCTGCTGTGGTGTTTCTTCATGGTTTTGGATTTAATGGGATTTCAACATGGCAATTTCAGATGCTAGCATTGGCCAAGAACTACGCAATTTATGTTCCAGATTTCCTCTTCTTTGGGGGCTCAACCACTGATAAAACCGAGCGATCACCGGCTTTTCAAGCAGAATGTATGGCTAAGGGTCTAAAAAAGCTTGGTGTGGAGAAGTGCACTTTGGTTGGGTTAAGCTATGGAGGGATGGTTGGTTTCGAGATGGCTGAGATGTACCCTGACTTGGTTGATTCAATGGTTGTGACTTGCTCTGTTATGGCCTTGACTGAGTCCATTACTCGTGCTGCCCTACAAAGAATTGGCTTCTCATCATGGGCAGAAGTCTTAATTCCTGAAACATTTAAGGATGTGAAAAAAATTGCAGAAGTTTGTACCTACAAGTCCCTAGCGATGCCTGATTTTTTCTACAGAGACATTTTCGAGGTAATCTTCTGTTCTTCTAATACTAAAAAAAATACTTCCATCACAGCCAATTTGATTGCATTCAATTTTCCTTAAGATTTTGCGTTTTCACTGAACTATGTAGAACTATTTTGTTCCCTTTTTGGAGTAGAGCAATGGTATACCAACCTGAATTAACAGTCTTAATTTTTTTTTCTTTTTTGATAAAATAACTAACAGTCTAAAAGACACCATTTTTTTTTTCATATCAAAAGAAAAAGAAAGCAAAAACAGCTTGACCGATTTGATAATGGTATTTTGCCAGTTCCCCGGTGCAGAGCACAATCTATCAACCCATCCGAAAAAAGGAGCGAACAATCTTCTACATCCCCTTTAGTCGCGATTCGTCTTTGATATTTTTTGAAAAAACTTGTGCTGGCAGGACATGTTTATAAATTACAAGAAAGAGAGAGTTGAACTTCTGGAGGCCCTTGTAGTGAAAGACAAGGACTTCAACATCCCTTGTTACCCACAGGCACAGAGGATGCATCTCTTATGGGGTGAGGAGGACATAATTTTCACCATGGAAATCGCACGCAACTTGAAAGAGTAAGTAGTCGATCTGTTACACAATGAATCATTCATTTAAATACTTTTTTTAACAGTGAGATTAGTAAGTCCCAAATAGATTAATAATTCAGATATTGACTCTTGAATTATTTACAATTTTTTTTAAAAAAAATTTGTCACTGCCTATTTAGATTAGAACCCAACAACCAAGATAATAATGTGAAAACAAATGTGTTACGGTTGCCACTAGTGTCAACTAGGGGTGTGCGTGGGTCTTGTTAGGATTAGCCAATTTTTATATCCAACCCATAGATAGAATTAGACTAGATTAATGATATTTAATCATACTATGAGATTTGGAATTATGATTGCAGGAAATTACTAGACGGCAAGGCGACATTGCATTACATAGAGAAGGCAGGTCATGTGGTCCAATCGGAACGACCGTTCGCCTACAACAGGCAGCTCAAGAAAATTCTTGCCTCTCTGTATGCAAATTAATGGAAATAAAAAATAGAGAGACCCAAACCTATCCTTCAATTGTTGTTTTTACGAAATAATATGGAGTTGGTGTGGCAATTAATCAATGGTTTCATAATTGTATTTCAAAAGGGGCATTTGAATAAAAAAAGAAGTTGCGAAAAAGAAACTTGTGTAAATGCACGAAACTAGATATATATGCATGCTTTATGAAATACTCGATTAAGTAATTTAGTTTTAATGCATTCTAAGAGTTGGGTTAAAAATGTCCTTAAATGTTAAATTTAAGAAAATGTAATTGAAATAAGTTTTTAGAATAATTTGGATGAATAGAAAGAACTGTGATTGTGATTTATCACTGAAATTAGAATACAATGATGTTTTAATTCATTTAAGTTGGTCTGAAAATATAGTGATCCTAGCAAGGAAAAAAACACAATGGGAATTCTTTTACGCCTATTTAACGAGGATGGCCATAATTTGTAATTATTGCCAATTAATTTCAAGAGGCTTCTAAGCAATTTGGAAATTATTACAAGAAAACATAACTAAATGAGATTTTTACCAATAATGTTTTTTTAGAAAGAAAATATCATAATGATTTTAAAATCATTCGAAAAAAAACCACAATGAGGGTTCTTTTAAGCTTAATTATTTAATGAGGCTGGTCCGAATTTGTAATTACTGCTCATTTCAATTGGCTTCTCAACAATTTGGAAATTATTATAACAAAACTTAAAACAAATGAGATTTTTATTATTTATTTACTACCTTTTTTTCGCCTCACTTTTTTATCTTGAGAATGCTAATTTTAAGAATAAGTGATCGTGTTTTTCCGTGGACAATTTTCTTTCTCTTTGTCGACGTGAAGATTACATTGCTTTCCTAGCTTATTCAATGTTATCTTGTAATAGAATTAAATGAAAAAAATTCTCATATTAAAAGAATTTATAATACTCAAAAAATAATTAATATAAGTAAAAAAAAAAATCACATTCAAATTTATCAATAACAATAAGTATTTTGACTTCATTTTTTTTTCTCTTTTTCTTTTATATACTTATCTTTCTTTCCTCCTACTCTTTTAGTATTATAAAATTTCTCATTCTATTTGTATCTAGATTGCAATGATAGCAATTGTGGCCTCAGCTCCCATAAACTTTAAGTTTGAAACTCATGTTTGACTGACAAAAAGTACATTTCTAATGGTAATTAAATCTTTAATTTTTTTTTTTGTTTTTTTTGTACATTCGAGAATGAAGTAAAATAAATATTAAATGATAACTTTAGTTTGCTGCACTGCCGCATAAACAATGGATCCTCTGGGTTGGATGAACAGCTTTCTCTAGAAAAAAGGAGTGAAAAGCCATGTTACTTGGAACGTAAATGGTCTTAAAGCTTCAAATGTATATATATATTTTTTTTGGGTCAATAACTATAAAAGTTACAAATCCCAACTAGTGATTGGGTTTGATTGATTGACAAGAAACGCAGCGCAGGTTAATTTGCTTTAAAAATTTATTAATATAGTACTAATTCTATTCACAATTATAATTGAAATAAGATGTTATAATCTAAACGTTTGATTCCATGTAAAAAAAAGGTGAAATAACCTACTTATTCCTTCATTTTTATGAAAGAAAAAAAAAAAAGCTAAAATTAGCAAGTAGCAAACCAATTAGATAGTGAAAAATTAATTACCCCAATTTTTGTACCATCTTTAAATTACTAACGCATAAATTACAGTTACCAAGACAGAAAATTACAGAGAAAAGATAACACGTTCCTTGATGTGCAAGCAAGGACAACCATAGAAACAAAATAGGGAAAAAGATGAGAAACCCATCATCAAGTATATTTCTTGATCCAGCATCACTACAGCACTATGTATATCTTACATGGAACACAGGATATGAACATAGTTGTCTAATGCATTCTGTTTTTTACCTTCTTTGTCTTTTTAATTAAATTTAAAAAAAAAAAAAAACCTTTTTTTTCAAGTGGGTTGTTGGAAATGAGATGGGATTAAGACAAAATGCCATTGCAGATTGCAGGAAGGGGAGGGAAAGAGAGAGAGAGCTGAAAAAGAACCAATAATGCTATATAGGATAACAGACAGAGGGCTGCTTTTCGAGTACTTTGGGAATAAAATGATTGGTTTGCTTTGATTGGTTTCGATTTAAGGGACGAGGAGAGAGAGACGAGAGGTTCAGGAGATTTGGTTGAAGGGAAAGGAATGAAGGTGAAAAAAAGAGATGAGAAGGATCGTGTTTGATCGAGAGAAGATTAGGAGAAATGGAAAATTGTGTTTGATGGGGATTTAGGCCACGTACAGAAAAGAAGGATTGGGCTTGGTTAAGCCCAATCCGGGTGGCAATACCTAGGCTTATCACAGCCCAGCCCAGGCTCGAGAAAAAGGAAGAAAGAAAAGAAGATGAAGAGAGGCGGGCCAGCTTAGTGGGCCAAGGGCCCAATGACCCTACAAAACCCAATACCCTAATTTTAATCCTTTTTCAAGATAAATTGGCTGAATTTCTTTTATGTATACTTGTTTGTTTGTTTGTTTTCTTATTTTGTCTTAGGTTTTATTTAGATTGAATATTTTAAATTCCTTGAATTAATTTAGTTAATTTTTAATTTTAGGATTTATTTAATAATTACGTTAGGTAATTAAAAGGTGGATGAATTGTGGAGTCTTCTAATTTTTAGGGACTAATGACAATTCTCCACCAACAAAAAACAAAAAAAAAAAGAAAAAGGAAAAAAAATGCTAGGGAAATGATTAAAATGCTAAGAAAAGGAAAAAAAAAAAAAGGGAATGCTAGAAAAAATGATAAATGACTAGTGTGTGTGTGTGTATATATATATATATATATATATATATATATGAAAAGAAAGTCAATTTTTTTATATAATGAATTTGCATAAAAAATTATTAATTTTTTATGCAAATTTTAAAAATCATTTTAATTTATTAAGCTCGTGAGAAAGTGGAGAAAACCAACTCAATCTTTTTTTTTTTTTTTTTTGAGCAAATCACCTTTAACTCTTATTTTCTTTTAATAAAACATATTTAAAAAAAATTGAAAATTTACATACTCAAATAACAAAAATAAAAATAGAGATATTCAAATAGAAAAAAATATAAAAATGCGCATTATAATAACATTAAAGGGGAATGTTAGACAACAGCTGCACTCAGGCTTCAACCTTAAGATTCATATTTGTCAAAATATTAAAGGAAAATATTGTTAGACAGCTGCCACCAGTAATCCATTAATGTATACAGGACTAAGTAGAAATATACGATCCGCATTAGTTACCATCAGTTTCTTGTCAATTACCATTATAGTCAATTCATTTTCTATTTTCTTGTCAATTAAGAGTTAGATTACGAGCCATGGTGGAGAAATATGGGTAGATAATTTATTACATCACAGAGAATAGAAGATGATCTGAAATAAATCAGTGCAGAGAAGGACAAAGAAACAGAGTTCACAAATTTGCTTTTAGGATGATAAAAAGGTAGCCTGCCTGAGTCTTGGACTTCTCTGCAGCTTATACTTCATACAGCTCGAGATACTTCATACGCCTATAAAACAATGTGACAAATAGTAAACAATGTTAATTAGCATCAATGACAAATCTACTTTAGGTAAATCTCTAGTACATTTGAAGAGGAAGAGTTCAATAAGGAATCTAAACACCATACAGAGTTGACTAGAGCAGTGGATAAGTTGATGTGAGCCAAATCAAGTGGCATAGAGGATCCAATTTCTGCTTTATTTTTAACTAGCTAGGAATGGGATAAGAAGTTATTAAAGAAAGGAGTTCATGAGAGGTTGGCTTTTTGGAACTAAGACCCAATGGACCTCTTTAGAAATAAATGCTCCCCATCTAAGTTTAGCATATGGACGGATGGACCTACCCTGCCATTGGGATGGAATCCTGAATGAGTATCAATATGGAGATTGCCATCTGCAATTTCTTCATATTGACTTCGTTATATTGGCGTAAAGGGTTCAACATTATGACTTGAAGTTTTAGAGCCATGGTTCATGAATTCTGTGTGATTTTGGTAATCAACACCTGTTGGGTCAACTTTCAGAAGTCTATTCTTGATAAAACAGTACACATGCATAAGAAAAACAATGCATTACCTTTCTTCATTTGTATTTGCATTGGGACGTGTACTTGGGAATAGGAATGCGGCCGGACTCAATATGTTTAAGATCTTCGATAAGGATTTCATAGTGTTCCTTCACTTCCTCAGCAGATTTCACTCCACCAACAGCTTTAGCTATATTTTGCCACCGGTCCGGTGTGTCCTTATCAAACAAGGCTAGAGCCTTTTCAAACAGTTTGTTTTCCCTCGGTGTCCAAGTGGAGCTAGAATTTCTTGAAGATTGATAGCTTGAAGACATATTTTTGAATGCCAAGTCTAAAATTTTGATGGAAAGAGAGAGTGGGAGTCTTTGCAAATAGAACAATAGCAGTGCTGATCACTAAACAAGTGAAAATATAAGAGAGCAGGTTTCAATTGAAGAGGTGATTTGTGATTCTGATTGGCTAGGGTGGAATGCTTATAAATGGTGGAGAAAGAGGTGGCGATGATGGTGGGTTGGAGCCAGTTGGAGAATCTATGTTGCCAAAAGGTGGCAAGGAGTGACTAATCTTCTTTGGAACCACAAGATGAAGCAGGACAAGGTACAAACAAGGGAGAGAGGAATCAGTTTCAAAGGAAGGGTTTTTGATTTTTAATTTCAATTTAAACTTTTCCCAATGCTATTCCTTTCTTTTATAATATGCAAAAAAAGCTTTCCTAGATTATTAAACAACTATGTAACTACTACCTATACCAAAATTAAATGCATATAATAGAAAGTAAACCCATCTCCTTGATGTTTAAGTTGCATCTTACACAATTGATATTTGTGCAGATGAGAATTCTTAGCTGAAAATGTTCTTTCATGAACATAAAGCTGAAAGGATTAAAGGAATTGAGGATAGAAAGTTACTGATCAGAACAAAACAATCAATGAGTAAAAAAGAAGAGGCTTAAGGGTGATACTAGTTTTAGAGGAAAGCAACAAAACATAGAAAAGCAAAATTTGAGATAAGAAAAGGAAAAGAAGAGCTTTGCAAAACTTTATCGGTCAATTTCACTCTTTGGACTGGCAAGCAGATTTTTATCTTTTATATTTTCCCATTGGTGATTTCTGATGAGCATAACTGGCCTTATCTTTATCCTATAGGAGTAAAAAAGTTTGCTTCTAGCTTTAGATTTTTATTAACAGTGATGATGATGACATAACAAGAAGCGTGAAAAATAACAACCCAATACTGATATGTTACCAAGTATAGCAAATGATATCCATCAAAAAAATAGATAACTATCTTTTATTGTGTCAGACTCAAACTCTTGGCATCAGATGGCAGGAACCTGAAGACATAATCTTTTGGACACTGAGAGCACACTGCCAAGATTTAAAGAGAGGAGCTAGCTAGAGGTGTACTGCTGGATTTATATTCATGTAGTTTTGATTCGTTTCAGATCTTCGGAATTCGAGTTTCGGATTTTTGCTGGCTAACAACATTCAAAAGGTTCTACCTAGCTGGCTACTTGAGACCGTACATGATATATGTGAATGTGAATCTGATCACTCATTGTTTCGTTGCTGGATCCCTTCAGGTGCTGCTGATTTCCTAGGGGATTTTGCCCAATTGGCAATTCATTTCATCAGACCTTGTCGTGTTAACAATTTTACTTGTGTTTTACTTCTTCTTCATCTTCAATTATTTTTCAAGATATTTAAATTAAGATGAATCATATTCCAGAGCCTTTGAAAGAAAACAAAGATTAAAACAAACATGGAAAACAACGTAGGAGATATCAGACAAGAAATAGTACATATTGGATCGAAATAAAACAAAATGTTCCCTTGGAATGATGGCTTTTATCAAAACCATAATATTTGGGGATATAAATTTGGTTAAGGCATGATGATGTGTTCTTTAACCACAACCATACATATGACTGTTAGGTCATCTTCTTAAAAACAAAAAAGAGGAAGAAAGCTCCATGTCTTGGTCCATGCCATTAATCATTCGTACCTGATAAAGAAATTTCATAAAAATGCTATTTTAATTGAGCCAATAGCAGTCCCAGTCTCTCGTAGTTTTTATCGCTCATGGGCAACTGGGCAACCAACTTCATCACTTTGAAAGCGAGGATTTTTGGAAATGAACATGTATTATTTAGCTTTTAGAAATGACTTGCATTCTCATACTTACCAAAAGATGTTCAAGAAAAAAGAATTACATTAACTCGTGCCGATTGACGCATATGCGTAATTCGTTATGAATTTCGTGACGGAATATGGTTTGACCATGCACTTTTACTCGGGATTTAGCAACAACAAAATTTGCAGATAGAAGAGTCACCTACTCACCTAAGCCAATTCTGCAATTCATTGTGAGGAAAAAAAAGCCATTGCTTCGGTCAAGTTTGAAATGTTATTTTACATACTGCCTGGAACATTTTTTCAAATGAGTCATGAACATTAATAAAAGAACTTGACACTTCCGATTATATAATTGAATGTGCAAATTCATATTTTGTGCTAACAATTCGGATCGAACAAGAAGGGCTAGTCATGGTTAGAGCATAAATATCATCCCAAAGTCTGATGAACAAGTGGCCAAGCTAGCAAGTGGCTCTGCCCTGACAACGATGGCAAAGGACATGTTAATTGGGCAAAGGTAACAGCTTATGCTAAGAGGCGGAATTAAAGTGGACTAGTGGAGGAGGCTCTTAGGATATCCACTACCGTACATGGTTTAGCAATTGCAAGTTTTTGGGTTGCCCATTTTACAAGTGTGTTAAAAAAGATTTTATAGGCACCACAATAACAGACTTTATTGTTGAGACAATTTTATTTGATAAAAAATACATCCTTAAAAAAATATATGAACTAAATTTTCATATGAGCATAAAAAAAAAAAATCAATTTACATAGTAAAAAAAAATTCATTTAGATGTTTTAGATTTGAATGTCATGATTAGTTTTTTTTTTTTTAAATATATATTGTTAGGAAAAGAATAAAAAAAACATAAAGTAAAAAGGCAAAAATAATTACACAACACTAAAATTTCACGTGATTCAACAATAATGTCTACTCTATGACTATACTAGGATTTCTTATTAGGTTTTGTAATATGTGGACTATAGATACAAGTGATGTTGTCTCTATTTATAGTGTAAACAACTACAATTATAAGAAAAAAAGACATGTATCTGATCTAATATTCTGTAAACCTTTTAGGGCATGGTCTCCGAGTCTTCGCAAGGGATGTTGCCCCCTTAACCCTCTGTTCGTTAATCGATTAACGTGACTGTCATACTGAATCTGTATAGCGCCTTATATTACAAGTCCTCATTCACGTCAGTATCCACAAATTAACACACACACATATATATATATATATAAGGTGAATGTAAAAAATATAATGTTTCTTATCCGATAAAGCTACAGCTCAACTAGATGTGGTAGTTATGGTTAGTAGCAAGTGGTCCTTCTCTGTATGGTGGTCCTTCCTTGCATGCTGGAAGGGTTCATAAAAAGTGCTCAGACTGGATCATTGTGATTTGTGAATAATATTTAAGCATTGCGTTCTTTCTCAACAATTAGGCCCCAGAACTCTTGATGGTTCTTAATTCTTTGGAGGCTCTTTAATTTTTTGTTGGTCATGAAAGCAAAGAAATGTGACTTTTTAAGAAGCTAAAAAGTCTACCACTAGTCCACCACCCACAGAAGTGGTCCATATGCCATCCTGCTAACCAAGCTGAGATCTTGCATAGAGAGGGGAATCCGTGATTCAAAGATAGAATGAGACTTGAGAGGTCGTGGGAAGGAGAAGTGTGTTCTTCCGGCAATAACAAATATAGTAGTATTTAAAATAAGCAGATAGACGTGCATTTCTTGAGTACCAACCAAAAGGCATCATGCAACTACGGTAATGGATATTTTGTCTTCGCACAAGTTGACATGAAAAAAAAGAAAGAAAGAAAGAAAGAAGAAGATATAGCATGAATGGGAAAAGGAGGAAATTTCAGCTAATATTAATTTTGAGGCCTGAGTTTTGACATAAATAAATAATGGTGTTTTCGGTTATTTATCTAAGAAAATATTAAAGACTAATAAAAATCATATCTTGAAATCTTATTTAATAATTTAAAATTTTGATCAATACGGTTCTCTACTATGACAGTTGAGTCTTGATAATCTAATAATCAAGAATTCGAATCCTACAATTTTTATTTTTTTCTATTTAATCACACAAAATAATAATAAAGGCGTGTAAGTTTAAAGGTCAAATGAATTTTACTTCAAGGACTATATTAGAGAATAATATAAAAAAACAAAAAATATTTCACTTAAATAAATATGTTATAAAATAATATAAATTATGGTAGAACTTGTAAGTTTTAAGGCCAAATAGTTTTTATTTAAAAATATGTACTAAAAATTAATATAAATAATATTTTAAAACCTCATTGGATAATTTAACTTTTTAAATTGGAATAGTATTTTTTTTTAAAAAAAAAAGTTAAAAACATTCTTATATGAAGAATTTACCTAACCCAGTCCAAAGAGCCCAATTGGATCGTCGGGGGCTCAAATTATTCCAATTCTCCCTGCTAAAGTTCCTATGAGGCCTATGCTCTAACCATGCTCACCAACTGGCAAGTCCATTTTTTGGAACAAATTATTGAATGCATTTAATGTCATCACAACACCACAACACTCCACATTCAGTGTTTCACGCATAAAACACGTCAGAATTGTTTATACGTGCGTGTGAGAGAAAAAAAAGAATGATAATTCAAAAAAAAAAAAAAAAACTTTCAAAATTTCTGTACCACCTTGTAAGGTTAACATTTAACCCTAAAAATTTCCCGCACTCATAAATTTATAACAAACATGAGTAGAAGAGATGAAAATGTAGAATTTTACCGTACACCAAACGTATTTGAACTGTTAAAAGAGAGTATGAGACTGCCTGTGCGAAAGTTAGTTTTTCTCAGTAGAAGTAAATGAAACGGGTAAACATCACAAGTACTCTATATTCCAACAGAAACATGCAGGCCCATGGCCCATGTTCATGGACTAAAAGGAATTGGATTATGGGTTGCAAGCTAGCTCCTTTATCATTTGCAGGCCTTATGACCTTTGATCCAATGCCATCTGAATTTTTTCTTGAAAGAGAAATCGCAAGGTAGTCCTTCGAACACACACGAAGAAGAAAATATATTTTTAGGTATGGGATGGATGTATTATAAAAATAATTTACATGCCTTGGTTTTTTATGAGAGAAGCAGAGTTCTCTAATTGCTACATGTCTAGACTTCCTGATAACATCCTCAAGGTAATCTTCTGCAAATTACCGATCACATATCTTATAAAAGGCAGGTACGTTTGCAAGTCGTGGAAACAAATCCTAATGCACCCTGATTTTGCTAAATTCCTTTTTCTGCATGCAAAAGGACGACCTTTATTGGCTCGAATTTCAAGGAGAAACCCACTTTTTTAATTTTGCAGCGACGCTTAACTTCAGGCCCAATTCACTTGCCTTTCTTAATTCTTGCAATGGATTGCTTTGTCTTCGTCAAAATAATGCTCTTCTGCACATAATAAATCCTATTACATTTGAGTACGCTAGTTTTCCAGTATATGAAAAGCGAAGGATCTTTTGCACAAGATTAAGTGGAGTTGGATTTGATGAGAAGACCAAGAAATTTAAGATTTTTAGGGTTTCTTATCAGGAAGAAAGTTATTATGGAGATATTTATACTTAAAATTTGAAAGCTGAGGTATGCACCCTTGGCACTAGCACCTGGAGAAGCGTTGTGTGGCTGTTCCTGGCCAATTTAGACTTTTGGGTTATTTTCGTGCATTTGTTAACGGATCTGCTCGTTTTCTTGTTCGTCAAAAACATGATCCAGTTTGTGAGCGAATAGGGGCATTTGATTTCGACAGCGAGCAGTTTACTTTATACTCACTGCCCTCTGTTTTTATGGGGATGTTAATTGTAGAAGACTATATATAGGGGCTTTTAGTGACACTCTCTATTGCTGTTCTTGTGATGATCATTTGAACGAAGATTTTGTGGAGGTATGGATGATGTAGGAGTATGGTGTCGTTTAATCATGGATCAAAATGGTTGTCATAGAAACTCGATTGATCTTGGACCGTGCAACGGAGCTTTGCAGGATAAACCTCTTGGCAATTGGGGATATTTTCTAGTATCGTTTCCTATATTTGTTTCTATATAATCCTGAAACAGAAAGTCACATAAAGTTGAAAACTCAGAGGAATTATTTCGAGACTCTGTCCACTTGTTTACAATCCAAGCTTTGCCTTTTCAGCGGTAATTCTTGCTTGCTACATGTTATGCCGTCCTTCCGTTTGAGATATGGCATTTGGTTTGTGTTTCAGTTGCTGATGTCCAATTACTGAACTAGAATACTTCATCAATTATCCAGCATGGTGCCTTGTTTTTACAATACTTTGTATTGAATCACTCTTTTGATGCCTTAAATCCTTTTTGTGATTGTGAATTTGTTATATGTTTTGGGATGCAAGCTATATATTATTGGTTACAAGTTCAACAAAATACGGTAGTCTTAACGGCATGACTAGAAAGTATAAGAATTTCAGTTGCCCCAAATATTTTATGTTGGAGGCAGTTCATGAAAATGGTTGTGAAAAAATTTGGTGGGATGCACTTGATATTTGAATTAAGTGTGTGCGAATGTAATGTGAAATAGAATCTGATTTTTGTTTTTCCCTCTTGATTGCAATGTCAGTAATTCAAGTATATATTGAAACTTCTTCAAATCCTTTCACACCCATGAATCATCAGGTGTCAATGGCATCAGTTGAAAGGTCCTTTCTAGAGAATGGGGATTATTTCTTGTATAGATCCCCATATTTGCGTTTGATAATCCTAAATTAATTAATCACATAAAGCTTCACAGTCAAGAAATTCAATCGGAACTTTATCTATTCGCTCAGCGTCTAATCTTTGCCTCGCTCAAAGATGCGGGAGATCGCTCTCAGGTTTTAGGTGCAAGAACAGGCACTGAATTGAAGATAAAGATATGGATGGATTCTCCTTGATGATTCTGGCTCTCAGTTTGAGAGTGGGCTTTTGGTTTGTGTTCTTAAGTTGTGAAAGTCCCCAATTGAGTTTATTCTTATGTGCTCTGACTTCAATTGATTACTGAACTTTTATTGTGCTCATGAGTAGAAAGGTAACCAGTGTCGAGCCATGGCAGCGGGACTCATGCCATATGTCTAATAACAATCGATCCAGTGGCTCAAGAAACCATAGAATAGCTAGCATGAATCATCTTTGAAGGTAGAACCATTGTACCCCTCAAAACTGTGGAGAGTGATAAACGGGCTGCGAGTGAACTTAGAGAGGTTACGAGTTTATTCACTCGGGACAGTTGGCCAAAAGGTCTCGCAATCTGCTTCTGCAAGGTGGATCCCTCCAAGGCAGGGGTCTCGCAAAATCAACTGTGATGCTTCCTTTGTTCCCCCTTTTGATTATGCAGGAGTGGTAGTAGTTTGTAGGGACTCCATGGGTCGAATTGTGGAAGGCAAAACATGCAGGGAGAGGTCCAGGTGTGTGTTATATGGTGAGATGGTTGCTATTCAAGAGGCTGTATGGATGGCTGGTCTGTTCTCTCCTCGGCCAGTAGAGATAGAATGCGTTTCTATCTACAAAACTGCCCGCATCAAGATATGACGGAATTTGACAAACAACAAGCTTTAAAGAAAAGATCAAAAATTGATACAAGGCTAAACCGTGCTAACTTTCCTGAACCATGGACTGTTTTGATTGATTCTTCTTAAATTATTATTTTTCCAGATTCCATCCCTTAAATATAGGGTGTTTTTATTGGCACTTACTTTATCTACAATTTAATGGTTAAATATCACATATTTTCCTAAAAATCACTTAAAAATTATCAAAATTCAAAAAAATTAAATACATCGAGGATTAATTTCTTGATGATAATTTCACGTCATCGTAAATGACATTATTATCATAATATTTATAGAGATTGATGTTTTTCCATCACAATTTCATGCTGTTCATATCTTATTAAACTGAATAAATGGATAAAATGTAACAAAAAAATGCAATAAAAACATCTACAGTCTTAAGGATTGCAAAAAAAAAAAAAAAAAAAAATTGAATGAAAAATTTGAGAGTGAAATAACAATTATTGAGGTGAGAGAAATAGAATGGATGAAGAAGAAAAATAAGATATCAAATGGAAGACATTTTGAAACAAAAAACATACTGCAATAAAACATCCCATTGCTCACGTAAGAACAAAATTAAAGAAATAACTAAGTAATAAAAAATTAAAAAAATAATTAAGTAATTGATGAAATTAAAATATAAAAAACTAAACAATTAGTTTTTGAAACGAGAATAATTAATTCTCTAAACGAGAGGAACTAATTAATAATTTACTCCCTCTTTTTTTTTTCTTCCTATTTTTTGTTTCTATTTCCTCATTAATTGGAACAACCTCTCTATCAGCCATCAGCTCCTCCACAACATCGGAAAAGTCCTACTTCTCCAGTTCCATGTTCACAGGACCAGTGTGATTCAGGGAGCAGACTGGGGATGTCTGTTTACAACATCCTCAGAACTTACACACTAGAACAAAACCTGGGTATACTACAATGGGCTTAAAGCAGAACATAGTTTGCCTCTCCCAATTGGGCTGGTAGAGATGAGGGGGCCCTGGCTCTGCCTTAACTGGGGCATCTACCCCCAGTCTCTTTGTTACGTAGTTCTTTTTGAATCATTGCTTTCGGTTTCGAGTCAAAACTCTTTTTAAAGAAAGTGAAAGGAAAAGGTGTTCTTTTTTCTATGAACATAGAACAATGCTTCCTTAAATAAATAAATAAATAATAATAATAATAACGTTATGGGGGAGTACTTTTAGTGAATTAGTCCTAAATCATTAAACTTATAAATAAAAAATAAATATTGAAAAGGAAAAGTTTGAGTGGAAGGAGCTCTAGTTATTTAAGTAAATGGTTTCAAATTTGAATTCTTATATATGTAAAAAAATTTTTAGAGGACTATCTCTATCTTACACGTTTAATAAAACAATGAAAGATTAGCTCCAGTTTTTAAACTTAAGAAGGATTAAAAAAATAAAAAATAAATAAGCGAAATCCCACAAAATGTTAATGAATTAATGCGAAACTAATGCACTTCATGTGTGGAAAGAGTGCCATCCAAAAAGTTGTATCAACAAATGTTAATTGAGGGGAAGTGAGCAAAAGCATGAAGAAGTTTAACCGTCAAGATGGCCTCAGAGACCAGACTTGACTTACCATCATCACGAACTCCATGTTTTCTCCAAGCCATTTGCCTAAAGGACTATATAAATCTTTTCAATGACATCAATCACAAAACTTCTTCATTTTGTCTTTGAAATCTCGCAGATTTTGATTCTTTAAAAAATCATTTCACTGTCTCGAACTCTTTATTCTTTTTGGGCAGTTCCTTAAGATCATTATGTAACGAAAGACCATTCCTGAAGTGTACTTTCTCCAAACACAAGTGCTCAAAAAGAAGAGACGCAAAAAATAAAAATAGTAGTGGTAGTAACACAAACAATAATCTTTCTCGAGACTTGTCATCATATTATAATATAATAATAACTCCATACAGCTGGATCTCTCAAAATCAAATTGACTTTGCTTGCACCCAAGCAAAGCACCATCATAATCTTGATGGACTCTCTTCCCCCCACCACCAGCTTTACTGTTGGAGGAACCCACAATTTTTAATTGCCAATCTTCATCAAAAGGCCTTTCTGTTGTCAAATTAAGAAAGGAGTCCACACTTTTTCATGGGCCTCGATGCCATCAACATCGCTATTATCATGATTGAGGCAGTAGAAAGTAATTAACTTGAGATGGTTCAGAATCAAATACAATATCCATTGGAAGTGCACTAGACATATGATGGGTCTCCTTTGTTTGAAGAAATCAATAGCAGTACAGGGTTGTATTATTGGCTAATTAGTGGAACTGGCCAGCAAAGGATATGTGCTCTTGGGGGACCACTAAGCAAAATTAGCCTTGATGCTCGTAACAACTCTACCTCAACAAATCCACATAAAAGTTGTGAAACTATTGGCAATTATTGCCCCTGAATATATTCGAACAAGGGCACTCAGTTCGTAGCTACGGACAATTGAATTTTGCTCATACAGAGAAACAAAAAAGGATTGTTGAATGAATTATTAGAATATCGACTTTCCAATTATTATTATTTTAATTTATTCATTCAAGTATTTCATAAGAATTAAGTAGAAAAAAATATCATCCTAATTTTATTTTAATTATTTAATTAAAAGAGAAATTGTGATGATAAGATTTAAAATTATAATAATTTAATCATCAAAACTTCGATATTATATTAAAAAATTATTTCACTTCAACAATTTAAATTATTAGATAAGACTTTAAAAATAATTTTATATTATTTTTTAATAATTATGTGTTGTAAATTGAAAATAATGAGAGTGAGAAACACGACCTCCATTTGCAGATAGCTGAAGAATTAAATCAAGCAATTATTCATTTGGTACGACATCTGTCCCCGTTTAAAATCCTGAAATGATGCCGTAACAACATTTATACTGCAGCGCCATTTTTGCATGGCTTTCTTCAATTCTACATGACCCAGAGCCCATAATGATGCTACACATGAATGTGACATCAAGATTAATGTTACTGAGGAATGGCCTTCATGTATTAATTGTACTGAAGACAAATTCGTATATGGTGGGCTAGGTCATTCTACGTTTGTCTGCGATTTGTGTAGTGATTGTTTTCTAAATGAAAATATCATAGTGATGATGTTTTGAGGCAAAACTTAGTGTTTCTTGTGGTAAAACTTTGTTAATTATTTGATTTCCTTACAGTACATATCAATTCAGAGCTACAATAGAATTTTCTCAAGAACCTTTCTTTCTTTCTTTTTTCTTTTTTTTTTTTTTTTTTTATTGTAATGACTGCAATTGAACCTCGGAAGCTTGGATTTTAAGGCTTGTCAAGAACTCTCAATCAAATGTACAAGTTCAGTCTTTAGAATCAAATTGCATGGGCTTTCAATTGTATATATCAAGTTGGAATTCTATGAATCGTTGGTAGGTATCGAAGGAGATAGGAAGGGGACATAGACAAAGAGTGAGTTGGTGCATGCAAGGAAAATATAGCCGTGTTATTAGAGATTAGGTTGGTTTAGTATTTGCCTAAAAATAATGGAACACGCCCATATGGCCTTGTGATAGTGGCAAAGATCCTCCAAGCTTTTGCGTAGTCCTTCTGGTCTCCTCATCACCAGTCACTTATCCTTCTCACCCTAAAATATTCCTTAAGATGCCCCTATTTCCTCACTACAAAGATCTCTTTTCAACTATAGAATATATAAACTTAGGCCCTGCATGTCCATGATCTTAATGGTGACTCCTAATCTCTTTTGTGATGATGTCTCTCCTACTTATAGCTATTTAATTTCATGTACCACCCAACTCTTCTAACAAAATGAGTTTCCTTTTCTTTTAGTCTTCAATCTTGGGAGAAATTATTTAGGTTTCTCTTTGTGCTCCTATTTAAATACCAATAGATATAACCATTTTAGTATGTCTTGACAGATAAGACAGTACTATATTCTATATTGATATCTCAATCCATTTTAAGATTGATTAATCAGTTTCATGCAATGATATCATTACTTAATAAGCATATAGAACCTATTGTTTGCAACAAAACTTCAACAGGGGTAATTGGAGAATTTTTATCAGCAATTGATGAAGCCATTAAACATGCTTGTGCTTAATTAGTCCATGCGTAAAAGCTAGCTGAAGCCATACAAGACATTTTAGCTTGGCAGATAAATTTCCAAGCGGGCTGGAATCTTTAGCTTCTGTTACAGCAGCATCTTGGACAAAAAATTTATCTGGTTTTCTTGTCATGAATATGCTATCTTGACACCTAGTGGCTAGCGATTTATAGTCCATATTGTTCATCTCTAAAGAGGCTAGCTAGCTAGGTCTGGAAGTTAAGTCAGATAAGAGTATGATCAAACTGGCATTATGACCATCTGAAACTGTGAAAACTTGATCCAGCCATATCTTGACCCAATCCACAGAGAGTAATTGTGGCATGTGGGTTTGGTATTACAGAGAAACAAATTTGGGACATGGGGCTTGTCTCTACTCCTGTCTTTTGATACTGCAACTGGCATGCACTGTCTTTGACCAACCCTTTGATTTTTGACCAAACTTTTTTCCATACATGCATTCCATCTATCTATAACTTAAAAAAAAAAAAAAAAGCTATAATGATACCTTGTATTTGTATTAAACCTGTAAATTAAATCACGTGTAAATAATTTAACGAATTTGATATATATATATATATATATAGTTTGCAAAGAAAAATAAATTTATTAAATAAGGAGTACTCTAAATTAAAATTAGCTTTTCTCTATTTTTATTTTTCTAAATCGTGCAATATGGGTTTAGGGTTGTGAGATGGTAGCTTGTGGATCTCACATCGGTTTTTTCATTTAAAAAAAATTAAAAATAATGTTTTTTTTTCCTTTTGTGCTGTCTGCTCATATATATCCTCATACTGTTCAATTCTTTTCATTTTGTTCTGACACGTTTTTTTGTTTTTGTTTTTTTTTATTTTTATAGGGCCCAAGAAAGTAAGGTGTACATAAATATTTTTATTTTGAACAAATTCAAAGGTGTACATTTACATGTTTTTATAAGGAGATTAAGGAATTCATGTTTTGTTGAGGAAATTAAGGAATTTTTTGTTCTGTTTTTCTGTAATGAATATATTCAAGAGCAAATCTTCATGGAAAAGGAACGAATCTTTAGAAGCGACAGTGTCTCTCTCAGCATCATATAATACTGTGACATTTCATGTAATATCCATCAACCTTTTCTTTTCATAGTCAAAAGTATAAAGCAGCTAAATTCTAAGATGTCAGGAAAATAGATTTATGAAAGATCCATCAGTGAGTTTCAAAAAGCTTCAATTTATATATATATAGATTTGAGAAGTTAATTAGAGCAATTTTGTTCCGAGTGATCATGCAATAAAAATGTTAAACTCCATTTATATATTATTTGGGATTCAATTTTTTGAAAAAAAAAAGTTGTGTAACAGAAACTTCTCAATAATGAAAAAAACACAGTATAAATAACCTACTTAAGTCCCGGGTGAAGAATAGTTTACTTCCTGTACTTGAGGACGGCAATAGGATATTCTTGATATAGAATAAAATTTTTAACCAAATCGAATAATATAAATTTCACAGAGTAGTGTAAAAGAAAATCTGAAAACTAGGGTTACCGCTACTTTTGGAAGCAGGTGGATTAAGTTGCTGTGCTTTCACCATCTTTCTACTTGAAAAAGACTGCCATCAGAAAAGGAAAACAACACTATTCTAGGCCCAAATGTACATTCTATCTGGGTCCGTTTGGGTCATCATGAAGGTCTCATTGTGGTGAGACCCACTTACACGCCTTACTCTCCTGCCCTAAACAAAAAATTAACTAGCATAAAAAATAAAAAACAGAGAAATACTAATATAAATCTTTTTTAATCTGAATTTAGGGATACTATCTGCATCCAAATTACTGTATATATATATAACTTATTTCTTGTAGCTTTTCAGCAGATTTGAACCTAGAATCATAACATCGGAAATAAACTCAATTACTACTTAAACCAACATCTAAATAAATTATTGTGAATCCAATTTATGCATAATAAAATAATTTGTTTGGTTAGTCCGATAAATCAGAATAAAGTAATTGGTTACTAAATTTTCTATATAATGCAATGCTGATGGTCAAAGGGCTGTATTTCTTTTTTAGCTATTATTTCATGCGAAATTATATGTATATAAAATTATGAATTTGTAGTTATATTTTGTCTTTGATCAAATCAAAAAGTTCCATTACGTGTTGATGAGCAAAAATCGACATAAAAAATACTTATTATAATGGTGAAAAAAAGCATACAATCTACAAAATTATTTTCAAGTTACAGGGCACATGTCATTTGAAATGGAGAAACACGATTCTCTCTTTGGGTACATAACTAGTTTTCATTGGATTATAAATGTGAAAAGAGAGAACGATGTTGGTGTGACTTGTGAGAGGTAATAGGACCTAACTTTCCCTTTATTGAGACACCCCGTTAACCATGATGTCCTGTTTGGATCATACAATGAATGGGGATGACAAACAGACATTCATAGATAAGATGATTTTCTTCGTTATTAAGTATAGGTGAGCAATAAATTTTGACTTGGAACAAAGTAATGGTAGGGGAATTGAACTTGAAGTTCAAATGTTCAATCACTACGTTTTATTTCTCATTTATTATGCTCCGTTGGGAAAAGTTCAGAAACGATGCAAATAAGATTACGGAGCCTATTAAAAACGAGTAAAATATGTAGATTTGGGGAGAGTTTCGGAGAACCCCATGTGCCATAAGGTCCATGACGTGCAAGTAATGAACCGATTTATGGAGAAATTTAATGGAAGAAGATGAAATGATTTATGCAATGATAAACTGTGCTAGGAACTTATCAAATGCAAGATTTAGTCTTTTGAATGATCGATCGTTGTATATATACAAACATAATTAAGGTTGTAATCATCGTTATGGTACTAATCAATCACAGTTAACAATATTTGAGATCAATCACAGTTAACAATATTTGAGGTTTGACTTAGATCACAAGTAACTGTTTTCTACGTTATTATTTTGGATTCAAATTCAAAAGAAAAAAGCTGTCAGAAACAAATTATATTGAATGAGTCATTTCAGATTTTGATGTTTGACTAAGATCTATATATTAAAAGGAACTTGCTCCTAGTTTGCAAAAAACGGCTCTAGAACAACATGATATATACCCAGTTAATTAGCTGAGAAGGTGGAGGTTAGCATTGGATAATTAGCCGAGGAGATAATGAATTTAAAATTCCTTCCTCAAAATTTCTCTCTTGTGGTGTTGCGATTAAACCGGTTTAATAACAAAAATTATTCTTGTTTTATTACAATTTAACAATTCTAGTATTGATTATCTATTTGATTAATTTGAATATCAAAATATTAATTTTTAAATAAATTTTATCCAAATCCGTTAATTATTTACTTTTTTTTTTGCTATGATTTTTTTAAAAAAAATGTTAAAAATATCTTTCTTTTATTTTTCAAGAGAGATTCTTTTTATTTAAAATTTTCACATATTAATCCTTTTGATTTTTCATAGTCAATCAAATTGTTATTCGTATATAATTTTTTTTTAATTTTAAAAAATAACTTGTATGCAGTATCATTATCAATTAAAACAATCAACTTATATAATTAATAAAATACAAATATCGATTAGTTGAATTTGATCAATTAAAATTATCAAATAATTAATTTTAACCAAAATTTATCTTTTTTCGTGCTAATAAATTTATTCTTGTGATTGTCAATCATTAAATTTTAAATATAATTGCATTTATTTAATATTTTTTATCTTCACGTGTTTTATTGGATTTTTTTCTCACAATTGATTCAAATATATATTATACATTTAAAATTATTAGAGTTAGAAAACCTTTTTTTTTAATTTTCTAATTTTATTATATTTTTAGCTTTTTGAGAGATAGGTTCGGAAAGTGCAAATTCTTTTTCGGAGAGAAAAAAAAGTAGTGATAAATTTAATTAAATTTTTATTTATTTATAGGTAAACAGGTGGAAAAAAATATCTCTTGAAAAATAAAGGAAAAACATTTTTAACGTTTTTCTTTTTAAAAAAGTTAATAGCAAAAAGAAATTAATAATCAACTAAGTTGACCTTTATAATTAACAGATTTGAATAAAATTTATCCAAATATTAATATTTTAAAATTCAAATTACATAAATTGATGATAAAAATTTAAAATTATCAAATTGTAATAAAATATGTGTAATTTTTGCGGAAAACCCAATTAAATCTAGTTGAGGAGAAGTTTTTGGCTAAAATATCAGTGTGTTGTTCATTTATACTACACGAAATAAAACCATTGTCAATTTGTTTGGACCAGTCCCAATATTAGAAAATCATGGAACAGAGAATCCATAGGGTAAGTTACACATGGCACAACCTGGAGAAGTACCTTTTTCGGACTTCTCCAGGTTGTAAGGTCGGTTGAATTTCACGAAAGAAAATTTTGGAAGGGCACACAACAAAGAAAATATATGCAAGTGGCAGAACAAAAGATTGACATTTCGGTACATATTGCAATTGGCATCAAACGTCAGGTTGTTGGATTGATCTTAGGAGGTAGAGGAATCAAATTTATGCATACTTAAACGCACAAACACAAATTCCATATATCTAGCTAGCTAGATGCCTCTCCTTGTTGACAGCTTGAAAGTTTTCTTTGCCAAACTGGTTATTCTGTAGCAGCTAGGTACATATTACTCTGATGACGACCGTGTTACCTATAAATATAGTATTTCTTGTTTAATTTGGTGGATTGATTACTAATAGTGGTAGCTAATGTTTAATGAACCCCTTATCTTCTCTTATTATAATAGAGGACACATAGATATATATGTTGGATTTCGTAGAAATGTCATTTATTTTCTTTAATTAAATCCCTAATTGTTAGATTAAATATATGTGTGATAACTTTCTTTATTTCAAATAAATAATAGTTTTTTATTAGTTTTATTGACACCAAAAATGACAATAAATAAAAGTTTCTTAATTCCAAAAAGACAATAAATTTCAAATAAGTAGGTTAGTTTAGTGGTTATGTTGGTCAAAGGACTATAGGTGAGGTTTTGGAATATAATTTATATTCTTTGAGCTTGAAACTTGTACATATACTATCATGTGCTTAATTAATTAGAAGAAAAATGAGGATGGTGAGATCGATCTCGCGATTGTTTGATCATCAAAACTCTAATATTATGTCAAAAGATTATTTTATCCAAAAATTTAAGTTATAAGATGATGTCGTAGAATATGATTTACACTATTCTTTAACATATTTTCTAAAACGAAAACCCTTTGAACTTAAAATTTACACAAACTCATATTATCTTGTGCTTAATTAATTAGAAGAGAAAGTATGAGATATGATTTATATTATTTTTTAACACACTACTTTAAGTGAGATTCTAATACCATATCAAATGACAATCTCACTCAAAATCTTAAATTGTTAAATGAGACTTTAGATATAATATATATTATCTTCTAATATTATTCTATTGAAACAAAGTTCGAGTTCTAATGACTTCAAGTTTATATATATATAATAGAAGAAAGCTATTCTCACAATGTAGCCCAAAAGCATTCGGAAAAAAAAAATTCAAGAATTTTTTTATTTTTTACTTTATTATTATTATTATTATTATTATTATAGCATTCTCGATTATCTGACGTTCTCCCATAAAATTAAATAAAATCTTACTCTTCCTAATCAGTCATACTTTCCCGTGTAAATAAAACAATATTACTCTTCTCCTTACCCTCTTTGCATGGGATACTTTTATGAATTCACTATTTGTTTCTTTCTTTCTTTTTTTATCCAATTAAAATAATAATTTTCCATCTTTATATTTTGTTTGTTGATGCATCATATACCACGTCAATAATATCTATTTGCTCTATCATACGTCTTGATCTTTCTTACTATTTTTTTTAATATTATTCTTACAATTAAATAATTCAAAAACTCAATATTTAGGATGAGTTTTTCATATGAATGCACGGCCTCGTCTGGTTATGTGGATAAGGATGTGACCTTGTTCCAAACGTGGAACAAGATAGATGTCAATGTTGACAAATTCACTAAAAAAAAAAAAAACTTCTAAATGGATTAACTAGAAATACTTCAAAGTGACGTTGTCATCTTAATGTATGAAACTGTTTGTATTTTGACAAACGAGTTAGATTGATGTTAGTGTAATATATTCAGAGGAAAAATACTATTTTGACACAACTTTAACCCCTTACAGCTTTTACAATTTTTATTGATAATATGACTATGACGTGTGTCATGGTTGCCATTAATACTTAAAAACTTTTATTTTTTGTTTTCCAAAACATACTCATCGTATAAAAGAGATAAAATTAATTATATTCCATCATAAAATTTAACCTTTCAATAAATATAATTTTATAATTTGTATATTAACAAAAATTTTACTTACAAACCATTTTGTTTACTGTTGATTGGTCAAAATTATTTGTTTTTGTGAGCCATGTCAAAGTTGGTTTGTGTCGTTTGCTAGGTCTTGAAACATGGAATCGGGCAACTCTGGCAAGGACACATGGCTATTATAGATAATAAGTTTATTATTCTAATACCACTTACCATGCTGTTGAATTAATATAGGAGAAAAATGGGGAAAAAAATTCTTGTAATGAAAATTTGGAGTATTAATTTGTGCACGTATATGAGCTCTTTTTGTCAATATATTGCTTAATTTAGAAGGAAGATTGAATCCCATGTCGTCGTGGAGAAAGGTCGGTTTTCCGACAAAGTTTCGAGTTACATTCTCTTTTATAGAGTACAAAAAAAGATGTAAACATGAAGCATATCGTTAGTTCTGGACTTGCAGCTTTAAATAGAGAATCTTAATATACGGAAAGAGGCAAAGAAGAAATGTTGCAACGCGTCATCTTTCTTGCTTAGCACTTGATTATCTCATGAAGCGCACAAAAAGTTGAACACCTTATAGGTGTGTGCCCATGGTTTGTTGGTGTTTCTTCAGCATTAGGTAGTGTTTGAGAATGGCAAATTGACACTAGATGAGATATGAAAGAGAAAAATTGCAGCCCTGTGAATAAATAGGAAAATCTATCTACTTGAAAGGTCTAGATATTTAAGGAATTAATGTTGCACGTTACATAATAATTTAGAAATTTTGCTAGATTTTAAGTAATGGAGCGGTTTTATCAAGCATTTTTATTTTATATTAAAAATAAAAATAATCATGTTTGAGATAAAAATGATAAAATTTAATTTTTTTAACAAATGTGATTCTTCAATAAATATGTTTTTGGTATTTGAATCTTATATATTAACAAAATATTTATTTGAGGATCGATTCCCTCTTCCTTTGTATATATAGTTGAGAACTTGAAAGATAAGGATAAAGATTTTATAAGTTGTCAAGCATGTCATTCAACCCGTATTCATATTAATTTTCGTCCATTCAATTAAAGATTTTGGACTTGAATATTTTTAATTAGACTAAGTAATTTATGCAACTATGACGGGAATGAGTATCTTTATTTTTGAGAAGTGGGACTTTTTACCCTAAACAAGAGGATCTATAACAAATCGAATATATGTTCCTTGTTTCAGTTCTTCTGGGTACTTGTGTAAGCCCATGCATCTAATTTTTTTCTTGAACAACCATGCATCTCGAGTTAGATTTTCCTGGAATCACAACTCCCATATTCTGGCCTAAAAAACGAAGAAAATAAACAAATTAAAAAGTAAAACACACTGATGCATTAAAGACGATCAAGGAAGCCCATAGCATTCATCCGTATATGATTGGAAATTATAGGTGCATGTGGATAAATGGAGCAAAAGACAAAACAGAACAGTCTCCAAAGAGCCCAACTTTAATGATCTCTCTAATATTAATTTCTCTCTCACACACCCTCTCTTCACTCAAGCACACTCGAGAGTCGAGACCTTATAATAGAGAAGAGGGCCTGCAAGAACTAGGATTCCCTGTACATCGGATCTGCTGCAATCTTTCATTGCCTCAATGCTTCCTTACCCATCCCATTATATGTATATATCTCTCTCCCCTCCATTATTGATTCCATTTATCCATCAAAAATAGGATTGGAGGACCTTCAATATTATTACTTGAATGTCCATGAGTAGTAGTGGTGCTTCTTATTTTCAATTAGCTGATAAAACTGTGCATGCAAACTGTGGGATTTATTCATTTATTTATTTTATTTTTATAGACAATAGAGTACTTCAAATGAAAATTTGTATCAACCAACACTAACTAAATTAAACGAATATGTTTAACTTTTGATCATTCACAGAATTGTCTCTCAACCAAATCAATTAAAATTTTGTGTTATTAAAAAAATAATTATAGCTATCATTTATAGAGGGTAAGAATTGAGTTTTGATCTTATCTAAATTAAAATAATTTTTTACTGTTAAACCAAATATCTTATAGTAAGTGAAATGTGTTACCTTATTCAAAGGTTAGACATTTATAAATTCTATAATGGCAACCAGGTTTCATTTAATTTGGCTGCATTTTTTTTTTTAAAAAAAATCCTTTGGGTTATTTCAAGTCCAAAAACTCAAAATTGATCCTTTGTTTTTCTATCGGATGCATAAAACGAGAATAATTATCTAAAGAATTTTTTGTGTATATAAGGATTCGAATCTAAAATTATTTATTTGAATGATTAGAACTTCTTTAACTCGAGTTAATCCTCTTGAATTATTTTGGTTGCATTACAATCCATGCATGGTTCAACACTTTGAAGGTTTAGTCCAAGCAGCATCAAAGTGTTCTCTTGCTAATGAAAATCAAGGATCGAATTTCACCGAGGTTCGGATATAGATAACATATGGTGGAATTTTGTTTTATTTTTTACTTTTTTGAGGATACGATGAATGAAAATAAGGCGTGGTAGCTAGAGAAATTTTATAATACATCGGGAGTAACTAATAGTATGTACGGTAGTTATTCCATGAATCCACTTTGAAGAGAGAGAGAAATAGGAGAGAGAAAATAAAAAAATTTGAACGGACTCGAAATCTTCTTAGCATATTTGATGGATATAAATGTAATTTTTATTTTTTTATATGTCTATATCTTTTCTCAAAATGAACCAATGAAGTAACTATCGTATATACTTCTAGTTATTCTTAGTGTATTATAAACTTTCTAGTGGTAGCTAAGTAAACCATCGCGAGGGAGGGAGAAATGATTTTGCGTAGCCTATAGCTCCTTTTTCTAGGCGAGAAACAAATTAAATGAGCCACGTGTTATGATTACTGATTAAAAAGCAATTAATGATGCTATTAATAATGTTTTGTAAGATTGAGTTAACATTCGCAGAATCCTATGATTCTTGATGAAGTCAATATAATCGCATATTATTTATCAATTATTATCATAAGATCAGTATGTTGAAAGAAAAAATTAATGGTCATAACATAAATTTTTTTCAATGTTGTTGCATGTGTAATTTGCTAGGAAAAAAAATACTGCTTCTGGCTAATTGTTGTTTCATAAAGCAGGACGAAACCCTTTAAATTAAGAATAATGTTACATGATATTAGTGGTGTCAAAAAAAAAATTATCATAATTTTATAAGGATAGTGTTTTCTTAAAAAAATACAAAAAAGAGTATTTTATTTCACATTTTAATATTTTTATTTTTTGAATTTATCCTTAAATTTTTTCTATTTTTGAAAATGATGTCTATCACTATAGTGTCATTAAATGTTTTCCTTAAATTAATATTGATCATATCAAGAGAATTTATGTGATCATGCAAATCCATGGTGCAGCATAAAGGAAAAGCATTTACGGGAAAAAAAAAAAAAAAACACTGTATTTGTGGATCTATAAGTCAAATATCCCAAACCCCATACATAAAGCAGAAACAACATGATTGAGGTAAAGAAAGCCACCCAATAATAATAATAATAATAATAATGGGCAACAAAAGAGTAGTTTTCTATTGATCTAGACCAAGAAGAAAGTGATAGAAGAAATGGGAATGAGATAGATAGGTCCCATTTGCCTTTAGTTGTGGCATAAGGTCATGTGTAAGTGTAACCAACTAATGAGAGAGAGAGAGAGAGAGAGAGAGACTTACTAATGATAAAGTAGAAGAAGCAGAGAAATATATGGAGAGAGAGAAGCGAGGGGACCCAGTAGGTAATACTGGAAGTTGCCTTCATCCTCTCTGGAATTGTTCCCACCTAGCCAAATTATATCTTGTAACCCCTTACGTTCCAGTATTGCTTCAAGCCTTCAAACTTGATTTGGACTACAAGATACTGTTAATATATTGACCAAAAAGGATAATAAAAATATCTAACCTGTTATTATAAAAGGCACTATTTAGAGGTAAACTATATTTTTTATTTTTTATTTTCAAGATATCTTTAACATAAAAATACATACTAATTTTTTACTATTCGAAAAGACGCATAAAACAACACAGTTATCTAATAAATTTTTTGTATATATATAAAAATTCTATTCGAGATTATTTTCTTAAATAACTAGAGTTTTTTTTAACTCAAACCAATCTCCTTTAAGTATTAAGAACTAAACTTTTTATCAGGCTATAATAATGTCTTTTATTAGCTTTTGTTATCAATGTGATTGGTTTTTTTTTTCTCTCTTTTCCTTCTTCGTATGTCTTCTGTGAGTTTACGCTGCTACAAGAAAGATTTTTTAAAAAAGATGTTGGTGGTTAATGTTCAGATCATATGATCAGAAAAATAGTAATCGAAAAGATTTCAAAATAACAAAACTAGTGGTAGATTGTTAAATAAAAATATATGCTACAGAAGTCTTTTTCTCTTGTAGTATATTTTTTTAATGGTAAAAAATTTTATTTTTCTCCTATTTAATAAATAATATACTTTATTTTTATTTTTTTTGTATATTTTTTTGGAGTGTATAGATATTATTAAAGTCCTTATTAATCTATTTATATAAAATAATATATTAAATTTAATTCAGTTGATCATAATTTAAGAAGCCCTTTTTTGTATCAATAAAAATATATATCTTCGAAAAAGAAGAAGAAAGAAGACTGCGTATATGCCACGTGCAACGCACATGTAAAGGAACTAGTTAATAAAAAAAACACGAGGTGTTAACGTCAAATATGATGCACAAAAAATGCTAATTAAGGTTTGACCATGCAAATGACATGTTACGGTACAGTATGTGATGTTTACTTTGAGGAAAATGACAAGAGAGACAGCTCTAAGGTCGAGACAATTAGGCCGTAAACAGAACCCCATGTCCTTTCTTTAGAAATATTTTTCTGTTACCTGTCGTTACAATGACTGCTAATTAAGGCATTACGTTCACAAATCTCAATGCTTAAGTGATGAGGTGTTAATACGTGACAAAAAAAAACACACACACAATCATATTATTCGGTATACTGTAATTGTCAGTATTCTAACCTAGGATTGCCGATCTATTCAACCGTCTTTCTTGACAAATACACTTTAACCCATGCGTCAATCATTTTCCAAGTGTTCTTCTAAATTTTGAACTTTCTATTGATTTAAATAGATTTTGAACTTTCTGTATAATTACTTGCCACTTTTGTCTACTCAGCTAATTTTTCTTTGTTGTAAAGCTCATTGAATATTGAACTAGAGTAGCAATACTTTACCATTCATATTTATTTATTTAATTTGAATACAGGAAACTTTGAAATTTACGATTTTAATTAATAATATTAATTGAACTATAGCTCGTTAACTAATATTTATTTTTCTAACAAAAAAGAGTAGCATTAGTTAATTAAGTTACGTAGGATTGTAAGCTGAACTTGTTAAAATAATTAGTGCTAGGGGTGGAATTAAGAATTCACAAAGGGGGTGTCAAGATTAAAAAAACTACTTGCAGGAATTTCGAAATAAATAAAGTTAGGAGGGTCAAGAAGAAATATGATATTTTGGGTGTTGGGGCAAATTGCTTAACTATTATGAAAATTTTTAAACTTAAATGATCAAACTGAAAACTGTCAAAACTTTAGGAATACCGTGGTGACGAGGTCCCCCAAACAAAGCCTGTTACTGACATTTTTTTCCCATATATTTATTTATTTCTACATTATTGACGAGCATCTAGTTGATGAGTTAATAGAACAAATCAGTATAGATTAGTTAAAAAAAAACAACTTGGAAGAGAAAACATGTATTATTGACGTAAATTTAATCAATTTGAAAAATTATTTCAAAAACTCAATACATGATTAATGCTTGTTGCTATCAAGATCTTTTTGAAGTCAAAATTTGATTGAATACTCATTTTCAAGCTTCTTTTTTTTTTAATGATCCAGGCATGCAAAATTGATCCAGATTACTTTAGTTTAGGAATTAAAGCTTTTTAGTTTATTTATTTTCTTAATTTTTATATTTCTATTATTAATTCTGTGTTATTAATTTAATTTATTTTCTAGCCTAGCCTATTCAATTAGAACAAACTACTTATGGTGTTTGTAAATATTTGACTATTATTATCATATTATTCACAAACATTACTTGCACAATTTATTGTGTTTTTTTTTCAAGGTTTTTGAATACCAAAAAACATTGTTTCTTTTCGTTATACACTGCGTCAACATAAATATTGTTTAACATATAATATGATTTAATTGATAAATTTTAACCTAATTATAAATTAGAGATGATGATGTATTATACAAAATCATACAAGTGACAAAAAAAAAAAATCAAATGTTCATTAAAATTACAATTGAGTTAGAACTTCTTTTCGTGAAATTTTTGATGCCATAAAATTGCACAGATGGATGTGGAGTGGCATTGTTCTTTTATGATAAAAATAAAAGATTTAAGTTTCAATTAATAATAAATCAATACGTTGGAGGTTAAATTTGAAGTTTCCCCTTTAATTATTTTGATAATAAAGGTAATAGAGAAAGGGCCTACGAAGATAGCATGCAATGACATAATTGAGTCGCCAACAGGCTTCTCTTCTCACCCAAAACAACATGCACAGAACCTAAACACGAGACACGTGATTCTCACGACTTGTTGAGCGAGTGGTTATTAAAACTTTCACTAGGCAAACTTTATGTGGCCTTGACTCTCTCTCTCTCCCTCTCTGCTCTGCAATCTCTTACAAGTTGCAACTTCCCAGGTACCAACAACCTATGCGAAAAACCAAAGACCCCGTTTCACCACGTCATCTTCCACGTCTTCAAACTGACATGTCAGATCATCAACTTTTACAACTTAATCTACACGTGTAAGCTAGCATGTGGGTCAAGACGTAACAAGGGCCTAGTTTCCCGCCATCCTTCACGAGCCCAAATGAACCCGGAGTGAACCCATAATGCCATTATGAGCTGGTAATGGAGCTTTTGCTTAAAAATTGCAAGCATGCTCTTCAGAATTTACCACATTTTTGTGTGTGTGTGTGTATATATATATATATATATATATATAAAATGTTTTATGGACGAGTGAGTGGTAAATATGGACTCGACGTCTAACAAAATCTTGCCTGTATTGTCTCTAACCAATGAAAAAAAGAAACTGATGTTTTTGAACAAATTTACTGGCATCAATACAAGGCTACCGGATATTTATGAAATTGTATTTTTTAGAATTAAATTTAAGATTTGAATTCGGATTGGCAAACCCTCCAAACCTTTGAGCAAATCTCTCAGATCACAATAACATCTTCCTATTGAAGCCGATATGTACGGAAATTAAACGATAAAAAGAAGCTCCCCCTTTTTCTTTTCTTTTTTTTCCTTTTCCCCACATTTTCTTAGCCATGGAAGTTTTTGTACTACGATTTTTTCTTTATCGATGTTGAGTACCATCGATGTCTTGCTTTTTTGTAATGCTAGTACTCCTTTCTTGTCTACATATGAAAAACAATGTGCGAAGCTCTAAAGAACAACAGACCCAGCTTAAAGGCAAGTCGATAAAATGGTCACAAACAACACCCACTTGTCGTTTCGAACAAAACTTTACACTAGTTACCTGATATTGACATCATAGCGTGGAGCTAGGACAAACTAACTCAACACAATTTTTGAGAAGCTTAAGCTGCTTAAGACATAATAGATCACCCTTTAAATTGGATTAAGCAATGTGGTTTTTGTTTTGTTTTTTAATTGAAGAAAAAATGTAGAATTACTTGCAATAGAAAAAGGGCATCCTTACTATTCGACCAACATGAATGCCTAAGTTTAACTGTATACATATTGTGGATGAAGGATTGGTACTTTCTCATGGTTAGGGATTCATGTCGAGGTTGCTAATATTTAACTAAGTTCTGGGATGGGATGGATGCCAAATCCTGCTGCCTAACAAAAATAAAATAAAAAATTACGAAAGGATTTTTCAAAGGTTAATTGAAAGGAGTAGACATGGAACATGTGGGGCGAGTGTGTGACATGAGTTTAAACTTTTTTAATTGAATGCTGGAAAGTATGTACCTAGAGATAAACCAGGAGGTGAACTGCCACAATCAACTTAATATTTCAGAGATTTTTTTTTTTTTTTTTTAAAGTAAGTTTGATTTCTATGGCTAGAAGGTTTGAGAATATTATGTTGTTTAATGTATACATGCTATTTTTGTTTTTAATAATTAGGATATACTTTGTGGTTATTTTCATACGCTAGGATCAACTTTTTCTCTACAATATCTTATGTGAATTTTTTTGTTTTTTTTCCAAAGTTCTTTCTAACATGTGTCTCAAAAGTATACGTTTAAATAAAATATTTGAATTTTTATAATCAACAATATTAAGTATTAAAATTTGATTTTATTTAACTATAGAAATAAATCCACTCAATTATAAAACTAAAACTTTTTATTCATATCAATTAACATCTATCCTACAAAAAGTTCAAAAAATAAAATTATTTAACATTCAAGTCCAGCCTCGAGACATTAAATTCGATATATATATATATATATATACTATTAAGTTTAAACATTAATGGTCACATCATCTATCTCTGTTCAACAGATCAAACTCAAACTATATACAATAACCAACTATAACTAACCCAAAACAATTTTGACTCAACTTATGGCATGTTTGGCATGATTCATGAAAATCAACTTTTTACTTTGAATCGTAATTTAAAAATTATTTTTTAAAAATAATTTATGATAAAAATTAATTAAAAATAATTTAAATTAAAAGTATATTATTTGGTTAAAAAAATTCAGAGAAATTTTTTAAAAGAAAAATATAGTATAAATTGGAATTTATAAGTTAAAAGTTAAAAAATTTAACTTTTGATTAAAGCAAAATTTTAAGTTGATTTTGTAACAGATTTTTTATTTAAATTAAAATTTATTTCTAACCAATCAGACTTATCACTTTTATTTGAGTAAAAAATTAAATAACAATTTAAATCAATTTACATAATTATACCAAACAGAACCTTGATTAATGGAGACAAACATAGGGTATTACGTGCTTGAACCCCATTACAGAGTTTCCCATGCATCCACAACAAAACGGACTTTCCAATCTAATCTTGATCATCCATCCACCCCATCGGCCGTTTTTTCTTGCTTCGGACACGACCACGTGGCAGTCATGTCAGTGGACCCCACCTCCCACGGCCTCTGGTTATGGATACATTCGATGGCTCTCTGCCCCAATATTTTCACCTCTTTCTCTCTCTTAATTATCCCTCCAGGTCCAGCCCAGTAGTCTTTGTCAGATTCCGGCCACCACCCTCCTTTTCTCTACATTTATATATACCCCACCCTCCCTTTTCCTTCCTTTACCCCATTTTTTCCTCTCCTCTTTCTCTTCTCCGCCTATACACGTTCCTTCCATATATTAGCTGTGCCACACTACTATAAACTATTTTTGTACTCAATTAAGCAGCAGCTGCTACCCCATTATTAAAGACTTCAGCTTTCTTTCTTGCTTCTTTTTATAGTTTCTTGAATTGGTTTCTTGGGGTACTGATGATTAATAGAGCACTGTTACCAGCTGGTGGAGAGAATATGTTGCACTGTACTGACATGACAGTGCTTGAGAGACAAAGGGCTCGTATCAAATGGCAACAAGAACAACACCAGCAGCAGCAACATGTTCAACTACAACAGCAAGAGAGTAGTTATTTTAGTGAATTGACTGGTGTGTTTCAACAAGCTGGGTTTCATGAGGGGTTAAGTGAGGTGGTGACCCGGTCTGTGAAAACTGACCCAGGTTTGGTCGATAATGCGTGGAATAATGATCACGTTATGGGGTTTGGTTTTGGGCCGCCATATAATAACGGTTTGGGTTTTGAGTTGAATTATGGTACCATTTCGAGGACTTCTAGCTGCCCGCCGGCCGCAGCCGCGGCGGCGGCGGCAGCGGCTCCGGCCACAGTGAAAGTTGCAGAGTCTGTTGCGTCAGATAAGATTAGTTCCGGGGTTGGAAGAGAGAGTTCGAAGAAGAGAAAGGTTGATAAGGTGCAAAATAACCCAAAGGTGTGTGTATTTTTTGCTTTTTAAGTTTTTGTGTCTCTTTGATCATTGTTTTCTTGATCTTTCAGTGCAAAATTGTTTCCATTTTTATGCATGTTGTTTTTATTTGACTTTACTTACAAATTTCAGGTTGAAATGAAAACATTAAGCAAAATATCTTAAGGAATTCAATTGTATGACTGATTTTCCTAGAACAATTAATGTAAGTTTTTTTTTTTTTTTTGGTATGTTACTGTAGGTTGTTGCAGAAGAGGACATCAGGGACAAGAGAATCAAAGGATGTGTAGAGGAAGGAGAGTCAAAGATCACAGGGAAAACTAACAACAAAGGCAGTAGCAGCAATAACACCAGCAACAGCAACAAAAACAATAACGGTAAAAAAGAAAATTCTGCTGAGACTTCAAAGGACAATTCCAAAGTAACTGAGGTTCAAAAGCCAGATTACATTCATGTCCGGGCACGTCGTGGTCAAGCTACTGATAGCCACAGCTTAGCTGAAAGAGTGAGTAGGAATTTTAATATTTTCTTTGCGTTTTAGATCAACCCTTTTTTTCCTCTGCTCTGTAGATCATATTTAAAAATCCTGTATAATATGTAGTATTGTTGTGTGTGTTATGCAGGTGAGGAGGGAAAAGATCAGTGAAAGAATGAAATATCTGCAAGATTTGGTACCAGGTTGTAACAAAATCACTGGAAAGGCAGGCATGCTTGATGAAATCATTAACTATGTTCAATCACTTCAACGACAAGTAGAGGTAAATAGTAATCCATGGTGATACTGTAATGTCAATATTTGTGGTTATTGTTCTTCAAAAATTTTTACTCTTTTTTTTTTTTTTTTTCAAATTCTGGAACAGTTCTTGTCAATGAAACTAGCTGTCTTAAATCCAAGGCTTGACTTCAACATTGACAACTTTTTTGCCAAAGAGGTAAAGAATCTTTTCACGGAGTGGTATATTTAGCACCCAAACCAAAATTTCAAGTGTTTGTTAGTGGTTTATTTTGTTACTGATGAACTCCTTATTGTTTCAATCAGCAGGATTTCCCTGCTTGTTCAACCAATTTTCCCACAATTGGGATGTCATCAGATATGACTAATCCTGCATACGTTCAGTTTAATCAATCACAACAACAATTAGTTACATGCTGTGGATTGGATATGGGGATAAATCCTCCTGATATGGCGCTTAGAAGAACAACTAGTGCTCCTGTATCTATTCCCGAAACGTTTCTTGACTCATCCTGCTTCACTGTAATTCCTTGTTCACTTTTTATTTCTAATTTCATATAGTTTAGCTTTTTCTAATCTTATCTTACTTATCTTGCAGCAAATCCAGCCCCCACCAACTTGGGATGCTGATCTACAGAATCTTTACAATGTAGCATTTGATCAAGGAAGACAAACATCCTTCCCAACTCAGCCATTTACAGGTAAGATAGAATCATCCTGTCTTTTTTATCTTCGCTTTATTGATCTGATAAATCCATAAGGCTAAGAACAAAGCAAAGTGGGTTTAACTACCAATGATGGAGAGCGTAGAGAACCCCACAAAAGTTAATGATTTTCCTTTGGGACTAATACAAGTCTTTGTGATAGAGGTGGAGAAAGTTGTTCACAGGGAACTTCCTATCTTTTCTCCCAAATGATCAAAACCACTGATTCTTTTCAATGACTATTAAGTCTCCCACAATTCTTTCTCTATAAAGAAGAACCAATCAAAGGTGCAAAGCATTTTGACTCTGTAAAAACATGATGGCCATCTATTGCCAATTGATGGCACAAAAATGGGTCCCTGGTTAAATATTTGACAAAGTCTATAATTCTTATAATAAATTAACCTTGATGCTTATGATTGTTTATCATGTTGGAATGTAATCTACTAGTTGGTGGAAAGAGCAACCATTAGATAATGAGGCTGCCTTTTTCTGTTCCTAAATTCCCCTGCCTCCCATTTTCATCACACAATACGATGACTCATGCTCTTGTAAGATTAACGATGGATTCTAAAAGTTGTCATGCCAACTCTTGCAGGTTCTATTGAAGCTAGCAATCTGAAGATGGAGATGTGAATCAGATTATCAATTTATACAATTCTTGAAGACTTTATTCTACATTGCCTTTGATCCTGATTCTTTTACTTCGCTAAGTACATAACTTATATAGTTGTATGTATACTTTCGACATAGTATGAATAAAATCGATACCTATTAACATCAAAGCCTTCTTTTTCTCGCAATGTATAGATAGGAATCACACCTTAATGATTTTCCATTTCACCAAAAAAGTGGATAGCGATGGAGGGGACCAAAGAATTAGGGTTGAAGGCAAGTTTAAGCAATGGTAGGGCAAGTGGAACTTAAAATGAATGAAGGGACAGAAACCTAAGGTCCTGCTTCACAAAGTATCTTGAATCGTAAGGCCTTTTCATGGACTAATTCCCCATTTCATAGCAATTTTTATTTATTTATTTATTTATATTTTTTATCGAAGAGGAAAAGCGCAGAAGTAGAACAAGCCATAAGTGTGATTAAGATGCAAGAACGGCCACATGTAGATTGTAACTTCCATCAAAACCTGTCCTTGTAAGTCCAGTGGCACAAGTTGTCCCTCTGTTGGATGAACCTGAGTGACAAGTTTATTTAAGACCAGAGGACATGAGCCTACTGGTGGACCTTCTCAGCTCCCTTTAGAGCAGAATAATATATATATATATATATATATATATTGATTGAGACTTTGATAATTAGGCAATATATTAAGAATAAGAAGCATGAATTCGTTAGGGTGGTTTTCATGTCCTAACATGCATATTGCATTTATGTTTGATCATTATCCATCTCTTTAAATATCTCCAGTGAGTTACTGATTTTGCCTTGGCAAACAGTTCATCTATATTAATTTTTCGGTTTTACGACTGGGTGGTATTCTCGAACCAGTTTTTGTGTTCAGGGATGAAGTCTTCTTTCATGCAGTTCTAAGGTATATCATTCACACCGCAAGTAGGAGTTTTATGAGAATTTTATTTCTTACAATCTGACTTAAGGTTTGAATCCTCGTGACAGAGGAGAAAATATACCTCATTAACTATGAGGCTAACCCCCTCATTTTAAGTCATCCAGATTACTAAATACTCATTAATTTTTCCATTCCCAACCATTTGACAGGTTTCTTCTTTCAAGGCAACAGAAAAGCCAATGATCTAGTCTGAAAATGACCCTGATTCAAGTTGCTTAATTTAATTCTCTTTTCTAGATATCTGATAAAATGATACGAAAGAAGAATTTTTATGTGTTTGTTTTTTCGTTTAGAAACAAAACTGGGTGACATATGTGATATGTACCATTACCAAAGCTGTAAAGGCTTCGGTGCTTTACCGAGTCCATTCATAACTACGAGATGTTGTTCTAAAAGCTCTGTGTACCTAATACCAGTATAGACTACCGACAATTCCAGACAAGATGACAAGAATGCTATGCAGATACAGAAGTACATTAACTACTCATTTCAGTGAAAAAGAAAAGGACTGGGCACAAACTTAAGCATTCGTTTTTTTTTTTTTTTTCAAATATTTTTGTTGTTTTCTATTGTTTTTGATAACAAACCAAAATCATCTTTATGATGAAATATCCTTTGGTCACCAAACTGGTAAAATGGCCTAGAACAATTTCCTTTGGAGACTTGCAATGTAGGATGTTCAAATTGGGTTAACATCTTTCTCCTCTCGGTAAGAAGTTACAATCTTGACATCATTTGAAGGGGTTTAGGTAACCAAAATGTGAAATAGTGAGCTTCAACTTTCACATGCAGTGTTGTATATTTTGTGCCTATGAAGAGTTTATATCTTGAATGTACATTATTGACAGACATACCTTCTAATAGTCAAATATTAATTAATAAGAAAGGAGTCTTTTAGTGTTGGTTCGGACAATAAGCAGGGGACCACGACCACGAGGCTGCGTACATCTTCACTGCATCCTCTTGTTCTTGGGTTATCACGAGCCTCATGCTGAATTCGTTTTCGAGCCATATAGAATAGTGAAATGGGTGGACCTGGCCTCATCCAAAGGCAAGATCTGTTTGATTCTCTTTGTTTTCTATGGATGGTGAAAGATGATATAGCCTTTTCTCTTTCTTGGGCCCATTTTTGCTTTTATTTTTTTTTATCTTCCCAATCTTTGAGGTTTTTCTCTCCACCTTTCACACGGAGCAATTCCAAGGTATATAAAGCTAAAACCCACAAAGATTCTTTTGGCTGTGTGTGTATTCTCCCAAGTTTGTGACCTTAACTGTAACAAGAATCCTGCAAATAGCCAAGACAAATCTAATATCCTATTTCTTTGGACAAAGTAAAGCGATACATTTGGTATAAGCAAGCGAGATTAGGCTCAAAGTTGAATGTATGTATTAATGGTCGGGAATCTGTGGACTATGTCTGAGCCAAGGCAAAGAAAACAACAAAATTAGTAACACAATATCCTGGAGTCCTGCTCCTATCCATCCGAGCCTGCAGTGTAGGAATCATAAGTAGGCTGGCAATCGCCATCTCTGAGACAAGCAAAGTTGTGTGTAGAATCTGAAACTTGTAAAAAGGTAACACCTGCTAGTTGAAAAATTTTATAATACATCAAGAGTAAGTAGTGACATGTACGGTAGTTACTCCATGAGTTCACTTTGAAAGAGAGATAGATACATTAAAAAATAGAAATTACATCTATACCCATAAAAAGTCTTAAGAAGATTTCAGTGTCCGTTTAAATTTTTTTATTTTCTCTCTCGTTTTTCTCTCTTTTTGTATGTCTATCTCTCTTCTCAAAGTGGATACATGAAATAACTACTGTACATGCCACTAGTTACTCCTGGTGTATTATAAAATTTCTCCTTGCTAGTTCGAACAGCAGGCCAAGTTGCTAAAATTAGGAAGATTAACAATAGCAATCATTGTAAAGCATACTTTGGCATGAACTGCTTTCTGCAGTCAAATAGAACAGGATGAAGAACAGAAGAATTTCTGCTGTTAACTCTCAATCCAGACACGAATCGAGTTACATTCCCTGACCCAGAAAGTTCATCTATGCCAATAAGGAATGACATATACAAAATATTGTAAACTGTAAACTTACTAGTTGCACATTTGGTACAGTAATATGTTTTTCACATGACTTGCAGTTTCTTACTTGTTGCTAACCCTACTACATCAACGGTGTGTCCTCAGCTTCAGAAAAAATGCCAACAGAAAAGAAAAGGAAAATCATAGTTAAGTCCCCAACATTTGGATTCATCGTAAAAGAATGAAGGAATAAAATAAGTAGATCATAATACCTTTTCCAGGAACAATTATAACAGGCACTTTACAGTTGTGGAAGCAATACTCTCCCACACTTCCCTGCAGCAAACTGTATGATAAACCAATGAAACAATCAGAGAAGGGGAAAAGAGAGAGAGAAAAAAACAAGAGAACATCAAATAGCTTTAATATTAAGACTTCTGGAGAAGAGAACCTTTGGAATAAGCCAAAGCCTCTAGTGCCCATGACCACAGCTGCTGGCCTTAACCTGTCTGCTTCCCGGCAAATTACTTTACCTGGATCCCCTTCTACAATCCGAGCTGCAGTTTTCACCTAGTTACACATTAACCATACAGATTTTGTTGATGAGATCACAAATAAACACAATGAACTAGACAAATACTATATTTATTAACAAGAGAATAGATAATCACTTTAAAAAAATATTGAGTATAAACATTGAGCTAAGAGTGAGCCCTCAGCACCATCTCACAAAAGCTGTAATTACCAAATCACAAATACAGGCAAGAAGCTAATGAATTTTGTGCAAAAAGAAATAATATTAATGTGTTCCAATTTCCTTTTCATGTCCACAATTCTGAGTTCCTTTCTAAGATTAGAACCATGGAACATACAGACTATGGTTTTGTTAGTTTCTATCTGATGTGTACAATTTTTTTATTTTTTAGGAATGAATTAATTCATTGATCATGGAAAAAGAGTAGGATCCAATCCATACTTTTTATGCATCAACATAAAATTATGTTCCAGGGATGTTCTGTAATGTAGCATCAATGTCGATTAATTTTTATAAGTTCAAGCAAGAAATCCTTAATTTAAGAACTTCATCTTGCAAATTGCGTGGCCATTTCTGATGAGGAGGTCATAAAAAATTAAATTCTAATTCTTTTCCATTCAAATATAATCATTTATACGAGTAAATTATTACAAAACCAATCAAAGAGCAAAAAATTTAGAAAAAAAAATGCAATCTATTAAAAAAAAAAACAGAGATAATACTGACCATTGCCACCTGCAATGCCTCGATGGCAAGCTTCTCTAGGAGCCCTTCAGTTGCTTCATAAAGAAGTCTATTTTTCAAATCTACAAGAACCCACATTTCAATCCAAAATGAAATGCACTCATGCAAACTATAATCAAATTCTGATGAAAGAATAATTTTTTTAATTACATATTATACCTGGAATGGCATGTACAAGATGAATGGTGTCAGCCAGGCGGCAAAGATGGATCAAGGCCCAATCAAATGCATGTTTGCTTTTACGCCCATGATCAATGGCTACAAGAATGTCTCTGCCTCTCCTTCTTTCTCCTGTTTCTCTATCAAGTTCAGGTTTTGGTACCACAGGAATAAATGATGGCAGCTTTACTTCTTTCCAGTTGTACTCTACATTCTCTTCAAGGGTTTCTAACGCTTTCATCGTATGTTTTTCTCTTCTCACAGATTGTGAAGTACTCATTATTTTGATTGTTCAAAACAAATAATGAAACAAAACGTTTGGATTCTGATTTTAGATTTGTTTCTGTTTCTGTTTTTGGCAGTTGAGAAGTTCGTGCCTCAAGTTGGAGAATTTCCCTGTATGCTGCGTGACTTAAAAAAAGCGTGACTTTGTCTTTTGCTATTTTGGGTTTTTCTTTCTCCAATTCCTGATAACCTTTCAGCGTGGTTTAAAAGGGCCCATTTATAGATTTAAAAGTAACAACCATGAGCTACTAGTCCCGAAGTTTTTGGGCCTTTCAAATCTTTCTCTTTGATGGCCTTTATAGCCCAACTCAGACAGACCCAATTTTGGAATCAGCATCCATTTTAACCAACCAAGCAGATAATTTTGGTCCAAATGAACTAATATTTTTTATTATGAAAGCAAGATTTCAAGCCTTGCTGCTTCAACAGTAGAAAACAAACAGGTTAAGATGGGATTCTGGGATTTCTTGCACAATTTTGCAGTTTCTGACTGCCTGGAGATTTGAAGCATGAATGCTATACAATTGCAAGAGCAATCTTGAAAATTTGCATTAGACATTAACTGCTGCAATCCCGCAGAAATAGATAAATACTGCGAACCACCAGAATGGAGAGGCCGTGTCAGATATTGACCAATTCATTTCTGATTTCTGCTATGTTAAGCAACAAATCAATGGATGCAAAGAATGAATGCTCTAGCTAATTCAAGCAATCATCAATAAAATGCTTAGTTATTACATAATAAAAAGCACCACAAGTAATTATCATCATGCATAACAGAACATTCCTGTTACAAATTAACAATCAACTTCTTCAAAACCTTGCTATCGCAGACAACCAAACGAACAAATTACATGACCTTCAAGGGCTGAATCGGCTATATCAATGATTCATTTATGACCTTCAAGTGCTGAATCCGCTATATCACTGCTAAACATCCAGCATCTGGAAATCAAAACAAATTTATAAACTTGAGAAAAATCCCACAACAGTTTGAACTAAACAAAAGAATTTCATTTGAAGTTAGCACCTTTCCCGGGAACAATTATAACTGGTGCTGCTTTACAATGGTGGAAGCAATATTCACTCACACTACCCTGAAGTACACTGCAGGAGTGAGGTAGACATGAGAACAGACAGAGAGAGAAGAAGAGAGGGAGTGAGAAGGGAGATAAAAGAACCTCTGAACTAAGCTTCTGCCTCTGGTACCCATCACCACAGCTGCAGGCTTTAACCTTTCTGCTTCCTTGCAAATTATCTTACCAGCATCCCCTTCTACGATCCGAGCCACAGCACTCACCTAATAAAACACAAGTCATATTCAAAAGAAATCGAGGGAAAACATCAATTTTGTGCAGATTGTTGTCCCTTAAATAATAGTTGAAGAACTCAGAGCTACATGATGTAAGTTAAAATAATTAGATAGTATGCACAGGATCACAAGATTATGAACTAAAGTAAAAGAATAAGGACATCATAAACCAAAGCTTAGGCATCCAAGTTTGTATAATTGTCGGTCAGCAAAAAAAAAGATGAAAGCAAATGGTTTAATTGTCAAAGTCATAAATAGAATCATAACCACAAAAATCATATGTTAGGTGCGATTATGCAGTAATAGATGTATCATGATTCACGAACCTAATAGATGCGTTTATGATCATTCAAAATCAAGATAATTAACAGTTATTATTCTAATTTTGCAATTAAGAATTACTTTCATGATATTAGAGTAAAATACTTTCAAGGAAAAATAAAAGGGCGGATCACTGACCATGGCAACCTGCAAAGCCTCCACAGCAAGCTTCTCCATGAGTTGCTGGCTTGTCTCATAAACAATAGTATTTTGCACACCTACAAAAACCCATCAAGGAAATCAAACCAAAATTCTCAATTATGTAAATTACAAACAAACATGATATTAACAACATACTGGAAACAGCATGGACAAGATGGATGGTATCAGCTAGTCTGCAAAGGTGAATCAAAGCCCAGTCAAAAGCATGCTTGCTATTAGGTCCATGATCAATAGCTATCAGTATGTCTCTGCCTCTCCTTCTCTCCCCAGTCTCTCTTTCCAGTTCTGGTTCGGGTACTATTGGAATCAACGAAGGCAGCTTCACCTCTCTCCAGTTGTACTCTTCATCTTCTTGCAGTACCTCCATTGTTTTCTTTCTCTATATATATTTTTTTCCCTGGGTTAGAGTCTAAAACTCTTATCTTTTTCTGTACAAATTTTCTACAACTCTTTCTCTCTCTCTCTCTCTCTCGCTCTTTTTCCCTGGTACGGTTTCTGAGAGCAAAAGCTGCTGGTTTTTTATTATACAAAGGTGGTTTGGCTTTCCCTTCTTTCTTCTAAGTACATTTGTCCACTTGCGTGTCTGAACTGTGGAATAAATTATAAGTTAGTCTCTTTTCTTTCGAGGAAAAAAACTAATTAATTAATTTTTTATGTTTTAATTCTATCTGTTAAAGCAGAAATACAGCCTGTTTGTTTTTTGTTCTCAAATTGTTTTTTCACTCACATTTTTTCTATATATCTCTCTCTTCAAAGACAAAAGCAAATTTCTATTTTTCTCTTTAAATTTTCATTTCTTATTTTATTAATTTCCAATTTTTTTATTCTCTCTCTCCTTGAATACCAAACCAAATTTCCATTTCTCTCTTTAAATTTTCATTTCTAATTTTATTAATCTTCATTCTTTTTCTTTCACCTTAAACACCAAACTAAATCTCCATAAATAGATATATATTGTAAGCGTATTTTAAGAGACTAATCATTTATCAAAATGAGAGTGACTAATTTCTAATTTATTCCTGAATTAAGCATGTGAACCACATTTGCTGCCTTTCTTCCTTTGATTAGTTCAACCTTCACAGGAAAAACAAAAAAGTGGGCCTCTTGACGGACCCTTGTCCTTTTTGAACCCTGTAATGGGCTGGAAGATGGAAGCCCACTCACATGCCAATTTATAATTTATTTTTCATGACCCAAGGAGAGTTCAGAATTCAAAAGGGCTTCTGCAAAAGCCTTATAGAATGGTTCCCGGGAAAATGCGATATAGAACAATTTTTAATTCATGAGGAAAAATTTGGGACTACCAGTTTCATGAAAAGGTTATAACCTAAGTACTATCTGGAAAAGCTACTTAGAGGATTTAATTTTGTGTAAAGAAATACTCCCATGTTGCTTTCTTGTGCAGTTCTTCGATTGGATATTGAACTTCAGAGATTCCATTGGTCTTTTCACTTTAAATCCACTTCTCATGACCCAATCCAATTTTTTCCCTCTTTTTTATGGATAAAGAAAGCTTGTACTTTATTTTAATCTTCAATTTCCTTACCCCAATATGAATTGCTCATCATAACATAACATAATTCAGTGAAATACGATTACAAAAAGACACCTACTTTGGTCAATCAATCCATTCCTTTTGGACATTGAAGATTTTAAACAACTGTTTAAACAAATTGGCCATGTTCCTTCGGATCAATGCATCCACAGATTAATATAGCTCCCAAAACACAGAAAACACGCAGTTTTTAAGCAATTCTAAATTATATAAAAAGTTAAAAGAACAAGTTAAGCATTGACCGGAAGATTTTTACAAAAAAAAAACGTAACAAACAATAAAGTTTTAGCAAACGAAAAGGAAAGAAAGAAAAATAGAAACTAAAAATTAAAAGAAAGAGAAGGTGCTCAGACAGTGAAGAATGGATTAGAGGTTTTTCCTCACGGTTAATATCAGATTAACGAGATTATAATTTCATCATCACAGCACCTTCTGTTTTTTGATATAAACAGATTTTGTATAAGAATTAAAAGAAAACCCATCAAAATGAAAGAAACAAAGTATGATTTTGCGGCGGAAGGAAGAGAGATTTGACAGACCTTAACTTCAGCTTTCAAAGCTACAAAGATGGGGTTTAGGGTTTGCCGACCTTTAATTTATAGTGATGATGGACATCTCTTAATTACTGAAATACCCTTTTAGCTCCCTAGTGGATAGACCTGAAATGGCCCGGCGGACCTATTATAAGCCTCGTTCAATTAACCAAAATCTAGCCCAGAAAAATGGGCTGGAAAAAGCGGGTACCATGGGCCTCTCTAAAACCCATCATACGTTTCAGTTTTTTTCGTTTTCGTTTTTGTTTTTTTTTTTTCCCATACAATTGTTATCTATATTCAAGCTAACCAAGTACTCATGCACTGTCAAAAGGAAATCGCTATGGTTAAACCAATTAATCCTTTTCGTAGGACGTAGGGTGTTTCTTGTTTGTAGGAATGAAGAAAAAGATCAAGGAATATACCTACGTCTACCTAATTAGCCGCTCCAATTAATGACTTTGTAGTCCAGGTTATTAGGATACGATTCCTTTGTTTAAAGGATTCTTGAAGTTTTTAAGATTATTATACCTATATGCCCAGCTTGACTTCTTCCCTTTTTTTTTTTTATTTATTTATTAACGTAGGTGAGAAAATGAGTAGGTACGAAAAAATCATGTTTTAGGGAGGTAATCTATTTTTCTCAATACCTTATTACCAGGTCAATGGTGGCTATAGTCTACCTAAGGTCGGATAGGAAATAACCTTAGTTTTAGTATTCAAAAGTTTTTATTTTTGGTTCAATTATAAAGGAATTTTGTGATTAATTTGTGCTTTAACTGTGACTAAATTAATCTGTAAATATTGTAGATAATAATTTTTTTCAAAAAAGAAACAAAAAAGAAAAAAAGGAGTAATACCCAATTTGGCTATTTTTCTATTCTCATCTACCTATGATCTATAAAACGGTGTTTGGTATTAGAACATTTAAGATAATTTGAAAAAAACAATTCGAGATGCCAAACATTCTTGTGTTTGCTATGCCAAAAAAAATCCCGAATATTCAGGAATCTCGAATGTCTTAAAACATTAGATTAGATTGCTCAAAAAGCTGGAAATGTTTTTTTTTTTTTAAAGGAGGAGAATTCAAGACCTGTGGTTTATATAATTAAATTAACTAGCATACTCTTATTTTTATTATTAATAACAAAAATACTTTATATAACTAGTTTATACTTAGTTGCTCGGAAATAATGAATTTGAACACTTTATATTATACATTTTGTTGACTTTATTCTAATACCAATTTATTAATATGATATGCGCGCATGTTATAAAATTTGTTAATATATATATATAATTTTACAAAGTTAAAATATCATTAAATTCATTTCGATTTTTTAGTTTCAAATACATGTAATAATACAAGGGTTGATATTATTAAATTACGAAACATATTTTCTAGTTAAATTAGATTATCTAAATATTAAAGTAAAATTAATAGTAAACTTACTTCCATTCTTTGTGAATTTTCAACAATGAACTTAACAGTATAAAGATACAATAATTTTCATTTTCAACCAAATACAATTATTATATTTTCATTAATATTCACATACCAAGCAATAACTTCCCAAGAAAACATTTAAGAATCTGCATATTAAACGCCGCCTTAAAATCACTTGCTTGACTTTACTAAACGTTGGGGGCATTTCACGTTATTGGCTCTGTAGCTAGAGCGTACATATAACCCTGTGAAGTATCAAGGGAAATTCTTTCAGAAAATATTAATTTTTTGGGCCAAATTGGATGGAAATATGAACATTCATTTAGGCCGCCATGTAACAAGTTAGATTACAACTTCAAAATGAAATAATCCGCGCATGTCAAGCACAATCAGCTGGCAATTACAACAATTCCCCTCTAATTTGCATGCATATTTACGTTAAGCTCGTCATCTTTAAGCTTCAGTAGTAAGAAATCGGCCGCAGGCCACCAATTTCATTGACCTTGAGTTGGATAAAACTTATAATAAGAACCATTGAAATTCTGTAAACAGTATATAAATCAAGGACCTTTGATTGATCCTTAAACAAATTAAACCATTGTTTAGTAATTTTTGAATTGTCTGCACCACCACCGAGACGACGGAAAGTGATCAATCACATGCGCACATGGGTTCTGCTACAATGAAGGTTTATGCTTATATTGTTGTGATTTTAGCTCATTTTGCTTTAGTTTCCTTCATGGCTACCGCTACGACAGGATCGATAGACATGTCAACTGCTATTCTGATAAGGGTTGATCAATCTGGTCAAGGAGATTTTAAGAAAATACAAGATGCTATTGATTCTGTTCCATCTAAAACCTCTGAATTGGTTTTCATTTGGGTTAAGCCTGGAACTTACAGGTTTGTGCTCGAAAAACTAATTTAATTTGCCTACTAATTGACGTTATTTTATTCCTGTAGTACTTAAAATGTTGTGTTTCTAATGAACTTGTATCTTTGTATTATTTTTAATTTTACGTTAATCTGTGCTTAAGCAGAGAAAAGATTGTTGTCCCCGCTGATAAGCCCTTCATAACATTGAGTGGGACACAGCCTTCAAACACCATAATAACATGGAATGATGGTGGAGACATAATGGAATCTCCTACACTAACTGTATTAGCCTCTGATTTTGTTGGTCGATATCTCACTATTGAGGTACTTAATTGCTTTGTGCTATGTTTCATTTTCCTTTTGTGGTAGAACTAGACAAAGCTACAAGATGTTGAGTTTCAACGAATTCTGACCTCTTTTTTTTTTTTTTTTTTTTTTTTTTTTTTTTTTATCTTGATGGTTGCCAATAGAATACATTTGGAAGTGGTGGAAAAGCTGTTGCGCTAAGAGTGTCAGGAGATAGAGCTGCATTCTATGCTTGTAGGATTCTTTCTTATCAGGATACTCTCCTTGACGACACTGGTTCACATTATTATAGCAATTGCTACATTGAAGGAGCCACTGATTTCATATGTGGAAATGCTGCTTCACTCTTTGAAGTGAGCACAATATTTCTACTCTATGCTCGTCTAGATTAAAATCTAAAAGGAAGAAATCAGCACCCGAAATGAAAATTAATTAATTTGTACATTTTTTTCCCTGCAGAGGTGTCGTTTGCATTCAATTTCCCCAAACAATGGCTCTATTACCGCTCAACATAGGAGCTTGCCATCTGAGAATACTGGTTTTGTCTTCCTGGGGTGCAAAATCACCGGCGTCGGAACTACATTTCTAGGACGGCCATGGGGTGCTTATTCTAGAGTGTTGTATGCCTTAACTTACATGTCAGGTGTAATAAATCCAGCTGGATGGGATGATTGGGTTGACCCAAGCAAGCACAGGTCGGTATTTCGTTGACACATTCATGTCAGAATCTAACAACAAAATTCTAATTGATATCTTTCCAATTCTTAACATCATTTTTCGTGTTCATTATTTAATTAGTAGAACGTTTTCTAACATTTTTTTTTTGTGTTTGTTCAATTTCTGCAACAGTACGGCGTTCTATGCCGAATACAAGTGTTATGGTCCTGGGGCTGATAGATCTAAGAGGGTTGAATGGTCAAAGAGCCTGTCCGATGATGAGGCTGCACCCTTGTTAACGAAAGACGTGATCGGAGGGGAAGTTGGCTTAGGCGCCCTTCGCCAACCACCTTCAAACGAGGCTCTACCATTATTAAGCCTGGCAGCAAACTGTGACTTCAGAAAGTGAATATTGCTGCTATTGCAAATTCATACTTCCGATCATCAATTCTTTGTACTTAACGGATACTATTTATTAATTTTTTCTTACATTGGATCTCATTGAATGTTTTAATTTTTTCATTTATCCTCTTGATGAAAGATATGTTATTTATACATGTGATAATATTATTTCCAAATCCAAATTTAACTTTTCTTTCTACCGATTAATGTTTTACTTTTGACCAATGCTCCTTATGATGATAATATGGCACCAACATGAATGCTGTGTGTGTGTATATATATAGAAGAGAGCTGGTACTTAACAGAGACCGTTCGAAGGTTCTATTCTTGCACGTTTATAAGCAGCTTCACAAAATAATAGTAGTAAAATTATTCAACAAACAGAGAGACATGACAAAAACTCACCAACAAATAGGTGGCTGTAAACAAAGATTGCGCTGAAAGAATTGCCTCTATTTATTTCCTGAATCCATTTTGAAGGTTTCATTCAAAAACAAATAAATACTTACAAGCAAGGTTCTGGTTTCATGACTAAAATATTAAGGCAGGCAAAAAAGAGCCAAAAAAAAAAGAAGAAGTAGAAGAAGAATTAATTAGTCCTTGTTCCTGATCTCATTTACAAAGCTTAACCTAGTTGGCTTTAGCTACCAAACTTTTTGGTTATACCATAAAAAGTTTCGGCGTGGTGGGTCAAACCTAGCAGAGTAAAATCAGGTGCATAGATTAAAAGCTAGCATTTCAGAAAATGGTGGAAAAACTTTGAAACTAATAAGACCTGATGATTAAGAAATTATGACATGGACATGGATTAACTCAGATCAAATTACATGAACACCAGCTACAGTAGTCAGTGATTATTCTACAGTTACTGCATCAAAAAACTGCAGTTTTGATTCACACGAACCCATTAACATGTTCTTAACATTCCACATCGCACCACCCACAAGAAAATAAGTAAGGGAAAAAAGAGTGAAAATTCGATCTCTTTCCTTAACAGTAAGGCCGATCAGAGGAGAAATGTTTGGCTTAAGGTAGCTCTCATGCTCGTATATAACTAGTATTTTTAACAAACCTGTGGATTCTTAGCTGTTCTAGTCTCCTTTTCAAGTTGAATTGGTACTCTTGAAGTCCCTGTCAGCGTTTTCCTTACGAGCTTTTGTATGCAACCAGTACCCAATCTTCTACTTAATTCAACAACACCACCTCCCTCCTACTTTAACAAACTGAGAGTCTTTCTTAACCCCTTTCAATTACTATATATACCAACGGATTTTAACTCCCTTTGTCCCATCGAAAAACACTTCACATTACATTCCAAACATTTACAACCAACACAATGGCAGCAGCATTGTCTCAAAAATTTTGTTGGGGTTCTTATTTTCTCTTTCTCTGCTTAATTGGATTCATTTTTCAACCGGTTGAAGCTGCTGTTAAGAAATACCAGTTTGACGTGATTACTTAATTTTGATATTTTTTTTGTAGTAAAAAGTACTTAATGATAGTTTTTTTCGCATTTCTGCTTTCTTGTGAAATACTTATACCAGTCCGATTTTCTTTTCTTTTTTTTCAATTTTTTTTTTTGGTCAGATTCAAGTGAAAAATGTTAGCAGGCTGTGTCATGCCAAGCCGATTGTCACGGTAAATGGGAGGTTCCCAGGGCCAACTGTGTATGCTAGGGAAGGAGACAGAGTTCTAGTGACTGTAACCAACAGCGCAGAATACAACATGTCTATTCATTGGTATGATCAATGAATAGTTGCATGTTTGTGACCTTATGAATTTGTGTGAAATATCTTATTTTGCTAATGGAATGAATATTGGTTTTTGCAGGCATGGACTAAAGCAATTTCGTAATGGCTGGGCTGATGGACCTGCTTATATAACACAATGTCCAATCAAGACAGGACATAGTTACACCTATGATTTTAATGTAACAGGGCAAAGAGGAACGTTGTGGTGGCATGCACATATCTTTTGGCTAAGGGCTACTGTCTATGGTGCCATTGTTATCATGCCTAAACCAGGGACCCCATTTCCTTTCCCTCAGCCTCATAGGGAAGAAAACATTATTTTAGGTGGGATGGAAATTAACTTGATCGATGAACTTTTATTGTCTAGGACGTTTACATTTCTGATACTATAGAGTTTTCTACAATTCTTGAAAATGTGTAGGAGAATGGTGGAACAATGACATCCAAGAAATTGAAAAACAAGGGAGCAAGCTGGGATTGCCGCCGAATGCATCTGATGCCCATACCATTAATGGGAAGCCAGGGCCACTTTTCCCATGTTCTGAGAAACGTGAGCAAATATTTTGATCACAGATATGGAGCACATAATAGGACAGAAGAGAAATTTTCTAACATGTTCTATATTAGATCTCCTTTAACTTGTCATTTGCTGTCTTTTTGGCAGATACATTTAGCATGGACGTTGAACAGGGAAAGACTTATCTCTTGAGAATCATCAATGCTGCACTTAATGATGAGCTTTTCTTTGGTATTGCTGGTCACAACATGACCGTGGTAGAAATTGATGCAGTTTACACCAAACCCTTTACAACAAAAGCATTACTAATTGCACCAGGACAAACTACGAATGTTCTTGTTCAAGCAACACAATCACCAAACAGATATTTCATGGCTGCTAGACCTTTCATGGATGCACCACTTACCGTAGACAACAAAACTGCCACTGCTATACTGCAATATAACGGCATCCCAAACACTGTACTCCCTATCGTTCCCCAGCTACCAGCACCAAATGACACGGCTTTCGCCCTTAGCTACAATGCCAAACTTAGAAGCCTAAACTCTCCACAATTCCCAGCAAACGTACCCCTTAGAGTGGACAGGCATCTTTTTTACACGATAGGTTTAGGAATAAATCCATGTCCAACTTGCTTAAATGGAACACGACTCACTGCTTCCTTAAACAACATCACTTTTGTAATGCCCCAAGTTGGCCTCCTTCAAGCTCACTACTTCAACATCAAGAGAGTATTTAGGTTAGATTTCCCAGATAACCCTCCAACGCCATTCAATTACACTGGTGCACCACTTACTGCCAATCTTGGTACTACATTAGGCACCAGGCTAAGTAAAATTAACTACAATTCATCTGTGCAATTGGTACTACAAGACACCAATCTTCTCACTGTCGAATCACACCCTTTCCATCTTCATGGTTACAATTTCTTCGTTGTTGGGACCGGAATTGGAAACTTTGACCCTAAAAAGGACCCAGCAAAATTTAACTTGGTTGATCCTCCTGAGAGAAATACAGTCGGAGTACCTACTGGTGGATGGACTGCCATAAGGTTCAGGGCAGATAATCCAGGTACATACAATGACACGAGTACAAAACCATATGGACTTCAATATGGCTCTTCTTGTTGTTTAGTCATCTAAAGTTTTTTTTTTAATATTATTATTATTTTAATTACTTTTCAGGGGTATGGTTCTTGCACTGTCATTTGGAGCTACACACAGGCTGGGGAATGAAAACAGCATTTGTCGTCGAGAATGGAAAAGGCCCAGATCAATCTATCTTGCCTCCACCGAAGGATCTTCCTCCCTGCTAGGATCCGGAGCCAAACATCTCAATTTGGAATGTTTGAAGAGGATGGCTAACACTGTCTAATTTACAATTCTTTATAGCTGCGAGAGCTTAAGTGTAAATGGAGGAATTGAATAAGCAATTGTTTCGGATTCTTTGTAATTGAAAATTTGTTATTGTCCAATAAATTTACTAGTCATGATGGCCCCACCTATTAAGCCCAACAGATTACCACCACTTGATTTTGGTTGCTTTCTAGGCTATGATCATTTCGAAAACTAGTTGAGATCTCACTCGCAAACTTTACTACTAAATTTGCATAATATCTTTCAAGATTCTAAGTGTATATATGTATTGAAAGTATGCTTCCAATCAAATTCCTTGGCTAGTTGAATCCAATATACGGCTTCAAGACATGACCTTCAAAGTGAATCCAAGGCCCAAGCCATACACCTGAAAGAAATGTAAGCAGTAATCGTTCCCAATCCCTGGGAAAGAAGGGTTTGTCTGATCGGAGGGATCATCTTCTGGTTTGTTCTTACTTTAGTTTCTTTTCCGTTGGGGATAATGCAAACAAATGAGGCTGAGTCATGATATCAAAAAACATTTTGGTGTCTATCAATATGGGGACCTGTCAGAAAATGATACCCAAATGAAAAAAGCCTGTATTCATTCTTAAAAGAGGCTATCCAAAGCTGTTCCAAAAGCTCATAAAGACAGGCCCCAACTCCCCACCCCCATACACCGTTCCCTACAGACGCACACCAGAGTGACACAAACCAATATAGATCCACCCGATGTAAGAGCACAGGGTGCCAGAGCGTTTTGGTGTCTAAGAATTGGCCTAGGAAATCACAAGCACAGAAGCACTAGCCAAGGCCACATAATTCAAACAGGAAAATATCATCACAATCTGTGTTTCTAACCAGGCAAGACAAACATATTTGTAATTGACGAGGATGTGGAAACAATGAATTAGGTACTCAGCTATGGCATCAAATAATTGGAAAAACAAGAGAACAAAAGGTCAAATAGTGCACATTACCTCACATGCCACTTCTAACATAACAGTCGACAACTAACGATCGATCAGAATCTGAGCAACATTGCCAATACAAGAAAATCAAGTAAATTAAGCTTTCTTTTTCCTAGCCAACGCAGGTATCCTGCTACTTTTAGGCCGTGGACCACTACTCTTGGAAGAACTTGGAATTAGCCCACGCAAAATGCACAACACACCAAGACCCAAGAAGGGGGAGTACATCATCAGCAAATTATCAGATGCCTTGCCAGACCCTGTTAGCTCTGCTAATATAGCAACCTGTCATATCAAACATTCATTTACATAACAAAAAATAAATTAAAAAAGAAAATCAGTAATCAAATGAATAATGTTTTGGGGCTTTTCTTTTAATTTACCATGGAGGTGAGAACAGATGCACCATAGATCAAGCACGTGGTGTTAAACCAGGATTTGGATGCCAAAATAGCATACAAATTGAGGAGAGAAAGAGGCCACTGAAAGAATAGCTCTAACCAGACAATGCCAACGAAGAAATGAGGTTTCTCGATGATTAGATAGTCATCGTATTGGTGGGCATACCACTGTTTAAGATTGATCAAGAAATCAGGGAATAAAGAGAGAGGAAGACAAGTCTGAGCATCAATTAACGGCGCTGCCACTGCTATCACCAGAAAGAAGAAGAAAAGTATCAAGTCTATTAGCTTCACAAAAACACCCATTGTTGTTGTTTTTGAGAGTTTGCAAGAAGAATTTGGGATCTGTCTTGTCTTGTTTTGTTGTGCTTCGCTTCTAACTTTCTATGCTTGCGGATCGGGAATGAAATGGAGGGTAAATTATACATTAGTCCTTCTAGTTCTCAGAACGAATTAATTGGTTCCTTATGTTTAAAAATTAATTACTTTGTTTTTATATTTTTAATTTTTTTCTTGTAACTTAACACTTTTCATTTTTCTTTTTCAATTTATCTTGTTTTTAACAAAAAAGAGATAAAAAATAAGTAAAAAAATACAAAATATATTAATTAAAATTCATATTTTTTAAAATAAGATAATATTAAATTAAACGAGATAATACCGATAAAATAGTAAGTAATTAGTTTTTAAAACAAGAGAAACTAATAAATGTTTTTAAAGTACAGGGAGTAATTTATAATTTACGCGTGAAATGAAGATGAATCTGATTCACCTGGTCAAAGGGAGAAAAATAAACAGGTGGCGTGTTTTCCTTTTTTTAAAAAAAAAAATCATAAACCGAGTAAGAGAATAAGTTCTAGCAAAGTTGTCAAACGGCATCTCATTTGTGTTGGAAACCAAATCACTTAATTAATTTGGACTGTTTGGAAAGTATGGGTTTTTTTTTTAATCATAAATAATGAAAGGTAAAATAGGTCATTCTTTTTATCTGAAAGATTCCACCACTTCTATGTTAGAGTTAAAATTAAAAATATTTTTGAAAATAAATTACGATTATATGTAAAACGCAAATATGCTATCAATTATAAGTTACGGTAGTTCAGATTTCCAACTCGTAAACTTCATAGATAAATATTTTATAAGAAATTCACTTATTGCTATACCAATGTGTTATTAGCTGGAAAAAAAAATAGCATTATTTAATCTAACAATTTTCAAATAACAATTTCTTTCAAGTTACATATTTCAGCTAATACTTGTATAGTACTCCCACGTCGCCGTGGATAGGTCTATTATACACTATATTCTAATATTTTAAATAATTTAAAAACATCGACATAAAATGAAAATTAATTAATGTTAATTGTGAAAATTTATTTAATTTAATATGTACTATACAATATTTAATAAAATATATTTATATATTTTATAATTGAGTTTAAATATATTTTAAGAATATTGTTTTATTTTGATAAAAAAAATATGTAATTAATTATTTATTTTAAAAAAATCAAATTAGAAGAAGGTGCTTAATCAATTTATATTAGAAGAATGTTTAATTTTAGATAATAATTATTTAAAAAAATTATTAATTATGGAAAGAAAATTTATTTTAAGTAAATAATAAATAATGATAAAATAAAAGCATAAAGAAGAGAAAGGAAAAAAAAAAAAAAGCTGAGCTGTACTAACACCAAGCCCTTCTAGACGGGCCTGGAAAAAACCAGGCTCATGCATCTGGGCTGGAAGCCCAGCCCAGTCAAAAAATACAGGAACTCGTTTGTAATAATAATTAAAGTTAAGAATCGTTTTGTGTAAAATAATAACTCAAAGGATCAGAGTGTAAAAATGGATAAATTAACAGAAAAATCTCTTTAAAAAAAAAAAAACAAAAGAAAAACAGTGTCATTTTAAGTCCAAAAATCTCATAAAAATAATGTTTTGATTCACTGTAGTGGGACTTAACTATAGTTAAACCATATATACTTTTAGATTATTTATAATTTTCAAATGGCAATAATATCTTTCAAGTTGCAAGAAGTAAAGTGTGAAATTGAATCCAATCCATGCATCCACCTCAAAGATATATAACAATGTTATGTAATAATTTGGATAATAATAATAATAATAATAAATGACGTGGTAGAAGCAATAATTCTCTTAATTTACAAAACGGCAGAATATACTGATGTAAATCACTACAATGACAATTAAAAAAAAAAAAAAAAAATCTAGGAAGCGTCATTCATGATTTATTTCATGTACTAAACTCTTATCATGTTAACCACCAGGCTCCATTTCTACCATCCTATTAAATGCTGCCACAACAATTGATTATGCTAACTACCAGGCTCCATTTCTTTGCTTCCATGGTTGGGAAATCCAACCTTTTCTCACAAGCTGGTTTTGGACAACTATTTCGAGTTCTAACATTCACCTGCAATATATATATATATATATATATATATTTCCCTTTCTTGCGCGACCTTATCAGTGTTTCTGAGTAAAAAGCATTGCGTTAAACCTCGAAGGTGGGGCAGAGACTGCCCTTTTCACTTGTCAAGTTGTTGCCATTTTATTTTCAGATCAAAGAATCCCTTGTGAAGAAATAGATTATTAGCTCGAGTTTGATAATTAATACTTAGTATTGATTAGTAGTGGAAACTGGACAGGTAGCATGATATCCAGTTCTCTTACATGTTTAAGCAATCATAGAACTTTGGGGTTGGTGCCATGAGAGTATATGGATTCAGATGAGTCTAATCTACCATTGTTCTTTTTATTTTTTTCTCTTGTTTCTTCTTGGATCGTTTTTATATGTATGTATTCTATATCATCGCTTGTGGATTAGGGAAACTTAGAAATTTTCAGTTTATTTGTCTCATTCTTTACCTTTGCTAGTATAAGCCCCACTTATGTAATAGAAGCAGATAATCATAGATATTATTGTCGAGTCTTGTTTGATAAAGAGAAAATTAACCATTTTATATATTTCTTTTTTTTTTTTTTGGTGAAATTCTGATATTATAATTAATATTCTAAACAATTTATGAATTTATTTGACCTTTAATTACGTTGGTTTATATAGCATATCATGTTGATTGTTCTTTCTGTTATGTATTTGAACTAATTATGTAATTATTTTTAAAAAATATATTGGTTAATTAGATCATATTGATCTTGTATACGCAGGTCAATAAAATTGCCTGATTGATTAGTTTAGAATTTCTCTATTATAACTGAGGAGATATGTTGATTATTGCTATCGGGTTTAATTCCTATTATTTGTTTGAGATTGAATTTGGTTAATTTGCTGACACCTCATGTTAAAGGTAACCAAATTATAGCCTAAAAACTTGAAAGAAATCAACCAAATGCATCTATGAAGAAAATTAAGCAAATAATGGAACGTAAAAATCATGTTCAATAAGGACTGCTGATGACAATTTCATAATAACATGGAGGAAGACTACCACATACTATCCTTGAAAGCTTAAATGCATCTTCAGGTCTCTCAGTTATTCGAAACTGCTGAGAAATAGTAAATAGTGTGAGATGAATAGACATCATCGATCAAATTGATAGAGATCAGCATGATAAAACTCTTTTCTCTCGTAAGAAAACACAAAATTTCTTTTTTAAGCACTGGATTTAATCTCCATGACACAAGCTTAAGATAAAATCCCCAATCAAATCCAACTATGGTCTCCAAAACTCTTCAAGAAGCTAAGGTTGAAACGAGAATTCCCATGAGAATCAGCATAAAAACCCCAATCCAGCAACCCCAATTGCTTCCTCTTTTCTTCATTTGGTTAGCGTAGTACAGTCCATCAGTCCCACCACTGATATGAATCTTAGCACAAGCCACATTCTCTTCAATATCATTAATCTCATCACCTTGAGTCTCTACCAAAATAGCCATATCAAGAAACACTTGATGCAACTCAGTCAAGCTCCTCTGTATCTCCTTCAAGGCCTCATGCCTCGCTTGATTCTCCTTCACCAATTCTGCTTTCCCTTCAAATTCTTTCTCTTTCCCCCTCCTAAAATCATCTTCTTTATCATTTCCTCACTTGGTTCCTCACCATTCTCATTATAATACCTCCTTTTAAGACCTTCTTTGTGATCTTTCAATATCTTTTCTCTCAATGCTTGAAAATCATGCATCATGTCTCTTAACTTAACTCTCAAGCCATTAGTCACCGAAACCCGAGTTCGATCAACAGGGCTGCCTTCTTTATAAGCCTTTGACAATCTGCGATTAGCAACATTAGACTGGTCAATTGATCCCAATCTTGATTTAATCTTTTTGGCTTTTTGAAGAATAGTAACCATATCAGAGTTTATTCGGTCTCTAATTCCTTTCAGGATTTTTGCACTGTGAGTGGATCTTGACTCTTCATTCAAGTCATGAAGATCAATGAGGAGATTTGTGATCTCTTCCATGTCAATCTTGATGACCTTCACCTCTTCAAAGAATTTGGAGAGGTTTTGTTCACCAGTGGCGTCTAGTTGACCCATCTCAAGGTCCGGTTCGGATTGGATGTCTTCCATGGCTTGTTTTTTGAGGTCTACGTAATCGAGGAACGATTTGGTGATTAAATCATTCATCTTTGCAATAACCCACCTGCAAAGAACAAGATCAAATAGGTCTCTCTAAGGAAAATCATGAAGAAAAACAAAAGGAACCCACTAAAATAGAGGGGAAACTTTAGAAGAATACAACAACCTCAATTTAAAACAGGTTTCAGTTTCTCTAATAATAGAATAAATTAATTAAACAACACAGTGTATCTGAACTTCAAAAACGTTGAGTTCTTTCATATTTCTGAAAATTAAAAATCAATAGAATCATGGATTTAAAAAAAAAATTCAGACTTGGGTCTAAATTTAAAGTGAAGGACCTAACTTGGAAGAGAATTCTTGAATGCTGATTTGAAACATAAACCGATGCATCATGTTTGTCTACTTATATAATTGACCTTCTAACTAGCAGAGATACAATAAAAGAAAAGGACTTGAAATGGGCAAAGAAAGAAACCTAGACGAACTTGGACAAAGAACCCAGAAGAGCCTTCAAAATTGAAGAGAAAACATAGAAAGTTTGGAGGGTTTTGAGAGACAGGTAAGATGTTTGCAACTTATAAAGATAAATCATAAAAGAGAGAGATGAAATGTCATCAATGGCTGTGGTTTCTGTTACGATTTTTGTTCAAATTTCAAATTTAAAGGTTTCTGCCAAGGAGCCGGTTGGGGGCTGGGTTGATGATGGATTTGGTCTCTCTACTTTTAAATGTTTCTTTCTTTAGTCCCTATATTTTTTTAATCCTTATGTCACCTCTATTATTTACTATCTACTGTTTTTCTTACTATCGAGAGATCTTACTGTACTACTCCTTTAAAAGGGAAACTTAATTGCCATTATAAGACATAAGTTATATCTTTATGTGAGTAAAAGAATAGTTTTTCTCGAATATTTAATAAAATTTTCTATTTCTATTAATATTATATTTCGTCAATTAATATCATTTTTCTATTTATATTAATATTATATTTGGTCCATTGATATCAAATATTGTTATCCACAAATGCAAAATTATGAAATTCAATCTTTTTTATGGAGTCATCCAATTACTTTTTATTATTATGTATTGACATGGTTATATTATTATGTTTTGATATGGTTTTTTGGTCTGTAGCTCATGAGAAATAGGATGATTATAATAGGAAACAAATTGTAGAAGATTCAATAAGGACCAAATTCACCATTAACCCTGCATTAAAAACTGAAAAGCCCATTTTTGTCCATTGACTTTCTTCTCATTGAAAAACGACAATACGTTGAACTCAAAACGCCACTTCTAACTTCCAGGACCTTTAAGTCTCCGGTCTATTTAGACACAAAAACGACAAAACACCGAAGTCAAAACGCTAGTTTCAAGATCTTATCTTAATACTGAAACGACACAGCCTCCAAGATCTTGAAGGGGGAAAAAAAAACATGGAGGAGAAGAAGAGCAAAGTACTAGTAATTGGAGCAACAGGAAATTTAGGATACCATTTAGCACAATTTAGCCTGAAATTCTCACACCCCACTTTTGTTCTTGTTAGAGACTCTGCTTTCAATGACCCTCTTAAAGTACAAAAGCTTCAGGCTTTGTCCAATTCTGGTGCCACACTCATAAAGGTTAGTTCTTGTTACTTCTTGTTTCGTGTCTTTGACTTAAAGAATGTTTTCCTCTTTTGGGCTGTTTTTGAATTTTGTTTTGGATTTTCTCTAGGGGTCATTGGAGGATGAGAAGAGTCTTGTGGAGGCAGTGAAGCAAGTGGAAGTGGTGATATGTTCAATCCCATCAAAACATGCTCTTGATCAGAGGGTTCTTATTAGAGTTATTAAAGAATCTGGGTGCATCAAGGTTTTGTTTTTCTCACTTCTATTTGTTACTGTGTATATAGGTTTTATTGTTTTTGGTGTTTCTTAAATTCCCTTCAATTGTGGTTTGATTGTACTAATGGTGCATTGGAAATAGAAACTGGAGACCTTGGTATGTCAATAATAAGAAGGAAGAAACAACAAATTTTATATAACGAAACTGGAAAAACTTTTGATATTTTTCATTTGTGGACAGAATGTGCAGTATAAGATGCTAAATACTAAATATGGATAAATTTTGCATTTTAAGACAAATTGATCTCTTAGTCGAGAGTCCAAACCTCTGTGTGTCAACTTTTATTAGTTATCGCTATATAAACAAGTATGTATATTGATGATATTTCTAGAAGCATTTAAGTTTCTACAGATCTTGTCCAATAGCTATATCCTTCTTACTTGGGTCACTGGGGTGGAAGGCAGGTAAAACTGTAACTGTCCAACTTGTACATTTCCTCACCTGCTTTCTGTTTTCAGTCTAAACTGGAATAGTTCTTGTTTCCAAAATTGTTCATTTTAATTGGACAAAGGTGTTTGTCGAGTTCATAGGTACCGCTCACCATGTAGAAAAATACTGGAAAAAATGAAGTGTGACCAAGATTCCTTGAGAAATTAAATAGGACTTTTGTATTTTAGCATCCTGGTATATAAAATGATAAGTATGCTAAGAAGAAGAATGTGTGCTTACATGTGTGGGCAGAAAGATAAAGAAATGCATGAACCATTGTCATTTTTCAATTAGATAGATGAATGTGTTAATTGTTGCAGAGATTCATTCCTTCTGAATTTGGAGCGGATCCAGATAGAATTCAAATATCTGACATGGACTACAACTTCTACTCGAGAAAAGCTGAGATTCGGCGTCTTGTGGAAGCTGAAGGCATTCCCTATACTTATATCTCCTGCAACTTCTTGATGAGCTATTTGCTTCCTTCACTAGTTCAACCGGGGTTAAAGACTCCACCCAGGGACAAGGTCAGCGTGTTTGGAGATGGGAATGTTAAAGGTCTGCTGGCCAAGATCCTTACTTCCTTAGTTATATGTGTTTTATCTAACCAAATAGGAAGTCAGAATTGCGATAACTTGCTGCAGCGCTTTTCTTGTGGTTTGTCTGCAGCTGTCTTTGTGAAGGAACAGGATGTTGCTGCCTTCACAATATGTTCAGTGGACGACCCACGTACATTGAACAAGGTGCTGTATTTGAGGCCTCCAGGAAATGTTTACTCGATGAACGAGCTAGTTGAGGTTTGGGAGAGTAAGATTGGGAAGAAGCTTGAGAAGATTTATGTACCAGAAGATGAGCTGCTTATAAAAATCAAAGGTACGATAGTGGTTACATCATTTATACCTGGAGTTTCTATTTAGAAGAAGAATTAATTTAACTTTAGCTAAAATGCCATAAAACTTAGACGTGATAAGAACCAATCTTGTTTCTTGAACAGAAATTATTGAAATCATCAAATGCATATAAGTTTTTCATATATTAATTCAATTCCCTTGGGCTGAAAACTTTGCCTGCACTTGGAAGTTATTTCAGGATCTTTATATAATTCTGATGGATGCATATAGGACTCGCTCCCAGTTTAACATGCAGAAAAATTGTTTTTCTCTTTTCTGGATGAAGAGATAAAACAGAATGTTATTATTGCTTTTCTTCCTCTTTATGTTCCTCTGCTTGAACCCATGTCCTGTTCGTTTGGTATACCTTGCTTTAAATTAAGATGATACAAAAGCAGCTGTTGTCTCATTGCAGAGACTCCATATCCGGACAACATGCAGATGATTTTCATATACTCTACATTTGTAAAAGGAGATCACACATACTTTGACATTGATTCTTCCAGGGGAGCAGAAGGGACGCAACTATATCCAAATGTGAAATACACTACAATCAGCGAGTTTTTGGAGACCTTGTTGTAATAAGGGAGTGTTTTTTTTTTTTCCCTGCATGGTTTCTTATTTGATCTCTACACGCACAGTGAATATTTTGTTTGAAACAGATTGAAATATTGATAAGAATCATCTGCGTGATGGAAATTTAAGATTTCTGTTTGCCATCCATGCATACCTTGACGAATAAAGAGGAATGTGTGCATTTGATCTTGTCATCAACAGGGAGAGTACCTTCGAACCTGCAGAGAGTATATATTGAATTAATATTACCACTTGATGCCATAGCTATTAAATTCGATGAAAAGTTGTTTGAGAAAATTAGGAAGAAAATTGAAGGAAATTAAAGAGAGAGCATATATAGTAATAGTATAGTTTGGTTCTTCTTGTAATCTTTGAAAAAGAAGGGAACAATTAAGAAGAAAAGATCAAGGGACCAAATTAGAAAATTGCAAAGAGGAAGATTATTGATTGAGGTTTATGGCTGGATAGCTAAATAGAACCAGCTACTACATAAATGTCAAGACATACGCACCTTGTGTTTGAACTAGACTTGGCAGGATTATAGAAGATGTCTAAGTTCAATGCTAGAATATGATATGGTGAAGAAGCTAATTAAAGAGGCATGACAGGAAGATGAATATCGGGTTGCTGATGATCTCCACACTAATTCCTACAAAGTTTGAACAGAAAACCCACCTGCATTCAGCTAGGCTAATCGGGTCATTCTCTCTCTATATAGACAGATAGATTGTGGGTTACAATCTAGCTACGTTGTTGAATCAGATTTTCTTTACTCTAGTACTTAGACTAGTCATTTCCAATTTCCTAGTACATTGCTTTAAATTATGGTTGCATTCATGTAACAAGAAAATAAAATCTTGCTAGCTGTTCAGCAGAATCGGTACTCTTATTTAAGTACACATGGACATATTCAAATATTGTTGCCTGGCCTATTTAGAGTAATTGACTTCCAAGCTATATGAATTTCTTGGCTTCTCACCTCTTGCCTTTTCTGCTTGACTCGAGGCTGTTCTTTTTCTGTACAAGGGGCCTGGTTATTCATTTGCATCCTTCTGATTTTGTGATTTGTTACTCCCTCTGATTTTCCCTTTTCATGCTAACTGATGATGCTCACTGTAAATAACCAAGTTATTTCTTGCAGCATTATAAAGGAAACCGTTTTCCATTTAACACCTAACTCGACAATAAAAGAGGTATAACTTTGAGCTCTTGCATGTCTTTTAGCCAGCATTTGGAACATGAGAAATTTGTTAATAGAGGTGGGAGGATGCAGCTGATTACCTATTCTAGCCTAGTAGCTAGTGTCATGTAGCCTCTGAGGAATTGCTAAAAATTCTCTCCATCGACCTAGCCATGCATCTTCCAAGAAATTGCGCTGCTGGTGGTCTTTTCGACCAGTCCATCCTCAAGTTGAGAGATTTTAGAACACTTCATGAATAATTATCAATGTTTCTTTCACGAGTCCATTTAATTTATTTTTTATTATTTTAAAAAAAGAGAGATAAATAAAAAATTGAAAACATAAAAAAAAAAAAAAAAATCATATTTGAATCGATAACATTGATAAGAATATCTCAACCTTAAATTAAAAATATATATTTTTAAATTATTTTTCATATTTTTCTTTTCTCTTTATATCTAACTATTAATGATTACTTTGAGATTACTGTAAAATTTCTCTCATTGACACCATGAGACATGAGTTCCAATGAAACTATTGTGATTTGGGTATTTACCAATTCTAAGTTAGGCCTGGCTTCACTACTGGGCCACTTGATCTCCAGCCTTCTATGGTGAAAGATTGGGCCCAAGAGTTTTAATTCAAGTCGAACTAGGAAATCTTTGAATAAAACAAATCAGCTAAGAGGAATGACCCGATTAGCAAATGCCAAATCAGCTAGCATTCAGATTGAAGTTAGTTTCTACATGCAAATTAAAAATAAGAATTTGAACTACCAACCATTGGCCGTAGGGGCTAGATCCTACTAGAACAAAAAATAAATAGATAAACCTACGATCCAATCAATAAAACAAAAAAGATGAAAAAAGAAAGAGGAATTAGTGCTAAGAGTAATCACGTTTGTTGTAACTGTTTGATTATGGTCGTCCAGCGTTACGCCATATCAAATCTTACCACCATTATTTTTTAAAAAAATATATATATTTCCTCTATACACCATTATTACTTAACTTTCTTTACTTTTTCGAATATTTATTTCCTTTTAAACTTGATTTCAATTTTAGTAAATTGAGTGTTGAAAAAAATTGTTTCATATAAGTTCATTCGTTGTTATCAAGAATAAATCTCAACTAATTAAAAATAAAATCTAAAATGAAAATTGAAAAAGTATATATCATCATATCTATTTTTTTTTCCTTGTCTTTGAAACTCTAGCGATAGTGGATAATATCTTCAGCATTCTAGAAATATCCACCACTTTATACTTCATTAACTCAAATTGAGCCAAATATAGTGATTGAAAAAAAATAAAAATAAAAAAGAAAGAAAAGAAACATACTTTTAAGGGTGTTGTTAAATTTATCATCAAATTTGTTTGTTATTTCCATCATTTTTTAATCACTAATATCCCTTCTTCATTAATGTTTGTTATTATATTATAATTAAATAGTTTTATATCAAAAACCTAAAATATTTAAAAATTAAATATTCATGAAAGCATAAATAAGGAAACCAAAAAGCATAAATGTTAATGGGCAATTAATAGATTATATAAAACATATTTTCTTATGATATAATAATAAATATTGATTGAAGAGTGTGTTGGTAATTTAAAAAAAAAAAAAAGGGGAATAACAAATTTGACGGTGAATCTAATAATATCCTATTTTAATAGTTTTAATTTTTTTAAAAAAATTAATTGCATTAATTTCGTAAGTAACAATATTTTGTCTCATAAAGCGGGTAGGTGCATAACACCAAACGAACCTAGACCAATTAACAGACCAAATGCCCATTAATTAGCAATTGCCTTTTCGTAACCTATCATTCAACATGGTTAATCATTCTGATAAACTTCCTTTACTGGAGAACTTTCTCAAAATTCCGAAATAGCCCTACAATGACAAAACAACTTAGTTGTTCATAGACAGATTCTTTATCCACATACCGAAACATCATCGTCCACACATCACAACGCCCTCACAATTCAAAGTGTATTTCTGTAATTTGAAACAAGCATTCTCTCACTATAAATGGGGACCAATGGACTCCATCTCCTCCACAGCTTTGGATTCTTTTTTACCTTAAAAAGCACTTTTTTTTTTTTTTTATTCTCCAGACAGAAAGTTTTAAGCAATGGCAACGAAAAGCAAGATCCTGTTCATTGGAGGGACCGGATACATTGGAAAATTCATAGTGGAAGCTAGCGCTAAGGCAGGCCATCCTACATCTGTCCTTGTTAGAGAGTCCACTCTATCTAACCCTGCTAAATCCAATGTCACTGACAACTTCAAGAATCTTGGAGTCAATTTCCTCATTGTAAGTCCTTTCCTTTTCTGGGGTTAAAAATGTGTGAACAAAAATGTTACAAGGGCTTCCTTTACATGGATCAGGCATGCCAACAGCTAGTTATCTCTTCATCTTTTTTTAACTAGTTGTTGTACCGGTGATCCATGAACAGGTAGTGGTAATTAAGGAAAACTCATGTGCCCTATATAAATTTTAGAAAAATCCATTGATAAATTTGTAGATATTGGAGCAAGTTAATTAACTAATAATATAATATTTGTCTTGATTTGTTAGTCTTAACTGGTCATATATAATAACAGGGTTAATTTCATTGTACCAACTACAATTAAACTGTTTCGTTCCACGTAAATAGGGTCATGTTGATTTCTTATTAAATATAATCTGGAACTGAGAATATTTAATATTTCTTTATATTTGCTTTTGTGTTTTGGTTTTGAAGGGAGATTTGTTTGATCATGAGAGTTTGGTGAAGGCTATAAAGCAAGTGGATGTTGTGATTTCTACAGTTGGTCATGCTCAGTTAGTTGAGCAAGACAAGATCATCGCTGCTATTAAAGAAGCTGGAAATGTGAAGGTCTGGCGTTAACTTTGTTTGAGTGATCATGAGTTGTTGCTTAATGGATTGGGGTTTGATGAAAATTGAAAATTTTACGAATCATGGGCTTGTTATTGAAAATTGTTTGTTTTATGGCAGAGATTTTTCCCATCAGAGTTTGGAAATGATGTGGATAGAGTGCATGCTGTTGAGCCAGCAAAATCAGCATTTGCTACGAAGGCTAACATAAGAAGAGCTATTGAAGCTGCAGGAATTCCATATACCTATGTATCTTCAAATTTTTTTGCTGGCTATTTCCTTCCTTCTTTGAACCAGCCTGGAGCTACAGCCCCTCCAAGAGATAAAGTTGTCATCTTAGGCGATGGAAATCCTAAAGGTAACGTGTCACCGCTGAAAATTTTCCCGTGATAGGTTTAAATTCTTGATAACTTTTGTGTATTCATATGCTATTCAAGTGCAGTGGTTTAGAACTACTGCTGCATTCCCTCCATGAATTTTGGACGATGATTTGGATTTTATCACAAGCATCATCGGTCTTTATCTGCGAAAACCGTAAAAACCATGTACCTGTTTTAGACAAAGGAGGCACTAGCCTACAAGGTGCTCTATGTCGCAAGGAGAAGTCCAATATTTAAGCATGTTCAAAATAGGATGATGCATGTAACTTGATGCTGAATGCATTCCGTGAATCTTACTGTTTCGTGCTTTGATCTACAGCTGTTTTCAACAAAGAAGATGACATTGCTACCTATACTATCAAAGCAGTGGATGACCCCAGAACCTTGAACAAAATTCTCTACATCAAACCCCCAGCCAACACCATCTCATTCAATGATCTTGTGTCCTTGTGGGAGAAGAAGATTGGGAAAACCCTTGAAAGGATCTATGTTCCAGAGGAGCAACTTCTCAAAAATATCCAAGGTAAGGATACCTTTAATTTACAAGCATCTATTTAGAACTCTGTTCGCTGGGATAATGTCATTTTCGAAGAAAAATCATGGTCAATGACAGCTTTAGAAAATCTCTAACCTTGACAATAGTTTAATTATTGTTAATGAGTTTAAATAATTGTTAGCAGCACTGAGTTTGCATTGTTTAGAGGTAGTATGACAAAATTAGCAAGTTTGACAATATTGCTTGTCTTCTCTCTGTTTTTCTTCAGAAGCTCCGGTTCCAGTGAATGTGGTTTTGTCAATCGGCCACTCAGTGTTCGTGAAGGGTGATCACACCAACTTCGAGATTGAACCATCATTTGGTGTAGAGGCTTCGGAGCTTTACCCTGATGTCAAATATACTACTGTGGATGAATACCTCAATCAGTTTGTCTGAGTCTTCTACATCATTCAGCATTACCTTAAATAATGAAGTAGATCCCATATAGGGCTTCATTCTTCAAACAAATGCATAAGAGAATTTAGTTGCTTGTAATGCTTTGCACTTAAATCATTGATCATGGTGTGTGTTTGTGAACTATACATCTTGGAGGCCATGTTGACATCCCTGTGATGTACCAAGTTACTATATAATAAAGGGAATCCTTCTTTCTATCTATCATGTTTAAATTGTTGTTATATTACTCAAAATCGAAATCATGTTTCGGCTATTGGAGGATCATTAATTTGTCATATAAATTTTCATTGCTAAAATCCACCATCATCGTGGGACTAACACACAGCCGGATCTTCGCTCTCCATCATCCCCTGCCGATTTATAGACAGTTGTGTTTAGCATCACCCACCTTTTATTTACAAAATCTAAAAAGCGGTCCCTGGGTGACGAATTATTTACTGTTCATGGATTTACATCATTTGCTACGTTAGTTTTTGAGAATTGGCAAGAGCTGTTGTGCTGCACAAATCTGTGTCACCGGGCTGTTCTTTGTCTAATGGTACTTGTGGGTTATGGGTAGCCCAAATTTGTTCATAAACCATCCATGACCGGAGGGAACGTGTGGATCACCGGCGACCCACATTTAGATAATGTGTTGTTCCTTATCTATAGTCTCTTTGGTTTATTAAAAATAATTAATTAATCCTTGGATTTTAAACTATATACTTGATTCCTGTGTTTGAAATATGCTTATAACTTAGTACTTTTGTCAATTCCATGTTGTTTTTCAATTAAATTTTTTCTTTTGTTTTTTAAAATAATGGAAAAAAAGAAAAATAAATAAGTAAGATGAGAAAATTTTATTGGGGAAAATGCCTTTTTGAAATAAATAAATAAATTTGAGGATTGTTAATTCAACTCAAAGGACTATATATTTATTTTTTATACTAGGACTAATTAATTATCTTTATGAACTTCAAGGACTAAGTCATAATTATTTTATATTATTTAAGGCAGCCCTAAGCCCTAAGCCGCACCCATCGTTTTCGTTGTCGACCAATTTTAGCCCATAAAATTCAACATGTGGCCAACGTAAAAACAACATTTTTTTTTTAATATCATAATTTATGTTAGATTACAGTGGTATTTTTGTATTTTTATTATAGGATTTTTTATTATTAACAAATTCTGTATCATCTTTGCAATACACTATGTCAATAGATATAAAAACAGAATTGATTTGATTGGTGGATAAAATTACAACAGTCATTCTAATGACACAAATCAAGAAATATAGGTCACTTAGAGCACTTTACGGATCCAGAGAGCAGCGTCGATATCATTATGAACAACTTGGTAAGAGTTTGGCAAAAAAATAGAAAGCATCTCAATCTTTTGAAGTCAGATGCCAATACCTATCATAATTATAATAGGTGTTTTATTAACAAAAACATTTGTAGTTTGTTTAATTGTACTCGTATTTCTGTTCTTTTTAGAAAAAAGTTTTATTGGAGATTATACTATGAACAAATATGATATATTTAATTATATTCGAGTACAATAAGATGTCTACTCAAAATTATTGTATTCAATTTTATTTTATTTTTTTCTTTGGCATAGAAGAGTTTAATCTCAGACAATGAACTCAAAATCAAATTTCTCTTAGGTGGAACAGTTGATGAAGGAGCTAGAGTTAATAGTTCTTAGGCAAATTTCTCTCAAAAAAAATATGACATTTCAACTTTTGGGTATAATTATTTTTATTGTAATATTTCTGTTAATTGTTAAGTTTTCTAAGAATTTATTGCTTTTTATTTAATTAGACTAGTGTTGTTAGAAAATTAGTGTTCCAAGATTTATTTTTATTTTTCTATTTAGTATTATTAGGGTAAAGAGTCGTAATAGTTTTTTTGCAATGAAAGAATAATTTGATGAATAAAAAGTAAATGTTTTGTAAAATTTTCTATAGCTTTACTGTTTTTTTTTTTTTTTTTTGATAGAGTTTTTAAATACTAACAAATCATGTATCATCTTGATCGTATGCTGTGTTAGGTATGCAAACTTGGAACGATTGGATTCTTGAATTGTCTCGTATTTTGCTAAGATAAAGTAAAGCTTTATCTCTCGCATGATCCGATCTTAGGCCTTCAAAGAAGGCTGGATAAACCTCTCCCATTATAACTATTTTTTTATTTAATTTTGAAGCCTAGACAGGGTTCAATTTACTTAAGTAATATAAAAGAACTGACTAGTTTAGAAATAGACAATTTTGTTTTGATTTGGGAAAAAAATGATGGAAGATTCTGACTTTCGTACTTGCATGACATTTTATTTTATCGGAGGCCCAATAAACCTATTGAGCTATACAATAGAATAGTTCTCTCCATTACATAATTACCAAAGAAACTTGAATTCATCGGAACTCGAACTTTACTTCGTTAAGAAAGCTAACTAGATACACAATTACTAGGTTAAACCTACTTATATATATCAAATGTTGTTTGATTTCATGATAGAGAAAGACCATTAATTATTTTTCATGATCTTTGTATATAAATTATTATTTCAATATTTTATTTTAAGTTATTTGCTCTTTAATCATGTAATCCAACCAATTTGGGATGTAGTAGTCTCTCAACGACGGGTTTTCAAGCTTATTGCAGCCCTTTTTATTTTTTTAAATTTAGTTTCTTTACAACATTAAACCCTAAAAACATAAAAAATAGTAATTGTAGTTTATATTTACAAGTTTATTTGATTTATCTACCTATAGGAATGAGAGATCGACTGTCTTGCAGAACTATTCTCAATTATTTTTTACTTCTTTTGTAACAAAATTCTCTTAGTTAAGGCTGGCACAAAAAAAAAAAAAAAAAAAAAAAAAAAAAAAAAAAAATCCCAAAACAACATAACAAATTTGATGAAGTTTGTGTACCTATCATCCAATTGAGATGTTAGTACCTATAATTATTGATGTTACTACAACAGTTAATGTGTACATGTCTAAAAAGAACAAGAGAAACAACCGGAAGCCATTAAGTTTGTAACTTGTATATAGAAGGAATACAGAAATTGCTTTGCATATATGACATGATGGATGTAACTTTAGGATATGGTTGAATGGAATAAAATCAGGTAACATGCATGTGAACTCTATTATGAATAATATTAATACTATTGTTGATCTATGAGCAGTTTTGAGTTATGTGTTCCATAAGACCAGTGTGGCTACGAAACTAGCATGTTGATTTCTTATATTTTTGTTAAATTTGCTTATCGGAAACCAATCTTCAGATTTGCTCTACAATCGTACTTGGCTTGCTAGAATTGAGCTATTGTGACCTGATTGAAAGAATAATGTGTCGACTTGCTAGAATTTACCTATTGTGAATTAAATGAAAGAATGAGGTGTTTTGAGGTGCTATAGAATTCAATTATTTTCTTGAGGGGTAATTAATTTTCTTATTGTGTAGGTTTTTATAGTCAAATCATTCATGAACTTCAAAATGCCAATCGTTTTTTCTTTTGTCTAGTTTATTTTCATTAATCGCTTGCGTGGTTGTATCTCGTTAGATGTTTTTTTTTTTTGGTTAATTAAGGTTTTTTTTTTTTTTTGATTATCACATCAATCGATTGAAGTTATCTCTCTAATGCCCTAATATATTTAATAATTATACCAATTAATTTAAATACTATTTATATATTTATAAAACATGTATATTGAGAAACATATGAATTGTGATATGGTCTAGAAAATATATATTATTGGATTAGCTGAATTAGTCTAAATGGCTAACAAAAAAAATAAATTAAAAAAGTCAATAATTAGAAAAAGATAAAAACTGATATTAAAAGTGTACTAAATCAATACATATTAGAAAGATGATATATATTAGAATAATGTTTAATTTTAGTTAAAGAGCCTATAAAAAATTATAAAATAACTATTTACTATTAAGAATTTTTTTAAGTAAATAATAAATAAATAAAACATAAAAAACAAAAGGAAGGAAAAAATATGAATTGGGTTGCACGCCACACCTTAATGGGCTGGGGACTACCAAGCCCACACATTTAAGTTGAATCCACCTAGCTCAACAAAAATACAAAAAGCAAAAAACAGAGATAGACGATACTTTGTCACCTCTATAACTCTTGATGATCAAATCTTGTCAAACAAATGCAGAAAAATCAAAGGTCCTTGATCTTGACCCTCCAAGCGTAACTTTAAAACCATTTTTACTTTCAAACATCTTAGAATCATCTAAAAATGTTTTAAACTATTTTTAAACATCAAAATATGTTTTAATCAACCCTAAAAACTAAAAAAAAATCTATTTTCTCTCATTTTTTCTACTTTCAAAGATTTCATTTTAGCACAATGAATTTTAAGGAACATAGAAATCAAGGACCAAAATAAAATTCATATTTATGAAAAAACCAATTTCTTTTTTACCAATAGAAACCGTTTTGAAATTAAAAAAAATCCAAAACTACGTTGTTTTAGATCTATTAACTATAAGCCCCTCTTATGGCCTTATCAACAAGGAGATTGTAAAATAAATTATAAAATGATGAAATTAATGACGTTATTTTTGTCACCTAAAACAAATTATCGGCATTAAGTAGTTATTGCATTGACTAAAAAGCAATGAGACTCTTACTTGTTAACTATAGATTTGTGTTGCTGCTTTTCTTTTTCTCTCTCCCTCATCTCCATCTTATCTAGTCTTTTAAGCTAAAAAGAGTAGGAGAAGGACAATAGAACCAATTTTGTATTATTTCGACTCTTATAATTTTCCAGAATAAGATTACCGTTTAAAGAAAATAAAAGGAGTTTATATTATGGATCCTAGTAATAGTAAGGTAAGTACACACCTGTTTTAGATTCAATTTATCATTTTATCATCATGCTAGTTTATTTTTTTTATTTTCTCTATAATTCAAATAGATGCAACCCAATTAGTGTTTTGAAAGTAGCAAATTCCAAAATATGATTTTTGTTTGCAAATTTAAGCCAATGGTACCAAATATAATTCGAAAGTTTGGCCCAAAGTTTGGACGGAGGCTTTTTATACAACATGTCATTGATACAACTTCAACGTAGCAGCCTTTAAATTTCTTAGAATGGTTAAACAATGAGGGAGTAGTTTTAAGCTCGGATCAGGAGATGTAATAGAGTCGGGTAGGTAATGTAGAATTTTTTATATTTTTTTTCCTTTTAATTCTTAGTTTATTTTCTTTATTCATCATGATTGGATTTTTTTATTTTTTATTTTAATCCATCGGATTAAACTATTGAGGTATCCAATATTCTATCCAACTAAAGGAGATAAAATTGGTAAGGAATCGAAGGAGCATAGGCCTTTATTTATTAGTTTTAGTGCGAAGAAGGGCATGAATATTAAAGACATCAACACATTTGATGGTAGATGCGAATTTGTTTATGGATAAGGGGCAACATTGATTGGGGAAGGGGAAAGCAAAGAGGGACGCTATTGGATTTAGCATAACTGTTGGGAGCAAAGTAAGGGTGCAGAGAAACCATTGATGGAACCGTTGAGCTAAATTATTAAATAGCTGGGAGTTATCTAAGTACGTATGGGCATATTCAAATATTATTGCCTGGCCTATTTGGAGTAATTGACTTCCAAGCTATATGAATTTCTTGGCTTCTCACCTCTTGCCTTTTCTGCTTGACTCGAGGCTGTCCTTTTTCTGCACAAGGGGCCTGGTTATTCATTTGCATCCTTCTGATTTTGTAATTTGTTATTCCCTCTGATTTTCCCTTTTCATGCTAACTGATGATGCTCACTGTAAATAACCAAGTTATTTCTTGCGGCATTATAAAGGAAATCGTTTTCCATTTAACACCTAACTCGACAATACAAGAGGTATAACTTTGAGCTCTTACATGTCTTTTAGTCAGCATTTGGAACATGAGAAATTTGTTAATGGACGTGGGAGGATGCAGCTGATTACCTATTTTAGCCTGGTAGCTAGTGTCATGTAGCCTCTGAGGAATTGCTAAAAATTCTCTCCATCGACCTAGCCATGCATCTTCCAAGAAATTGCGCTGCTGGTGGTCTTTTCGACCAGTCCATCCTCAAGTTGAGAGATTTTAGAACACTTCATGAATAATTATCAATGTTTCTTTCAGGAGTCCATTTAATTTATTTTTTATTATTTAAAACAAAGAGAGATAAATAAAAAATTGAAAACATAAAAAAAAAAAATCATATTTGAATCGATAACATTGATAAGAATATCTCAACCTTAAATTAAAAATATATATTTTTAAATTATTTTTCATATTTTTCTTTTCTCTTTCTATCTAACTATTAATAATTACTTTGAGATTACTGTAAAATTGCTCTGATCGACACCAGGACAATGACATGAGTTCCAATGAATTAGTCGGCTAGAAAACTACAGTGATTTGGTTATATACCAATTCTAAGTTAGGCCTGGCTTCACTACTGGGCCACTTGATCTCCAGCCTTCTATGGTAAAAGATTGGGCCCAAGAGTTTTAATTCAAGTCGAACTAGTAATGTACGTGCCGCTGCAAAGCTGTGGCTATACGGCCAAAAAAATATTTTATTACGTATAAATATTGCAACATTACTTTACTAATAAATTAAAAGGCATGGGTTTTTTCAGTAGTAAACTGCTATTTTTACACTGTTTACATACTGTTCACTTTTTTTCCGTCTCTGTTTTTTTGGGTTCGGGTACTGTTCGCTTTTTCTTTTTTCTTTTTTTCTTTTGTTTAAAGTTCACTTTTTTTTTTCCGAGTACTGTTCTTTTTTTTTTTTCATTCTTTTGTTTCAAGTTGTTATGAATCTATGTTTTTTTTTCCCATCAAGTTAGGTTCCTTTTTATTTTTATTTTTAAATTTTTAGGTTGTTTTGTTTTGATCTCTTAGGTTTTTTTTAATTTAATTTTGTTTAAAAAAAATTAGGTTATTTATTTTGATCTCTTGGGTTCTTTTTTATTTATTTATTTTTTAATTTTTAGGTTATTTCATCTTTATCTCTAAAATTTTAAAATAAAAATTTTAATCACCTATCCGATGCACTACTCATGTCTTTTCTTTTCTTTTTTTCCTTTGTTTTTTTTTTCATTAATTTATGTTATTTTTTTTATTTAATTAAGTTCTTTTCAACAAAACTAACGATTATATAACACTACTCGTGCCTTTTTTACCCTTCTTTTTATCAATTTATGTCCTTTTTTATTTAATTAGGTGTTAAAATTTTGAAAGATCGATCGTTATTTTTTTTCACACAAACTAACGATTATATAATATATACAATATTTTTTACATTCATAAGACATATTTTTAGATTTTAGAATAAATATAAACTACTCTTATTGTATCAAATTGATTTTTTTTTCTTTATAAAAATTCTCATCAAGTTAATTTTTATTCTTATTTTTTTATAATTTTATTTATTAATAAATATGACTTATTTTTCCATGTGTATAGATTTGAATAAGTTTTTTCAATACATGTTTTTATTTACTTGATTCTTATATAATCAAATTTTAAAAATTGAATATATACATTTATTTTCTTATTTTGTACAAAATCTAATTTTATCGAAATCAGATTTATAGTTTTTACTTGTATTGAATTTATTAAAAATTAATTATGCATCTACACATACAATACCAACTATTTGCTATTATTTTTTAATATTTAAAATAATTTTTTAAATAAAATAATTGAAATAATATTTTAGACTAATTGTTTAATAATTCAAATACAATTTTGTATCCCAATATTATTCATTATTTTGTGAATAAATATATATAAATCAAATGTATATATTTTTAAAAATAATCTTCTTATCAATAAAAAAGTTTCATTTATTAATTTTCATATAAGTTTTTATATTAATTGTTACTTTATTTGTTCGACGCAATATAATGAAAAAAATATCAAGATGTTTTTTTTATTTTATATTAAAAATTTTTATTATGGGTTTTATTAAATCATATTTTTTTGACTTCAGTATATATATATTGATTAAAAATTATAAAATTAGATAAAATTTTATCTTTTATATTTAATTTAATATATTTTTATTAACCGATAACATAGTATATATTATCAAGCTGAAATAAATATATTTAGTTTGGTTCGCAACATAACGCGAGAATCCAAACTATTCATATATCTAAAATTCCTATTCACTCACTATTCATATGCATAAAATTACTATTCACTTGATAGCAATTTAAGTAATTTTTATGTGTCATTTTTTTTATATATTTTTGGATACTAATATGCAAAATTAACACTTTTTTTCTATTTTTCATCCCTCATATTGTAACATTTTTTTCCGATCCTTAATTTTTATTTTTCTTTCATTTTCATGCGACACACACACACACACACACACACTATCTTTTAATATTTTAAAATTAACATATATGTCAGCTTATATTATTCTTATCATATAAATTTCATGATTTGAATTTATCATTTTTTATGAAAATTCTCATCCAATCAATATTTTTTATATAAGATTTTATTTACTGATAAATATAATTTATTTTTCTCTATATTTGAATTTTAGAATAAATTTTTAAAACATGATTGTTTTTTATTTTTTAAAAATAAATTAGTATAATGTATATCATGAATTCTTAGAATTTTTAAATAATAGCTGCGCATATATAAATATATAATTATTTTATTCTATAAGGTTAAAAGTGTATTTCAAATAATTTGTTTCGGATCACTATGTATGGTTAAGACATATAAAAAAGCATTGAATCGTTGATTTTATTAAAAATTAACTATACATCTTCTAACATAATACAAATTATATTCTATGAATATTTTTTTAACATTATATAACAAATTTATTTGCAATAAAATAATTAAAATAAATTTTTAAAGGAACCAACCAATTATTCAAATATAGCTTTTTATGCTAATTTTTTTTATTATTTTGTAAATAAACATATATAAATCTAATGTATATATTTTTAAAAAATAATCTTCTCAATAACATTAAATAAGAATAAAGTTTTATTTTTTTATTGTTTAATTTTATGAAAGTCTATACATTAATTGTGATTTTATATTTTTGATGCATTATTATAAAAAAGATATAATTTTAAAGTATTTTCTTTTGAATTCTTAATTAGTATTTTAGGTTTAAATTATTGCAAATTTTTGTTTAAGAATCCTTATATAGAGAAGAATAAATCATTTTTTTAAGCAAAAAAGTTATGAAAAACACAAAAAAAAAAAAAAAATTATTATAATTAAATAAAACTAATGAAAAAATTTTAAAAATTTTAAATTATTTTGTTCTATCTACCCATAATATTGCACGAATAATTTTAAAAATTAATCTTTTTATTAGCATTAAATAAGAATTTTTTTTCCATTTGTTAATTTTTTTATAAATTTATTTTTTAGAATACAATATTATGAAAATTATATTTTTAAAGTTTTTTTAATTCTTGATTAAATCCTTAAAGAAGAATGGTTTATGTTTTTTTTTACGCAGAAAATTTATTAAAAAAGTTAAAAATTTTAATTAAATAAAAAATTATAACAAAAAAAATTAAAACTTTAAAATGATTTTTTTTATCGGACCAAGCAACGTAACGCGAGCAATAACTAGTGAAATCTAAAGTTGTTATCAGAAATTTAAACAGTGGTTGGAAATTTTTTTTAGAAAATGAAACTAAAATGCCATAAATTAATATCTCAGCTGGCTTAGGAAATGCCAATGCTTGCAATTTATCCATAAATTAATATCTTTTTGTATTTCTAATTTCCTCTGATGATCGGAATCTTTTGTTCTATCATGTTTGTTTAGCAATTGCAAGCATGGGAAAAGCAATGCGATAATTGTATCATAAATATATTATCTTTTTTTTTTTTTTTTTTTTTTTTTTTTTTTTACAATTGAGTAAATGAATTTTATTTTATTTAGTGCATCAATTTTTCAAATTTTTCATTAATTAATTTTATCTTTTCAAATAAGTTCTAACGACTTAACAACAATTTAAATAAGAGATTGAATTTTTCTCAATCTCAAATCACGTCTATTATGACTGATAAAGAAAAAAACAATAAATAAATTAACAAATAAGAATAGACAAGTTAATACAAAATGGAGTTGTATAAATAAATTTTTATAGGTTAAAAATACAAAATAACTTAAGTACGAAAACATTTTAGACTGATTATAGTTTTCTCTGATTATGTGATGATTAATTTTTTTATTCTAAACTTTTAAGATCAGTAATTGACTCTACATTTTTATAATTGTTGAGAGGTAACGTGTGATAACAAGCATAAATCATAATACAGCATACAAGAGTTTTATTCTTTATAAATTAGAATAAAAAAACCCTTTTAATATCACATGTCATTGCATTAAACTAAACTTTTCTTATTATTATATATAGTCATCCTAAGATTATCGAGATCTGAGCAAATACCAAACCAGCTAGCATTCAGATTGAAGTTAGTTTCTACACGCAAAAAAAAAGAATTTGAACTATAGGGGCTAGATCCAAGTCCAAGCTGCAAAAATCAATAAATAAACCTGTTGCTGTAACTGTTTGATTATAGTTGTCCATAATTCATATGCCGCTAAACTTCCAGTTACGCCATTTCAAATCTTGCTGTGTATTTGATATTTTTCTAGTAATATATATATTTTTTAATTCTACTTATTTTATGATATATACCAAATGAACCTAGACCAATTAACAGACCAAATGCCCATTAATTAGCAACTGTCGTTTCGTAACCTATCATTCAACATAGTTAATCATTCTGACAAACTTCCTTTACGGGAGGACTTCCTCAAAATTCCGAAATAGCCCTACAATGACAGAACAACCCAGTTGTTCATAGACAGAGTCGTTACCCACGTTCCGAAACATCATCGTGCACACATCACAACCCCCTCACAATCCAAAGTGTATTTCTGAAATTTGAAACATGCAATCTCTCACTATAAATAGGGACCAATGGACTCCATCTCCTTCACAGCTTTGGATTCTTCTTTTTACCTTAAAAAGCACACTTTTTTGTTTATTCTCCAGACAGAAAGTTTTAAGCAATGGCAACGAAAAGCAAGATCCTGTTCATTGGTGGGACAGGATACATAGGAAAATTCATGGTGGAAGCTAGTGCCAAGGCCGGCCATCCTACATCTGTACTTGTTAGAGAGTCCACTCTATCTAACCCTGCTAAATCCAATGTCATTGGCAACTACAAGAATCTTGGAGTCAATTTCCTCATTGTAAGTCCTTTCCTTTTCTGGGGTTAAAAATGTGAAAACAAGAATGTTGAAAGGGCTTTCTTAACGTGGATTAGGCATGCCAACACCTAGTTATCTCTCTCTCTCTCTCTTTTTTTTTCTTTTTTTTTTTAAAAAAAACTAGTTGTTGGACCGGTGATTCATGAACAAGTAGTGGTATAGGAAAACTTATGTGCCCTGGATAAATTTTAAAAATATCCATTGATAAATTTGTAGATATCGGAGCAAATTACTTAACTAATAATATAATATTTCTCTTGATTTGTTAGTCTTAACTGGTCGTATATAATAACAGGGTTAATTTCATTGTACCAACTACAATTAAACTATTTCGTTCCACGTAAATATGGTCATGATGATTTGTTATTAAATATAATGTGGAACTGAGAATATCTAATATTTCTTTATATTTGCTTCTGTGTTTTGGTTTTGAAGGGAGATTTGTTTGATCATGAGAGTTTGGTGAAGGCTATAAAGCAAGTGGATGTTGTGATTTCTACAGTTGGTCATGCTCAGTTAGTTGAGCAAGACAAGATCATCGCTGCTATTAAAGAAGCTGGAAATGTGAAGGTCTGGCGTTAACTTTGTTTGAGTGATCATGAGTTGTAGCTTAATGGATTGGGGGTTGATGAAAATTGCTAATTTTACGAATCATGGGCTTGTTATTGAAAATTGTTTGTTTTATGGCAGAGATTTTTCCCATCAGAGTTTGGAAATGATGTGGATAGAGTGCATGCTGTTGAGCCAGCAAAATCAGCATTTGCTGCGAAGGCTAACATAAGAAGAGCTATTGAAGCTGCAGGAATTCCATATACCTATGTATCTTCAAATTTTTTTGCTGGCTATTTCCTTCCTTCTTTGAACCAGCCTGGAGCTACAGCCCCTCCAAGAGATAAAGTTATCATCTTAGGCGATGGAAATCCTAAAGGTAACGTGTCACCGCTGAAAATTTTCCCGTGATAGGTTTAAATTCTTGATAACTTTTGTGTATTCATATGCTATTCAAGTGCAGTGGTTTAGAACTACTGCTGCATTCCCTCCATGAATTTTGGACGATGATTTGGATTTTATCACAAGCATAATCGGTCTTTATCTGCGAAAACCGTAAAAACCATGTACCTGTTTTAGACAAAGGAGGCACTAGCCTACAAGGTGCTCTATGTCGCAAGGAGAAGTCCAATATTTAAGCATGTTCAAAATAGGATGATGCATGTAACTTGATGCTGAATGCATTCCGTGAATCTTACTGTTTCATGCTTTGATCTACAGCTGTTTTCAACAAAGAAGATGACATTGCTACCTATACTATCAAAGCAGTGGATGACCCCAGAACCTTGAACAAAATTCTCTACATCAAACCCCCAGCCAACACCATCTCATTCAATGATCTTGTGTCCTTGTGGGAGAAGAAGATTGGGAAAACCCTTGAAAGGATCTATGTTCCAGAGGAGCAACTTCTCAAAAATATCCAAGGTAAGGATACCTTTAGTTTACAAGCATCTATTTAGAACTCTGTCAGCTGGGATAATGTCTTTTTCGAGGAAAAATCATGCTCAATGACAGCTTTAGAAAATCTCTAACCTTGACGATAGTTTAATTATTTTTAATGAGTTTAAATAATTGTTAGCAGCACTGAGTTTGCATTGTTTAGAGGTAGTACGACAAAATTAGCAAGTTTGACAATATTGCTTGTCTTCTCTCTGTTTTTCTTCAGAAGCTCCGGTTCCAGTGAATGTGATTTTGGCAATCAACCACTCAGCGTTCGTGAAGGGTGATCACACCAACTTCGAGATTGAACCATCATTTGGTGTAGAGGCTTCGGAGCTTTATCCTGATGTCAAATATACTACTGTGGATGAATACCTCAATCAGCTCGTCTGAGTCTTCTACATCAATCAGCACTACCTTAAATAATGAAGTAGATCCCATATAGGGCTTCATTCTTCACACAACTGCATAAGAGAATTTAGTTGCTTGTAATGCTTTGCACTTAAATCATTGATCATGGTGTTTGTTTCCGAACTATACATCTTGGAGATCATGTTGACATCCCTTTGACGTATCAAGTTACTGTATAATCAATAGCATCCTTCTTTCTGTCTGTCAACTTTAAGTTGTTATATTACTCAAAATCGAAATCATGTTTCGGCTATTGGAGGATCATTAATTTGTCAAACAAATTTTCATTGCTAAGATCTACCACCATCATGGGGACTAACACAGCGCCGAATCTCCGCTCGCCATCATCCCCTGCCGATTTATTGAGTTAATTATAGCTTAGTCTCTTTGGTTTAATAAAAATAATTAATTAATCCTTATATGTTTATAAACTATATTATTGATTCCTGTGTTTGAAATATGCTTATAACTTAGTGCTTTTGTCAATTCCATGGTGTTTTTCAATTAATTTTTTTCTTTTGTTTTTTTAAAATAATGGAAAAAAGAAAATAAAAATAGGCAAGATAAGAAAATTTTATTGGGGGAAAATGCATTTTTGAAAAAAAAAAATTTGAGGATTGTTGATTAAACTCGAAGGACTATATATTTGTTTTTTATACTAAGACTAATTAATTATTTTTATTAACTTCAAGGACTAAGTCATAATTATTTTATATTATTTAAGGCAGCCCTAGGCCCTGGGCCGTTGCACGCATTGCTTTCGTTGTCGACCAATTTTAGCCCATAAAATTCAATATGTGGCCAACGAAAAAACAGCATTTTTTTTATATCATAATTTATGTTAGATTACAGTGGTATTTTTGTATTTTTATTATAGGATTTTTGAGTAGTAACAAAATATCATCTTTGCAATACATTATGTCAATAGATATAAAAACAGAATTGATTTGATTGGTGGATAAAATTTCAACAATCATTCTAATGACACAAATCAAGAAATATAAAACATTTAGAGCAGCGTAATAAATTTAGAAAAGACACATGATTCTCATTATGAATAAATTGATAAGAGTTTGGCAAAAAAAGGAAAACATCTCAATGTTTTGAAGTCAAATGCCAATACCTATCATGATTATAATAGGTGTCTTATTAACAAAAAAATTTTGTAGTCAGTTTACTTGTATTCTTATTTTTGTTTTTTTTTTTTGGGAAAAAATTCTATTGGAGATTATGCTATGAACAAATATGATAGATTTAATTATATTTTCTCTATAATTCAGACAAATGCAACCTAATTAGTATTTTAAAAATAGCAAATTCTAAAATACCATTTTTGTTTGTAAATTTAAGCCAACGGTACCAAATATAATTCGAAATTTTTGCCTAGAGTTTGGACGGAGGCTTTTTGTACAACATGTCATTGATACAACTTCGACGTAACAGCTTTTGAAGTTCTTAACATGGTTAAAAAATGAGGGAGTAGTTTGAAGCTGGGATTAGGAGATGTATTAGAGTCAGGTAGATAATGTAGAATTTTTTTTTTCTTATTAATTCTTAGTTACTTTTTTTCATTCATCATGATTGGAGTTTTTTTTTTTTTTTCCCCCTCTAAACCCATCCATAGGATCAAACTATTGAGGTATCCAAATTCTATCCAACTAAAGGAGATAAAATTGGTCAGGAATCGAGGGAGCAAAGGCCTTTATTTATTAGTTTTAGTGTGAGGAAGGGCATGAATATGAAAGACATCAAGACATTTAATGGCAGATGCGAATTCGTTGACGGATATCGGGCAACATTGATTGGAGAAGGGGAAAGCAAAAAGGACCTTATTAGATTTACCGTAATTGGTGGGGGCAAAGTAAGGGTACAAAGAAACCATTGATGGATGCATGCTAAAGTGTTGCATTAATGTTGTTGTTGTTGCATTTGATTTTGCATCCATAGTAATACAAGATCTGCTATGTACTTGAGGCTTGAGTGTATATATTTATTTTATATAAAAAACAACGTGGATATTTATAATGATATGTGCCACTTATTTTAGTAAATACATTTCCTATAGTTTTTGGATGTTATGCTTATGATAGCTATTATTGTCTTGACTTTTGAAGTTATCTCCTTGATGGCTTAATATATTTAATAATCATACCCATTAACTCTTTGTGATACAGTTTAAAAAATTTATATTATTGGATTAGCATAATAAGTTTAACAATCGAACAAAAAATCAAATTAAAAGAGTAAATCATCAAAAAAAGACAAAGATTGATACTAAAACAATATTGAATCAATACATATTGGAAAGATGATGTATATTAGAAACATGTTTAATTTTAGTTAAAGAGTCTAAAAAAATTAAAAAATAACCATTAAATATTGAAAAAATATATTTTAAGTAAATAATAAAAAAACATAAAAAGAGAAAAATATATTAATAAAAAAAGAAGGAAAGAATTTGGGTCAAGGTATGCACCATACCTTAATGAGCTTGGGACAACCAAACCCACACGTTTAAGCTCAATGCACAAAGCCCAACTAAGAAAAATAGAGGCAGGCAACGCTTCGTCACCATCGCAATTTTCGATAATCAAATGTCATCAAAAAAATGCCAAAGAATCAAAGGTCGTTGGTCTTGAACCTTCAAATCTATGATGATCCCCATTTTACCCACCATAACCATATCCACCATTGTTACACATAGCAGGAACCCCGAATCAAAGGTGCAAAATCGTTGCTTTCATACCACTTTGATATGTTCCAAATATAACCCTCGTAAAATTCGTAATCGTATAAGTGTACGTATCAAAATATTTATATTCGTACGTATATATATAATATATCGATTACGTACGTAAAAATACGTAACTAGATCAACATATGTAATGGAATATGCGGTATTTATGTTTTGTTGAGAATAACGGGTGTACGTAAAAAAAAAAACATTGGGTAAATTAGTTACAAAATTTATTTTATATGGAATAAGTATAGATTATAAAAAAAAAAAAAAAAAAGAAAGTGCTAATTGCCGAAATTTCGGTAGGAATTCTGAAAATGTAGTTAATTGAATTACCCTTATTTAATCACATTTTGACCTCTACTTTTTACAAAATTTCCATTGACCATTACCTTGAAATTTAAACCCATCATTTCATTAATTTCAGCCACATTTACCTTGCATTTCACCACAATCTCTTGACACTTGTAATGAACATTAAATTGATGAGATTAGGTGAGATATCTAGGTAAAAAAAGGGGAATAAGGATGCATTTTTGGTGCATCCCGTAGCTGCCATAAAGCCAAGAAAGAAAGAGTGAAAGAGAGGGGAGAAAGAAAAAAAAAGGGAAGGAAAAAGAAGGGGAACCAAAAAGGAAGCAAAAGAGATTTTAGGAAAGTTAATCCAATGTAAGTAGGTTTCATTTTTTTTTCTTGCTTTGTTTATGCTTTCCATGTTTATTTTGTGAGTTATTTAATTCATGTGAAGTGTGATTATGGTATTTTTGATGATTTTAAACACTTGTTGTTTGATGATGGATGGTTAAACATGTGTGATGAGAAATGTGCTTGAAGAGAAGATTTTCGGATTTTGGGGGTGGAAAAACCCAAACTTGGTGTGATTTATTTCGGGATCTTAGAGTGATTTTTAGGAAAAATGCAAAGAATGAAAGTTGTTGATATATGTGTCTACTATGTCTCTTTAAAATTTCGTGACTTTTAGAGATATATATATGGAGTTATGACTGAATTGGTATGGATTGTTCAAATGGATCATCTACTGGAAAATTATTTCAATCCAAAGGTTGTGTGATTTATTTCGGGATCATAGAGTGGTTTTTGGGCAGAACTCAAAGAAGGAAAGTTGTTAATATATGTGTCTACTAGTTGTATATAAAGTTTCGTGATTTTTAGATCTGTATATAAGGATTTATGACTGATTTGGTACGGATCATTGAATGGACCAGCTACTGGAAAAGATTATTTGGTTCCGAAACTTGTGTGATTTATTTAAGGATTTTAGATTGATTGTTTGAGGAAACTTAAAGAATGAACGTTGTTTATCTATATGTCTAATATCTCCCCTTAAAATTTCGTGAGTTTTAGATAAATATGTAAGGAGTTATGGCTGGTTTAGTATAGGTTGTTTAGGTGTGTTATTGCTGGAAAAATGTTTAACCTAAAACAAATGAACTTGGGCTTGAATTACAATAAATGATCTTGGACTAATATTAATGGGCTTGGACTTGAATTAAAATGAGATGGGCTTGGACTTAAAAATAAAGTGGACTTAGATTAAAACAAATGAACTTAGGCTTGAATTAAAATAAATGATCTTGGACTAATGTTAATGGGTTTGGACTTGAATTAAAATGAGATGGGCTTGGATTTAAAAATAAAGTGGACTTAAATTAAAACAAATGAAATTAGGCTTGAATTAAAATAAATGGTGTTGGACTAATATTAATGGGCTTGGACTTGAATTAAAATGAGATGGGCTTGGATTTAAAAATAAAGTGGACTTAGATTAAAACAAATGGACTTGGGCTTGGATTAATGTTAATGGGCTTGGACTTAAATAAAATAAACTCGGGTAATGGACTTGGACTAAAATCAAGAGGCTTGATTTTAAAGTAGATGGGCTTAGACTAACGAAAATGGGTTTAGGCTAAAATAAGTAGACTTAGATAGAAATAAAAAGGATTTTAAAATTTTAAAGAAAATTTATTCTTTCATAGAGAAAAAAAAAATTGGACCTTCTTTAATTATTAATGAAACTAATAAACAATATTAATGAGCGGATGTTGTGTTTCCGCTATGAGTACCATGAATGGTATGTGAGCGTTGAGTGAATTCCGAGTGATGGTTGGACCGTGAGTATGGCTTAAGAAAGAAGGGTTGGTACCCGAGATTGGTTGAATGTGATTAAACATGTTATCACGTGCATCATGTGCATTGGGGGTGGAAATAAATTGAGAAAAATCATTGAGTCTTGAATTGACACGGTTTGGTAACCGAATTGAGTGGATTGGGTAATAGCAAGGAATCCTTAGTGCGAGCTCTATTTACTAACACCGTTAAGCGAGGGATAATTCCGCTAACCGTGTGCTACAACGAGGGAGAATTCCGTTGCGAGCGGTAGGTGATATTGAGATCACCGAGAGAAAGTAATAGAGCGAGTAGGTGATAACATGATCACCGAGAGATTTGGCGCACGGACTTGCATATACCTAGGGTATCCGGATTAAAATGGATGAAAATATGGGAAACACAATAGCATTGCATATCACGTGCATCACCCTACTTACCGAGCTTTGGCTCATTCCGTTATTGTATTTATGTGTTGTTCGGGCAAAGGCAAAGTTAAGCCGATCGAGGATGCTACCGGTTCTCGCTAACAAAAGGCTCATGTGTCATTCATAAAAATAGAAATATCTTTTGTGTCATTAAAAAGGGATACGGGCCTAGGTTGTAAATTTTTAGGCATTTTGAATATGTTATAAATTATAGAACTATCCGTACTAATGTTGTAAATTATATCATACGTTTCTTATGGTTTAGTTTACGTTGTGTATGATGAAGGAAGTAGGGGACTTAGTCCCAACGAGTGTGTCGCGCCGGTCACGCTTGTTAGGTAATAGGCAAGGGAGCCGGGGCGTCACACCAATTTTCCAAATTAAGAACAAAAGATTAATTGGACATTTCTATGATGAATCAAAAGCAAATTTGTATTTATTCAATCAAGATGCAAGAACAATTTTACAAAATAATGTTTAGAGTTACAAAATCAAATGGAAACAGAAAGAAAGAGAAAATACACAGAAAGTTCAGGGAGAAAAAACAGAGGAAGATTGAATACCAAAAGAATCAATGCCCTCGCCTCTGTTTCTTCTATTAATTTGTACAGTGTTTGTTTCCTTTCTTGAATTCCTCGTAGGACAACTAACTCTAACTAACTAACTGAATTCCACGCAAGCTAACCAAATTTCCTCACGTGTAGTAACTTATTCTTCACACGTGCAAGCCTTCTTATATTTCCCTAGCATTCCATGCAATCTTTAAGCAAATTCCCAGCATGTTAGGCAATCTTCAAGCCTGCCAAACCTTCTCCAGAATGTGCGTAACAAAATCCTAAGGGTAATATGAGTGACAGATAAGAATTCTTGATACCTTTGTATATGGTACTTTCAATTGAGCATGGAAAATATGCTGGGTTAATGCTAGCTCATTGCCGTAAAATTTTGCTCAGTTTTGCTTTAGACTATTGCTGTAATTAAGGAGACCCAGAATTCCGTGCATTTGTTACGAGCAGCATCAGTCTTGACATGCAAAAAGTAGGCTTATGAGTAGGTAGCATGCGATGTATGTTAATGTGGGAACGGATGCATTATGTATAAGCATGTAGAACTAGAAGGATGGTTTAGCTGTACTAAACGTGTTGAAAGAATCTTATAGTTTGGTCAACTTATGTGCACCTGTTTTCAACAAGGAAGATGACATTGCCACTTATACTATCAGAGCAGTGGATGATCCAAGAACCTTGAACAAGATTCTCTACATTAAGCCCCGTGCGAACATAATTTCATTCAATGATCTTGTGTCTTTGTGGGAGAAGAAGATTGGGAAAACCCTTGAAAGGATCTATGTTCCGGAGGAAAAACTTCTGAAGAATATCGAAGGTATGAATATCATTTCATTAGTTTTATATATATATATATATAACAGTACTCATTACACTGGAAATGGAAGGTATCTTCAATTCGCGATCCTCTGTTAGACCTCTGTCGGCTTGAGTTTGAATAATGTTTAGCAGTGTTTATTATCAGTTTTTCTAAATTTAGTATGGTGTGAAGTCATTAAGTTTGACATTGATTCTCTTTTCTTTTCTGTTTTTGCAGAAGATTCGGCTCCACTCGATGTGGTTCTATCAATTGGTCACTCTGCATTTGTGAAGGGAGCTCAAATCAACTTTGAGATTGAACCAAACCGCCGCTGATCCACATACATTGAACTAGTTCTTGCACTTAAGTCTCGCAGGAAATGTTTACTCAAAGAATGAACTGGTTGAGATTTGGGAGAATGATACTGGAAAGAATAGATCAATGTACCAAAAGATAGTTACAGAACTACAACAACAATAATGCCCAATGGGACCTTGCAAATTTCATGCAACTCTAAACATATTACTACAAAATCCTCCCAAGAATATCGCAATGGCCAACTACACCACAGTCCACAAATGGCTTAACAAAGGCCTACATTGGACGATGTTCTTACTCTAAAACATTCTGCTCCCGCACAACAGTGGCTCTCATATTTCCTCTCATTCTTGGTGAGGTACTCACTCACCCTCGCTCTCTACATTGTCTGAGAAACATATCTCATTCTTAAGCACCATATTTATACACAAATATGGTGCAAGCATGTCCAACAAGTAACAACTTCCAGAGCCAATTCAAAATTCGTGCTGGACAAAATCTCCCAGGTGCGAAAGAAAGTAAAAATAAGAGCAACATATGACTTTGGGGCCGTAAATCATAATACCAAAGTGATTAATTATTTTGATGTGGACAATCTAACAATTGGCCAATTGAAGGGCTTCATGAACTTCAACATTCGAAGTCTTCACCGACCAAAATCTTCATTCCACATTGAAAGGCCACCAACCAATTCAAAGTTTCACCTACTAATTCTTATTCTAGAAACTTAAACTATTCAACGCAGTTTCCAACACAGAGAACTTTAGCAAAGCTACTGAAAACTGAAACTGTCAATTAAAACAAATTACAGAGATTACATAAGCAGCTTGATCCTCTTATACCTGCGCATTTTAAAAAGCATTCATCAGGATATTATCTCCATTTACCTCTTGCAGCATTGTGAATCCTGGAATTCCTTGCTTTCTGAACAGAATACAGCTAGGATCACCAAGAGCAATACTCATCGGAGTAGCTTAAAATTTTCTTTTCTACTGAAACATCTTAGCCTAGAAGAATTCAACATCCCAATTGCTAACTTGTCTGATTCATTATTTGATTTACTTTCATCTAAAACGATGCCAAAATCTATAGTTCATCTCTGCAGATACTCCACATCCGGAAAACATGCAGGTAAGTTTCATGTACTTAGCATTTGTGAAAGGAGATAGCATATATGCTTCGGAATTGATTCTTCAAGAGGGGTGGACGTAAAACAAATGTATAGGTAGGAAAATACTTTGAATAGTCGCTCACACGTGACTAATTAGGTTCTTTGGTCGTGAAAGGATTAAGAAACCCACCATGAAGGACGAACCAGATCAGCTCGCGTGCTGGTGGGCGACTATATACCCATAGTCTGTACTTCATATAAATTGATTCTTATCATGTTTACAATTTTATTCCTTATTTCTAACAGTTTTTTTGGAATTATTTACTCTACCATTCTCTCTAGTGGCTTTATAAAAATATAGTCAGGGTCCATAAAAAATAAATTAAAAAAAAGAACAGCAGTTGCAGATTTTAGGGCTTTTCTTTCGGATCCATCCAATGGTCAAACTAGAGGAACCAATAATTTGTTGCTTTCCGCCAAACATTTAAGAGATGCTAAATATTATTAGAACTAACAACTGATGAATCAGGGGGAAAAATGCCTTGTGATAAAAAGATAATTTCATCAAAATAATTTTAATTACCATGTTTCATAAGATTATATTGATCAATCATCTTCAACAACAGAACTTTCTAAGATAATACCAAGAACCACAAATGACAAAACTAACGCCCTCTTGATCATAGAAAAAGAAATAATATCATCATGCGACATGTGACAATCTCCTTACAGTCAAAAGTGTACACCTGTAATTTTTCATACCTATATTTTCTCACTATAAATAGCAATCATTAAGTTGGCTCAATCACAATCAGTCTTCATATTCTTCTAAAACCATTTTTTTTTCTCTAGCCAGAAAGTTTAAGCAATGGCCGGGAAAAGTAAGATTCTGTTCATCGGAGGAACAGGATACATAGGAAAATTCATAGTTGAAGCAAGTGCCAAGGCAGGCCACCCTACCTTTGCTCTTGTTAGAAAATCCAGTCTTTCTAGCCCTGCCAAATCTAACGTCATTAACAATTTCAAGAATCTTGGTGTCGATTTTCTAACAGTAAGTCATATTCTCCCTTGAAATGTGAAAAGTTGTGTTATAAACGGTGGTTGTTTCTTTATATTTGTTTGATTTTTTCTTATGTAGGGAGATTTGTTTGATCATGAGAGTTTGGTGAAGGCGATAAAGCAAGTGGATGTGGTGATCTCTGCAGTTGGTCACTCTCAATTAGGTAACCAAGACAGGATCATTGCTGCCATTAAAGAAGCTGGAAATGTTAAGGTTGGTGTATAACTTCTTTTTCTTTGACTTGCTCTCATTCTTGTTTCATGCTGGATTCGGTTTCCAGTCTCCTCATGAACCCCAGAAAAATAGAAGTTTATAATTTTATGAACACAATGGGATGATAATGAGAATTCATCGTTTATCGCAGAGATTTTTCCCATCAGAGTTTGGAAATGATGTCGATAGGGTGCATGCTGTTGAACCAGTAACATCAGCATATGCTCATAAGGTTAAACTACGCAGAGCTATTGAGGCTGAAGGAATTCCATACACCATTGTGTCAAACAACTTTTTTGCTGGGTATTTCCTTCCAACTTTGAATCAGATTGGAGTTGCAGCTGCTCCAAGAGATAAAGTTGTCATCTGGGGTGATGGAAATCCGAAAGGTAATGCGGCAAATCCTACTGAATTGTTTTGTGATAGATTAACATTCTCGATATCTTTTGTATGGCTATATGCTAACATATAAGACCAATGGTATTGTTGTGCTAATTTCATCATTATTTGTTAACTAGTCAAAATTATTAAGCGGACACAAAATTCTGTTTGTTTTGCCTGTCCTGATGTAATTTGGCAGATGACATGGATTTATGACGAATGATCAGTTTCTATGATTCTATCTGCTAAAATTATGAACGCCTTTGTAGCTGTTATAGGCAAAAGTAGATACTAGGTGCTTTGTGCTGAATTGTTGAAAGAATTTTACATTTTTCCCATTTGATGTACAGCGGTTTTTAACGTAGAAAAAGACATTGGCACCTACACTATCAGAGCAGTGGATGATCCAAGAGCCTTGAACAAAATCCTCTACATTAGACCCCCGGCCAACACCATCTCATTCAATGATCTTGTGTCTTTGTGGGAGAAGAAAATTGGGAAGAGCCTTAAAAGGGTCTACGTTCCCGAGGAGCAACTTTTGAAGAATATTCAAGGTACGAATATCATCCCATTAGCTTTATATCCAGCTAATCATAACATCAACAAGGAAATCTCCTCGTTTCGCAAGCATCAATTTGACCTGTCAGCTAGGATGTCAAGTTTCTAGGAAAATTCATAGTCAAAAAGAAAATTTACTTCATGAGCACTAGTTAGTAATTGGTCTGAATAATGTTTTATCAGTATTTTTGTTGGTTTGAGAGTTTAAAATTGTAATCAAGGCAAGTTTGTCAAGTTTGAGGTTGATTCTGTTCTTTCTTTCTGGTTTTGCAGAAGCTCCTTTTCCAGATAGTGTGGAATTAGCACTTTTTCACTGTGTGTTTGTGAAGGGAGATCACACCAACTTCGAGATTGAACCATCATTTGGTGTGGAGGCTTCTGAGCTTTACCCTGATGTCAAATACACTACTGTGGATGAATACCTTAATCAGTTTGTCTGAGTCTCCTACATTAAGCAGCATTTACCTTGATAAATAATAATGTAGATGCCATATTGGCCTTCATAGCGTCGAAGAAAATAGGTGGCTGCAATCCTTGCTCTAATTATATATATGTAGCTGTGAGCTAAACATCTTGGGAACCTGTTAGAGATCTATACGATGTATTATGATAATATACAGAAGGGCATTAATTGGACAAGTTTTAAATTTCTGACAACACTCCAACTAAGGGAAGCAGATCCAAAGGTAGCTGCATCAAGCTGCCTTATCTTGACAAGTTGCATACCCAGATTTCAGTGATCCAGAGCAGTGATGCTTGGATCTTGTTTTTACTATGCTATTTTAGCAACGTTACAAAACTGAAATATGCAGCCTGAGCAATTTGTGACCTTCACCCGTTTCCCGTCAAAACGAGTGGCAGCAGAATTTGTTCTTGATAACCAGCAAATTTTTATTTGGAATACATATTTTTCAAGATTGCTATGGTAGAAATGCATTTTTATTTTTTCTGTGGTCTTTCAGAAGGCAAGATGGTAACTTATCTTTCACCAATCTTAAGCCGGGTATATCACAAATCAAAAAATGCATTGAAACAACAGATTCTGCAAAATTTATAAGCCTCAACAGGCTTCAAGTCTTCAACTGTTCCACAGTTTAGCTATCAAACGAACTAAGAGGGAAAAAAAAAACCAACAGAATATTTGTGTGCATGAAGGCTGGAACGCGAAGGAATAACTTCATCTTTCTAGCCGCAAGCCTTTATTCATGCATGCCCATCTTTTTTCCTTTGTTTCCCTTTTTTCCCTTAGCTGAAGTCTTTGCAGACCCTTTACCTCTCTGGCCTTTTGCATTCTTACCCTTCTTCACGTTGCCTTTTCCTGGCTTACCCATACCACGTGCATCCTTTTTCATCCGCCGATCAACAAGTACTTTCCCCTTGCCAACCTTGACTGTAACTCCTTTCTTTGCAACCACATATTCCTTCTTAGGCCTTTTTGGCGTAGCCTTCTTATACAGTTGTTCAATTAACCTGCCCTTTGAGTGATCAGAGATCTCCGTCTGCTTTGAGATATCATTTGCCTTCTTGCGCACCTTCTCAAGCTTCCTCATGGCAACCCGCTTCTTTCGAGCCTTGGCCTCTGCCACTTTCTTAGCAGGCCGAGCATTTATTTCTTTGAATTGTGCTCGCATAGCAGCAATCTCCTCTTTTGTAACCGGCTTAACTGGCTGTCGGTGTCTCTTCTCTTCCTCCACAAACCAGCCAGGCAGGCCCTCATCATCAAACATATACTTGTTGTAGGCATCATCAAGCATCTGATCCCTTTGCTTTTTCCTCAGCATCTTCTTTGCACAAGCCAGTATCTCAGCCTTTGACTCAACATTATCATCCTCAGATTCATCTGATGATGAATCATCACTAGAATCTGTAGCCGGAGCAGGGACTATCTCAAAATCATTTTCTGCCTTAGAAGATGGGAGTTGAGTATGACTGGACCCTGCAGCATTCTTAGCAGACTTTTTTGGAGCTGCAATTTCTTCCTCCTGCCCAGCTACCTGCATTTCATCTTCACTTTCGTACTTCTCCAAGCTTCTGGCCTCTGCAGTTTCCAAGTCTCCATCCTCTGCAGCTTTGGCAAAGATATCCTGACCAAACCACTTCCTTGTGATCTCTTCTTCAGTTGGTACTTCCCCATCATTGAATGGTACCATAAGAGGATTTGCTTCATGATCACCTGTTTCTTTATCTGAATCATAATCTGAATGAGCAATGTCGCTCTCACCATCACCCTGTACAGCCAAAAGAATGACTAAGGTAATGATAGCAAGCAATGTTGTGATGAACACCAAATGCACAACCAAAACAACCCACCCAAACAATATTAGAGAACATCAACGAATATGTAGGACACATTTTACTGAGGAACAGTAGTCCTTTCAGAGTCGTTAAATGGAGACTCAGGGGTGATTAAATAAATTAATCTCTCATTGAAACTTAAAAGTAGAGCACAATTCGAGAGCTCTATACCTCCAAAAGCTGTTCAGCATAGGCTTGTTTTGCACGTTTCCGCTGCATTGTACTTCCTTCCCTTTTGGTTACAAACCTTTCATAAGCCTGATCAAGGATCTCTTCCATTTGTTCATCAAATCTGACATTCACAACATTGAATTACATAATATTTGAGGTAACATTCCTCAAAATGATCAATAGTAATTGCAAAGATATTAGGAACTACCTTCTGCGTTCCGCATCAGAATCTGCATCGCTGGGTGAATGCTCCCGGGTTTCCTCATCGGTTTCTTCATTTTCACCATCCCTTAAGTCACCATTCTCATCATCATAGTCAGCAGTATCAACAGCTACTAAATCTTTCTTTCCCTAAAAGAAAATAGTAAAAGACATTTAAGACTGACAGAGTGACTGTGTTTGAGACTGGTGTGGTGAAGCTAGTTTCAGCTAAAACGTAGGTTAGCAATCCCAAACAAGTATTCAGCATTTTAAAACGATGCGCTCGTTTAAAAGAAAAAACACTATAGTTTTGCACTTGTTTGAAGAAATTTCATTCAGATTGACCATATCCAGTTCATTAAACCACTTTTATGACCAAATGCCACTTCAGTTAGTGCAAACTCATACTTAAAAGTATCCAAAGCACATTATCAAACTCTGCCCCTCAGATAAAAGTCACCAACTTTTTACATTAGATCTTCCCTATAGATTATATGCATATTTTACCACAATTTCTGGGATTCCGAAGAAGGCTTCCTAACACAGAAGGAAATTTTGGGAGATGGTGAAATGAACAATCAATGATTGCTTTGACTTAAAGCAATATTTGGATGCAAAATCAGACATCTGATTTCAGTTACAATACTAACAAAGGCACAAGAACTACAAATAAAGATAAAAACAAAACAAGAAAGTGAACCTTGATGGAAGAAAGAGAGAACAATTCATGATCAATGTAACCATCTTCCATTGCATCGATTTGCATTCCACCAGTTGCCTTCCGTACTTTATCCTGATATTTTCAAACATAGAAGAAGCAAGACATGAGCAAGAGTAATAGATATCAATAACTGGACAGCATGCAAGATTCAAAAATCAACCTTAGCTCGTCTTTTTGCAAGAAGTTTCTTTTCTCGTTTCTTCTTCCGCTCCACAGCATTCGTCAGCTCCTCCATTTCATTGAGCAACCTATCATCTTCATCATCCTCCTCTTTTTACCCTCACCATCTTTTCCAGCAGAAGGACTAGCTTTCTGAGATGAAGACAGGGTCTTTCTTGTTTGCATCCGCCACCTACATGACAGGAAAGATATAAAAACATTTTATCTAATGTATAGCGATAATATTTTAAGGCAAAACGAGGAAACTAGAATACCGGAATATGCAAAACTGTTGTTTATTAGACATCAATTACATGCCTTTGTATGTACCTGCACAAGCCCTAACATATTTTCCTTTCTGATAAATGGTATCAGAACACTAATGAGATTTGCTTCAGACCCAACCCCACTTACAACACATTTAGGTAAAACATTTTCCCTCATCCTAAACACAACTTCTAATAATGAATACACAGGTGTATTCTGGAAACTTTTTGAGGAAAAGAATAGCGTGTGCAGAAAATACGTCTCCATTACTTCCAGATGCTGGAACTTCACAGATCACTTCAAATCATCATAAAGAGTAGTTGAAACATACAAAAGGAGAGGGAGATGAGGGAGACAGCACATAAATCTTACTTCAACAGATGCTTGAAGTCTTGTTTTCCCAAAACACGCAGATCATCACAAAGATATTTAACCTAGCCAGATGGATAATTTATTTAGTAGTTAAAATACAGAAGAAAATACAAGGTATGATGGCCAAAAATAAATAAACAGAAAGGATTACCTCTTCTGTAGTTAAAGCATGGTCACGTAAGGGTAAAGAAGCCTCATCATCAAAGGCTATGGAAGTAACTGAACCAAGGATCTCAAGAGGGTTGTCAGACCAGATGAAATCAGCTGCAGAAGACACTTTTCTCACAATGGAGTCTCCATCTTCATACCTGCAGTTTAATTTTAACCATAACATTACATGGAGATATACCAATACATATTTTTCTTTTTGAACAACCAATGGATATTTTTGTGCATGCAATATTTCATCTTCATTTGCTCCCACAAGAACATTCCATCTTCATTTAAATTCCTAAATTTGTGTGTTTAATCACAATGAAGAATTTATGCCTTATCCTGAGTGGAATATATGCAGAAACAAAAAACTGGCATATTATTGTTCATCTGGCAGCAGGAAGAAATTCACAAACTTATGAGAAATCTTACCCATCACGATGCCGCTTCTGCTTTGTTCCTCTAAGTACATCCACCACCTACATGACAGTTTTGTATAAACGGAATGCCAGCAGGAAAGTGGGATTGTTGGAAAGAGGGAAACAAAAAACAGAAAAGCCATCTCCATGTCTAGCAAATGATTACCTTCCGTTGGGGTTCAACAGATCCCTGAAATAAATGCTTTACATCAAGAAGACGTGGATCAATCTTAGCAGGGGCCTTGTATCTTAAACCCAAAACGAATATTTCAGCAGATGTTGAACGACTTGCTGCTGGTTTATCCACCTCGACCTTCTCAAATAACTAGAGAAAAAAAACAAAAACAGACACCATGATCGCTTAAACCAACCATATCACCAAGACATAACAAGGATTTTCGAAAAAGATTCAAAACTCACCTGATTAAGACAGTAGATGACAGAACTATAATCTTGGGACCTGAAAACCTAAAACAACACAACAAATAAGCACTTAGCATGTGTATACTATTAGAAAAAAAATGACTAGACAGTAAACTCAATACGCTTTATGTTATTATACATGGTTACTCATTTACAACAAGACCAACTAAACAAAACATCACAAACAAAAGAAAATCCCTCCTTTCCTCCAATTTTTTCAACAAAAAAAATTCAACCAATGAAAAACTCCACAAAAAAA